TTTCAAGTCTAAAGAGTGAATCGAGATCTTCTAGCGTCGATGGAGATATGTTTGTTTCGGAGTTATTTTGTTAATTAGTAACTATAGAATTGCAGTGCGCGAACTAAAAATAATATGATGATGTTGAGGAAAATAAGATAGCTGACCAGCGGAATTTCGAATCAATTGAATCTTCTAGAATAGATAGCAGTTATATCTACCCTATATTCTACTATTGGTCAATTGTTGTAAAGAGCCTATTACTCGACATTTATATATACTAAATTTGTGGAATGCTGAAGAGAGAGAAGCATATGGCAGATGTTGTAGACAGAGTGGAGGAATTGTCTTGCAGTGAAAATTTGATGTAGCAATCTGAAGTGTATTTGCTAGTAATTTTCGCATGTGAGGATCTAAATCTTACTTGGTACCCACTAGTGCGTGAACAGATTGCTGCGTATTTTTCTATGAAACTAAGTTTCATCCTCTAAATTTGGACTTAAATCAGTCTGTAATTCGATCCATTTGAAAATATCATACCCGTGAGCTTGTCAAGATGAGCCCGTATAATGAAGAACTTAGATATGCAACAGAATTCTCCCGGTAAAATATTCGGTAAACCATCCCAAAAGCTTATTTATAGTTGCGGGAACCAGAGAAACTAATGTTTGTAGTTCCCGATGGAAAAAATACTTACTTGTCAGGACAAACCTTGTAAGAGTGAAGATGTAGATGTGCAATAAATCTGCAAGAAAGGTGTTCTAGACAGGTCTAAATCAGTTACTAGAATACTTAAAGATTGTGGGGTAGCGAATAAGTTTTCAGTAGTGCGGAGAGCTAGGAAGCGCTAGAGTTAGACTTTATTTACCCGAAGGTGTATTGGGATCCCCTTGCAATTCAGGAGTGATAGGTGTACAACATTTCTTTTTGTAATTATAGGCGGAATCGATCGCAAAATATATCGAGACATTCGTTTAGTTACCGAAATATTTGGAAGATAGTCTCAGCCAGATTTGACTTCAAAAAGCTAGGGCTCTTTGATTTCTTGGCAAGTTACATGAAAATCGTGCTAATTGTGAGTGTAAGAATGCTTCTTGTATATGTTAGTTGATTGTGTGACATTTTCTGTACAACTCAATAAACGAATAGAGCCGAGGATTTTATCCTTATGGAGTTCAACAACGCATGTCTATCAGTATCAAATCTGGAAGTATCAAACTCTGAGACATACCACATGTCATATTGTAACGAGGTATCTTTTGTTGCAAATCTCATATTCAACCCCACCATTTAGACTAAAGTGTGACCAAGACTAAGTAGAACCGAGAAAGTTAACTACATCTTCACTAACATATAAGCTTATTACCAGAATGTGCCTTGTATCCACTAGCAATACTGTATTGACTTGGGTTGTTGAATATTAACCATAATACCCCGCCATTTACTTAGATGTGCTTGGAATTGAATGTTAGGTCGATCATTAGTAATAGATAGGATGGGAGTCTCCCGCATGAGTCCTCAAGGATAATATAATATACATGATAACCTCAAGAAATGTAGTTTAGAGCCAACTGTTGATCAAGCCATTTACAATTCACCATATTTGTAAAGATTAACATTCGATAGATCACCCCTACTAACAAGTCGTGTTCTATGTGAAAAGTGTTTTTACTGGCTGCCTTGATTCACTTAAGATTTTCATGAAGATTCAAGCCTATGGAGTATGAGGTATGAAAACGCGTTGAAATTTACACGAATCTCTTTGTGGATGTTGTCCATTCAAGGGTGTTGATATAAGGAGTCATGGTGTGCTACGCCCGTCATAGTGAAGGTTGTAAGTTGCAAATTGATCAAGAAATCGGCTCACAAGTCAAGTTCTGTCGACGCAAGATCGAAAAGATCGGAGCTGTAATAAAACATCTGCAGAATTGATGGCGAGGTTAGAAGCGTGGAAAATTTGACATTCACATAATGCTGGTTGCTTAATTATATTTGTAGGTCTCTCACCAAGAAATGGAAATAAATTTAGAACTTGGAAAGGATGTTGTGATATATCATGTAACTGGACGAGATTCGGGTTGCGATGTTTTTGTGTGGGTATTGAAATGGTAGTTCTATCCATACGGAATGAGTCGTCTTGCGCAATGTAAAGGTTGAGAGACCAAACTTTGAGTGTGTGTTAAGGATTCAAACCATTCTTGAGAACGATCGATAGATACGAATAAAACTTTTCAGAAACACTCTTTTGCGAGCGATATTTGATAAACGTGGAGCATGAGAACTGCGAGTCTTGTTATGAAAGCCATTGACTCGGGATAGGAAGCTCTCTTTGTAATTCCAGCATACCTTCTCATACCCTTACTTAAAGCTACCCAAAAACACTCATCACTACTATATCAGGACCGATAACTCATTTTCCAGTACCGGAGCGCAAAGGCAGCAAACAGGCTTGTTTGTGCAGGTCAAATGCGCTCTGGTGGTGGAGTGGTAACACGCCTGGCTCGAATCGACGAACAAACGGAAAAAACCCCCACCGAGGGGTTTCTCCTCCCGCCCCCTCGAGGGGGCGGCAAGGTTTTGCTTGTCAGATCTGTGGGAATCGTTTTATCATTTTTTCTGTTACCAAATGGAAAATTATGATATGGATGTCTATGAACAATTTTTTTTGAAACTCGTTGGTGATTGGCGTGGAACGAAAGTGAAGTATTTCGCTTATTTCGTCAACATAAGGGCGGCGAACTGAGATTACGCTAATGACCTTGGAATATTGAAGGAATTATTGTCTTCAAGAACTCTCAAATGAATAAGACTAACGCAACATGAGGTGTATTATGAGGCGCATTTCTAGTAATATAGCAATATTCATCACACAGAATGTAGTCTTCTACTTCTGTAGTTTGTAAGTGAAACATAGTGGTTCATTCATGCTTAGGTCTTCACGGCCAATGCCACGAAAAGTATGGCACTGAACTCATTAGATTGATATATTTGACTGTATGGGTGAAAATGATCTATTAGTGATACCGTTGATAATCTTGCTGGGCATCATAATGATGATTGTCAAAGTGTATTGAAGACTAGGTAAGTTAAGGAACTTGGAAGAACCTTGATCACTGTTTTGAAATTGACAAAAGCACCCGACTCCACTTACAGATGGTTTTATTTTCTTGTTTATAACTTTGCGGGGTGAAAAACTGCTACATCAGACATTTACACTTCTTTAGTCTCGTCTGAAGGATGGTACATTACTTAACACTGTTTCAAGAATTGGAATTGAGATATGAGAAACAAGCATCATAATGGTAAACTACGAAAATTTCTCTTAACACGTGTGTAAATAATGGCCAGGATACTCGATTCCTTACGTTGGCGATCAACTGAGAGGGTGCCCACGCGTCCTTCTTGAGATACCGACCCCAAAATGCCGGAGCTCCATCTACTGAAATCTTTGAACATGCTCCAATCTTTCGTTTTTCGTTTCGTTTTACTAGTTCAATAAGGAACAGCTGCAGCAAACTCTCTGTGCGATAATCAAACTCCATGATTCCATGGTTCCTTAGAGATATGATCAGGTGAACAGTTCTCCGAATAAGGGAGTAAACCAGAGTCAAGATCATATCAGTGAATCAATGCAAGAGTCATTCCAAAACTGTAACTATGCTCTTCCTTGACGCTTGGCTTCAAGCAAGTGATTTAAGGGCCGTTTAGGTGACATCTATTTGAAATGCTTTACCCCGTCATTTAGTGCATACCTTTTCCTCCTCGAATTTGTTGCACATCTGAATGCTCCTACCCCACCATTTAGCTTGGCCACGACGATACTCCTTGTTCATTCTAGATCACCCGATTCCAATGACCAGACTCCCGGAGACCGATGCCTAGCTCCCCTCCATGTTTCTTGCCGTTTTAGCTTTCACACCAATTGAATATATCCACTCATGATCACGGAGTCTTCTTCCATAAACTTCATTCAACCATAGATAACATAAACGGTTTCAACATTCTTGAGATCGACACCCCACCATATGGCCCGCCCTTCTCCGATAGAGTATACAATGTGAAATGTTGCACATCTGATACCCCACACCCCACCGTTTAGTTCAACTTCACGGTTGAAACGGCAAATGTTCGTATGCTTGCACGAGGATCCAAAATCAAAAAAGATAGATATCACTTTATGGCTACATGGAAAACTTATGTCAAGGCTCATCTGGCACTGGATCTAGGTCATGAGAAGGTCTTCAGATACTAATATGCTAGTCATCTCTTGTGAATCACAAGTGGGTCTGGCTATGAAACCGAGGAAGACCCTCAATCTTTAAGAGTAGATAAAAATTATCTTGAGAGGATTTCTGTGAAACGGGAGAGGAATAATGTTTAAGTTGCAGTTATCAACGCGGTTTTCTGTTCTGTGTGATATAACTATACTGGATATAAATCAAAGCTAACTTCATGTTAGGAACTTATTTTCTAACATGGATCTTTTTCGGAGAGGTGTGACATCATTAGGATGTCTGTTATAGGAGACGGACAATGTAGAATGAAGTATTTGGGTGTCTTATGACTAAATTCACTACACCGGGTGCTCGTCCCTTCTCTGTCTAGTATCCGGGCCTCGAAACTACTACTCATTTCCCCGCTGCATATCGCTCAATATCATACATCGGTGACTCCTCCACTCCACTCTTCTTGTTAACCAAGAGCGACTTGCTAGAAAATCTGCTAACGTCAAAAATACCAGCATGAAGTTTCCTTTGAAGAAGCCTTCTCATCTCGAAGAGTAGGAAATCGAACGGCGGAAGATGGAAGGCAAATGCGAATGGAGGATGAGGAACCGTGAGAGATGAGAGTACTGTTATAACCATTCTCCATAGCTGGATGCTGGGGTCCAAGGGGTAAACACTTTTGTTTGTTCTGGCTCCTCAAATTTTGAACGAGATATATAAGAGGAAACTAGCAGCATCTAGCAAAGGGGGCCAGTTAGAAAAAAACCCCTTCCAAAGTTATTCATGTTGAGTGACATGAGGAGGGATGTAAATGATTTCAAGGAACCAAAGGGCGCCATGCTAGCGGAGATTGAAATACTCCACTCCAATAAGTGTGAAGGGAAGGGTGCTTATGAGGATCTTTTGCCCCCATTTGAACAAATTGTCGAAATTATGCAAGAACTGCAACCCACGAAGCTTCTATGTGTTGACTCAACGCAAACCAACGAACACGGCACACCGTTTACCCAATTGAACTATACCATCCGATCGAGTCATTGCTGGCGCTACTCTTCCCCCTCTGGAGCTTCATCTTCCGCAACTTTATCTTTCTCCGCTGGTGATCTTCTATTTAATCTTATCATGCCTTACCAGTTAGTTGTCTGTCCCAATGTACATACCCAAAAGACAAGGGTAAATAGTATCCCATCATTTTTCTCAACTTTTATGGGCAAGACTGAATGGCTATACGATGAGACAGCTGCAAAAACTGCAACTACGATCAAGGCGACGGAATGAGGCTTATGGAAAAATGTACATATCGGTTTACTGACATGAAAGTCTATGATTTTAGACTTCTTCCTACATGTAATGATACCTTTTTCCTAGCCAAGCGATCGCTTAGGTGACAGTTAACCCAACTGCCTTTATTGAACTAAGTAATTGGATTGGATCCCTAGAGAGGAAGTACGAAACAAACCACTGCAAACGCTGATGCAGAATTTATTGAATGCGGACCTTGATTTAGTGATTTCAAACTTCATTAGGGAGGAGGACAGATTAGGATCTAGCTTGTACCGATGCTTTTGACTCGAGGCCGAGGTGCATACCTCCATGTGAAAGGAACTTACTCTCTCAGGATGCAAGTCGTCTACATCCCCTAGACTATTATGTTTGGAGTGTCAGGCATTCCCGTGATGAAAGGCGTCTGATTGATGACCTGCCACTATTGTCAATGTATATCCAAATAAACACTCTATAAAGGTTCCCAACAGCAGGTTCCTATGTAAACATCCGGTTTATTTGCGCTCTCACTCAAACAGATCTTTTATAAGTTCCGTTTATCGATGAGCAATCTCGCGAATTTATGAGCAGAGCATACCATAAATGCGACCATATTAAGTTGAGGTAAGCGGAGCTTCATTTCTTAGCACCGGCATATACTGAACGTGTATCGACCAACGACTTTGGTGAAAACGTCATTGATTGTTTTTTCAGAGGGGAGGGAAGGGGAGAGGGGTCCTTCGGTAACAGTTGTAACATGCCGACAGAGGCTTTGAAGCTATTCGCCATCGCTACAGTTTCGTAAACTACTATATGATTATAGCACCGAGTGGTATCTATGGAGTTGAGTGACCATGGAAAAATTATGTAGTAGAGTGAGAAGCTTATTTTCAGATTGAAATCTTCAAATCCATTTCAAGGAAGGCATTTTGCAAAGGCGAAGCTGTGGAAAAATCGTTTGTCAGACAACAGATAACCCTAGTTTGTCAGGCAGTGAAGTATGGGTGTACAAATAGATTTGGCTTGGTTGGTCCTGCTGCATCTCTCATGGTGGCACCTTTTGAATCACATGGGTGTGGTCATATAAGTAGTAGTGTAGAAGATTCGAAGAGTTTAGCACAAGTAAGAGGTTTCCGAGCCTGTTGAAAGCTAGCACCAAGACTTATCGAATGGGACGGATAGTAGAACGGCTGCATTTTCTTGTGGTTCACTTCCTATCCATCTCCTGGGGGAATTTAAGGCTCCGCCAAGTCTCGAACATTGTATTTCGATGGTGAGTCCCAGGGCATTCAACAGTCCGGGATGTAGTTTATCAATATAAGTGTTTGAATATCTGAAAGCTGTTGGGAATTGCAAGATAGTTTAATGTTCGAATCAACTTCAATATCTCAGATTATTCGAGTATTCTAATTGGTTTGGGAACTTTAGTAATCTTTATCATCAGACTGCAGTCCAACATTATAAGGGTCTAAATGTCTAAAAGTAATTAAAGATCTGAGAATGGTTCAATACTCCAATCAGATTCAATATCTAAGATGATTTGAACGTTCTAATCAATTTGGGAATTCTACCAATCTTCATTGTTGGACTACAGTCTGGACAATTAAACACCCTGGGTTTGATTTCGTCTATTGGACTTCCTTTGAGTGCTTTTTGTGGAAGATGTCTTGAAGAATCATCAGAATTGACGTCTTCGTTTGTTGCCTGGGAGATGTCGAAGATGGACAAGCGATACCTACCTAGTAGGTATATATCAGGTGATAAAAAAGAACGCGTTACCTATCAGAGACAGAGTACTAGACTCCAGATCATAACAAACTCACCTTGTACTTATTTTTATACTTCAACTTCAACTTCAAATTGAAGATCCGAATTTTTAAATACCTCAAATTTCAATTCTTCTTATCACTGTCTACTCTCCTTTTCCTCAACTCTTTCAACTCTTTCGATCTTTGAACTCTTCCAACTCTAATGCTTCTTCTTGTTCCCAGGACCACTACCGACTAAAATTACAAGATGCATCCAGCGAAGGAATCTGGCGACGCTGCGAGAAATGGCTCTAGAGTGAAAGACGCGATGTCAAAATGGGGTAAGCAAAATCATCTTCGATCTGAGTTGTATGTACTGATTGTGATATTTCAAACAGAGGAGAAGGGCAAGACCCAAATTCCAAAACAGCATGCTCATCGCGACCTGCGTGGATTGCCGCTCCATGGAACATTGGTGGAAGCCCTAAGATTGTCGAAGGATATTGAACCACCGACCCCGATTCAAGTGGCAGCTGTGAACTCTTTTCTGTCGCGTGAGACAAATATATTCCTTCAGGCCCCATTTGGTGAGTATTTTTCTTTACCCAAGAAGCTGCAAATCTGGAACTAACTATTTAAAGCTGCGGGAAAGACTTGGGGTATGTTGTGCCAGTAGTGGACGAGGTACTACTCGCACATATCAACAAGAAGACATCGACGAAGAGAAGATTAATGATCCACCGACACACGAGAGGAGACGGAGTGGTTAGGAAAGCTTTTCGAATATGATGGTGACGTAACTCTACCTATCAATGGTACTGATCTGGAGGGTAAGAAACTTGGGAAGAAGCTGTACGATAAGCTCTCCTACTCATACACATCCATGTCACGCCACAATGGATCGGTCTATAGCAACATCCACGGCGTCCTTGCAGATGAGACTCGAACTTCTCCCGTGGTCTGTGGTACGACAGATATCATGAGAGATGGTGTGGACGCGCCTTTGATGTAGTGTTGCAGTTCTTGAAGCGTCCATCCAGGTACAAGGATTGCAGTCATGAAAAAATGATGGAGACGTGGTATTCAAGAGCGGGTAGAGTCGGTCGTTACGACCGTACTGCAATCGCATATACATTCATGAGACCTGGTGTAGATGATCACGCGGCATCGGAATTCATAAAGATTGAAGAGCAACAGGGAGATGTAGCGATGCAGTTTCTTCTGGATGCGAAGGCTCGCCACGATAAGCAAAAGGTAAGACATATGTTCTTTGAGTTTTAAATGTGGGAACTTGAGTACTGACTTGATGATAGGGAATTGTAGAGGGACTCAAGAAAGGAGAGTCTTCGTCAAATTCATGAAATATCATCCACCAATCTTTCCAGTTATGTCAATGATTCATCTGGTCCTCTGTCTTTTTGACAAGTTTATCAGAGGGTGAATATGCTTGTCCTCAGCTTAGAGAGCGGGTGGTTTTAGTTGGTGGAGGGAGTTTTCATTTGTCATGGGGTTGGGGAGGTATGCCCGTTTACAAGAAATTGGTTGTACAAAAAATGATTTACAAGAAACAAGGTTACAAGAAATTGGTTGTACAATAGACTAGGTTACAAGAAATTAGCTATACAATAAATGATTTCCAAAGAACATCGTGTCATAAGACATTCTTCTACCTAGGTAGTATTATCATGTTGTGCGCGCAGATTTATGACATGTAGTTGAATGTAACACATCCCGGATAAACATTATTCCTTGAATTCCCATTATTTCATTCCACCACGTACCAGAGGGTGCATGAATTGACGGGACACTTCCCAACATTCGATGTTTTTAGTGAATTTAATCTTCAGTTGTTTGATATCAGAATTTATATTTTGATTCTTCCATCTCTAATCAATAATGGTGATGATTCATAGAATAAATGATTCGATATATCAAGAGATATTCACAAGTCCATTTTTGCAGTGTCCCGTTAATCCGTACACCCACTGGTGGACAACAGGAAGAATCCCAAAACGTACTTTAAGAACAGAAGACGGCAGCATGACAAGGAATGATGAAGAAACTCTATGATAATATTGTGTATGTTCCAAAAGGCAGAAAAGGAGCAACATGATGAAAAGACATAGGCTCAGGAATAAGCTACAAATCCCGATTGAGATTGCAAGTATCGGAATAGCTTTCAGGATAGTTATCATCCATCAAACTAGGATTTGATCATAATAAACAATCTCGTACTAAATGAAAAATAGCTTTACTCAATAACGGGGTAAGCTCATCCCACAAATGTCCCGCAACCTATCCTTAAAAACAAATCCCCCCCAAGAATTGTTACAGTCTATTACCTTCTCCATTTGTTGTGTGTTGATCTGTGTGGCGGAAATGCTCATCTTTGCCTACTCATGAGGTATATGCAAGAAATTTCGGAGAACCTCCTGAGTTCTCCTTGGGCAATTAATCTAAACTCTGCCCTGGCAAAAATCTACATATAAGAAAGGCATCCAGAGATACTAGATTGCCGTATCCCCCGTGGCCTCTACCAAGTCCCTTCCTGCTTATTTCATAAGATCTGAGGGTATATCTTTTGTATAGTAAAACGATTGTGTAGGATCCTTCAGCCAGTATTGTAATTTTCTACTCTCTCTATCCCTATAGTACCCCATGCGAGAACATCTTTTGGAAAAGCCTGGTCTGCTATGATCTTAAACTTGTCTCGCATTGAGAAGCTGCTTGTCGTATAAGAGCTTTTCTGCTGCATATTTGAGAAAAATTGGTAAAGCAACACATCGCTTGGACGATCTCTTTGGATATGACTGAATATGAAAGGATACCTGCTGAAATCCCCAACGACAGCTCTTGTTTTGACTCGGCTCAGGGTCACCGTTTTACTGCCAGGTTTGACCCGCCTTGACTTGAATCTTATACTGAACTAATTGGCGGGTGTTGAACGTGTGATACGCGATAAAAAATGTTTTATACTGTTAGCTTGACTGAGATGCCATCATCATCACGTCATGATTGGCTAACCATGAGTGGGTTGAGCAATCAACCTCCAGCTTTGAATTGAAGCAGAACTTGATAATCTAGACAGGGATTGTCTGGCTGTACTCCATTTCCCGATTTTGGTTCTCATTATCAATGGCAAAATCCTCATCCAAGATTCTACCAGGGAGTTGTGGTCTCTGCTCATTCCACACAGTTACAGGAATTTTCTGTTCCACAATAGTAGCCAGAAGGTTTGCATGTTGAATCCCCATCTGCGTTCCAATATATCGCAAATTCTTAACACAAAATGCTCGAACATCTGGAGTCGAAAGGCGCAAATTGCCTACTAGTAATAGTGGCCAGATCAAAAAATATCCACCCGAGAATCTAATGGTAGGGAAATCTGTTCCAAACCCATCTTTCTCGAAGCCACTCCAGAGTTGTGTATGCCCACTGTTCCTCGAAACGTAGCCCATGTGTTGCGGCACACTTGCGAGAATTTCTGCTTGTAGGTGGTAAATTATTTCTGTGCAGATTTGGAATCTCTCTGCGTATTCGGACCCAAGTAACGATGGTACAGGAGAAGTAAAGTCTTTCAGTAAGACCTCTCTGATCGTTTCATTGAGTAAGATTCTGAGTTCTCTTATTGCATTCCAGATTTGAGCTACCCAGTGATCATAATACACGTGATAGTAGCCATCAAATACAACATCCGGATCTTTGTCTGTCTGAACTATTGTAAATTCCCACCCTTTCGGTATGTTTGTAAAAAAGGCGAGGAATCTTTCGTCCAAAGCCTCAGCATCATCAAGAAGCTCCTGAGCATCACTATAGTAACCTTCGTGATATCTAGCATTGAAAGACGTGTAGTCAATCATTATTCTTTGAGCGATCCAGGCCGGATCAACATTTGTCATCTCCTTTTCTGCGAATTCTGTAATTTCGACGATGTATTCTGGTAGTGGAATATCCCTCTGGATGCATGATATCAGCAGGCTCGAAGTTACTTGTGCTAACAAGCGTATGCCCCCATTTTTCTTGATGGCTTCCGGCCCCCGAAGCTTGACAACTGCCGCGGCACCATGAATGTGCTCTGCCCATGCTTTCATTGATTTCTGGTTACAACCTGTGATAGTTTCAAAGATTCCGAGGATCAATATCGCTAATAAAGTACTGTCTCTCTTGACGGCAGTTGGAGATTGAAGGGCAGTGTTAGTAAGTTGAAGTGATTTGGCATATTGTACGCGTGCTTGATTGATAAGATGGGGAGCTTTTGCCGAGTGTGCATAACCAGCCAGACCCACTGCTTGAACTGCGGCGACAAGATTATCATCTACGCTATCAGATTCGTACAGATCGGAAAGGAGATCAAGGTGTCCTCGAGTTGGACCATTATCGCCTATAACATAGTTTGATAGGAAGAATGAGGTAGCTCTATCTTCAATGGATGGCGTTATGTTTAGATAATTGACAGAGATAATCTGGTTAAATTGCGAAGCCTTAACGACATCGCGTGGTGAGTTTCCTCGACTTGAATATGGTGAGGAGGTGGTCGAACAAGAACCAGTAGAGTTCAGAGAAACATGTTCCGTCCCCTTTTGCTTGGCTTTCTCGTGTTTAACCTTTGCTTTTTTAATAACGTTTTTAGTTTCTTCCCGGAAAATCAGGTCAACCTGGGATCTATACCCGGGGCATTTTCGACCCGCATTCGAACACTGAGTGCATCCAGTGGGAACTGCATCACACTATAATTTGTTGGTCAGCAACTGACATGGACACATGGTGAATCTTCAAATGCGGAGAGTACGCCAGATCAAGTAATGTGTAAACAAACCTACTTTTGTCTTTCTAGCTCTACATGCATGGCATCCTTTAGAGGGACGGCCACAAAAAACCATAGTTGACCTGCGGCGTTGGCTTGCAAAATCAGGTGCTTGATACCCAGCTGACCCTTGTTAAATTCCCGGTCCTTTTAGGGGACGATATACTGAAACAGGATCAAAATATTGGGGACAGGCGCCGCAAGCGGTTGTTTTGGCAAATAATTTAGATGATGTCCAGTACGATAACGCAAATGTGAGGAAATTAAACGGGGGTCGCTTCACTCTTCGCAATGGTGGCCTCGAAAAGGGTAGAAAAGCTATGTATATTAACACAATCTTAACAAAGTAGCCAAGAGAAACAGCGAAAATCTAACATGAGTATGAGATCTCAAAGCATGTTGTTGGGGACAGGTCAGTCTTGTTTGACGTCTACGGTGTAAAGAGTAAGCATATCACGTGAAAGTTTTATCCAATGTAATTGGTTGAGCTTTCTCGTTTATACTTCCTATTAGAGGGTATGAGGAAGTTGACCAATGAAAACGGATCTATAGGCCAGCTGTCAGAGATCTTCAACTGGTTAAGCCTGTATTGTGGGGCCTCTAAATTAGTCTGACAAGGCACATCAGTATGACCCGACAATTTGGCGACCAAATGAAAACAATCGAGACAATGTTGAATGAACAATCTTCCTTGGTCTTTCCAATTTTCTCACACCGGCACGCACAAGGAGGCTGCCAACCATGATTTATGCAATTTTATGACGTTGATGCCTTATATAAGGCTACACAGCTCATAGCAGTCGTCCAGCTATCCGATTAAAGTGATTCAGCTAAGTGGGTACTTATGTTATGGTTGTAATATGGAGATATCAAAATTTCCTAATTGGGCTATCATGAAGTTCAGTTGGCGTCTATGCTTCATTTTACGTGATGCTAAATTTTCAAACGCAGCCCTGTGGAAATTCAAAAGTGGCTCAGCTGGGTTGGGTTGATTTTACCGTCATGGTATCGAAGTCTCACAATTTCCTAATTTGGCCACCATGAAGTTGACATTGATTGTTGTTTATATTCTTCATAAGTCGTTATACTCCCGCTTACCATTTTGTTCTATGCCAAATCAAACTCAATTATCTTACAGTGCTATCATACGTTATACTGAGCTCCTATAATACTTTTGTTCGAACTTGTTCAGCTCTCTAGTTTGCTCGTTCGTACCTTCTTGCGTGCAGGAAATGGCCATTTATCTGTACAAGAAATGGAAAGCAACAAGAGAAACTCCTTCGACTCCGTCAGGACCCTCGATCGAAACTTCAAAGCCATCAAGATTGTGCAAACACAGAACCAATTCCCTAGATTTCACGTCAGAGCAAGAGTCAGCAATTCTTCTCGAATCTCAAGCAAGGAACAGTGAAGGCAGAGAGGGCGGTACAAGTGAGCCTCAAGCTGGTACATCTTATGCTGAGCCATGTAGTCTTTGTATACAAGAGAAGAAAGCGTCCAGACGATATCGATGGAGGTTAACTGCTGGGCTTATGCTACCATATATGGTACAAGCCCTAGATATCACCATTATTGCTGGGGCTTTACCTTTCATTGCTTCAGATTTCAGTAAGCCCTAAGCGGTCCATCTCTTCCATCAATTTTAACTAATTGCTATTCAGATCAACTTTCACAACTTAATTGGATTATCTCCGCCTTCAATTTAACCGCAACGGCATTCATACCAGCCTGGGGTCAACTTGCCGACATAGCTGGCAGATATGCGACTCTTCAGGCGGCATTAGTTTTCACCTTGATTGGAAGCGCCCTTTGTGCTGGCGCACCAGTGAGTGCTTTCACCATGCTACTATTTGGTCGGGCATTACAGGGACTCGGCTGTTCCGGGCTTCTAATTTTGACCAAAGTTATCCTTGCCGATAAAGTCTCCCTCAAAGAAAATGCAAAAAATAACAGTGTATTCGCTATTGTTAGTGGCCTGGCCTATGGATTTGGACCTATCGTCGGAGGAGCATTGACACAAGTTTCGTGGCGCTGGTGCTTTATTATCAATATTCCAATCGCGCTAGTGGGTATGGTTGGTGTGCATTTCCTTCTTCGACCAATAATGCTTGGCCCTCAGAAAATCAGACGAACAGACGATAATACCGAAATGAAAGGGCGCCAAACGTTTATGACAAGACTTTCAACACTCGACTTTGGAGGACAATTTTTATTTCTCTTTGGCATGGGTCTCTTCATTCTTGCCTTAACGTGGGCAGGAGCTTCCTACCCATGGTCAGACGTCAAGGTGATTGTTCCTCTCGTTTTGGGCTCTCTCCTCCTCATTCTATTTCTCGTCTGGGAATACCTTATGATGCCAGGCTCAGCACTAGCAGTGCGATATCCATATCGTCGTGCTATGATTCCATTCAAGCTCATCTTAAGTCGCAACTCTGGACTCCTAATGTACATCAATTTCATCACCGGAATGGCAATGTACGCCGTTTTCTACTTCGTCGATATATATTTCGCTCTCGTACTACAATTCTCTTCCAGTGAAGGAGGTAAGAACCTTCTTTACTATATTCCAGGTTTGGCAGGCGGCGTATACCTTGCCATGTTCGCCTGCAATGTATTCCCCCGCCAGACTTGGTATCCACTATTCTTGGGTGCGCTCATCGAACCTCTCGGTATCACGATCCTTGCTGCAGCTCTTTCCTGGGGTCATCTACCTACCATCTACGGCATGCTTGCTTTAACTGGTATCGGAACTGGTATCCGACTCATGCCCGGCACCCTCCATGCTATAGGTCATTATCCTACGCAAATTGCACCCCTTGTCTCCATGATGTCTCTTTCTTCTTCGCTTGGTGGCACACTCGCCCTGACAATTATGCTCAACATCTTCAATAACCATCTCTCCTCCTCTGGTATATCCGTATCCGGTGCCACCACCGCGAGTTTCTCGGGCATCGCAACTTTGGAATCGGCAGAACAGGATTATGTGAGAAAGATGGCGAAGGAGGGGATAGTTTTGGCTTTCTATGCTATCTCGGCCTTTTTGTGGTTGGGAGTGGGCGCGAGTGTAGCATTGGGGAATGTATGGATTGCTAAGGGAGGTGAGGAGGGGATGGCTAATTTAAATGGCGATGAAAAGGTGGGACAGACGTGCGAAGGAAGTTTTCTTGGGAGTTTGTTGAGGAGAAGGAATGGGAATAATGCGGAAAAGGCTTAATATGGACGTGAAAGTTATCCATCTATCATCTACCTATATAAATTAAAATAGAAATGCAGCGTTAGGGTAAGATTGTTGCGCATCCACAGATTTTACAGTTTTTATTTCTGTTGCACATCTATACTTCAAATCCAAAACTGAAAGTTCAAACTTTCAAACAGGAACAGAAATCAGAGATTTTTTGTTGCACATCTGAGTTTTTGTAAAGCGTGGAACTTAATCCCAAAAATCTGAACAAAATAAAGATATCAAAAATCTTTTGTTGCATATCTGAGTTTCTGTAAAAGCTTGAAAGTTAATCAAAGGCACTTGAGTGAAATACAGGTATCTATAACTTTTTGTTGCACATCTGAGTTTTTATCAAGTGCGAAACTTAATGAAAAGTATTGAGTCAAGAAAAAAATATCTAGAATCACCAGGAATTTTGTTGCACGTCTGGATTTTTATCAAGCGCGAAAGTTAGCTAGAAGGATTTGGCCAAAACTAAGGTTTCTTGAGGGGGGTTATATCCAAGTGAGGTCCTTAAAGATTTTATTAACAAGTCACCAAATTTTGAAGATTTTCTCGTTGGATCGACCCAAGAGCGAGCACTAAATCAGATATGCAACAAAGCTTTCATCATATTGAAAAGAAGCTTTCTTATTGGTCTCGTCTCGGCTAACAATATGAAAGATTATACCATAAATAACAATAGGTATCAAACACGAAATTCGATAACTACAAACTCCCCCAAGCTCTTAACATAATATGCCAGCATCCATATCCACCGACTTAAACTCCAATGTTTCCAATAGCCTGACTAACAAAGCAACTTATAAATTCTCTTCCACAAGGGCCACTCCTCCATCTCCATTTCTCTCCTCTGCCAGCCCCTACCTCCTCTATACAACATCCCTGCATCCACTTCATTTCTTCCCGTCCTCAGATCAATATCTTCAATCTTCATCCATCTTGTTCGATACCAAAGTTTATATCCCGCATAGAAGATTAACACCACTGGCATTGCCAAATATGCCTCGAAAAAGCTACTAATCTTGGAGTTGATCCCGGTATGTACAGTCCCGATCGGATCAACCGCTACCCAGAATTGTGCAATGAGAACCAATACTATCATGCCGAGGCCAATCCACGAACCAATTGTACCAACGGGGGATTGATAGATCAGAGAATGAACACTGTGGCCTTGCTGTGTCCACGCTTTACGAAACCGTATATGCGAATAACAAATAGTTCCCCACGTAAAAAGCGAAGATAGCCCCGAGAGGGCTAGTAACCACGTGAATGCCGAATTTCCAGCAGGCGAGACATATAGATAAGCCAGGAGACCAAACGCGGAAGCGATAGCAATGGCGACCAATGGACGGCCTTTTCGATCAATGTAAGCGAGAGGACGAGGAGCTTGGCCTTGCGCTGCGAGAGAAGCGAGGAGACGAGAAGAGCCGAACACGCACGAATTAGCGACGGAGAGAACGGCAATTAGGATTACGACGTTCATTACAGAGTCAAGACCAGTGATACCTGCGGATTGAATGGCGATTATAAAGGGAGAGGCTTTGTTGGTGCTGGCATTTGTGGTGGAAATGAGAGAGGGAGAGTTGTAAGGAACGAGCAGGCCGATGATGGTTATACTAAGGATGTAGAACTAGGGAATTGTTAGTTTTTAACAACCCGATTGATCAGAGTAGCTTATACTCACCAAAACAATACGCCAAAAGACCTGCTTAATGGCTGTTGGTAAAGATTTGCTTGGATTATAAGTTTCGGCAGCTGCTAGTGCAACCAATTCTGTTCCTGCAAAGGAGAATGCTGCCGTAACGAGAATATTGCAAAATCCCTTGAAACCATGATTGAAAGCCCCTGGATCAGTCCAATACATACCCCCTATATACCCAGTTCTAGGAGTTCCCGTGCAATTTATCACTGCACCAAGAATACTAACAAAATTTAATTGGAAAAATTATCAGGGAGAGACCCATCGAGAAGCACTTACATGAAGCCTATGATAGCCGTGACTTTCAATATGGAGAAGGCATACTCTGCTTCACCAAAGGTCTTGACGCCACAAAGACTGATGAATACAACAGCGACTAGAAAGAGTGTGATACTAGCCCAAGTTGGTATTGAAGTACTCCAGAATTCGAGGGTGATTGCTGCAGCGATGATCTCTACTGGAATGATGATGAGGCATTGAATTGCATAGTTCCAGCCCGTTGCAAAGCCCCAAGCTGGATCTATGAACCTAGTCGCAAATGTTGAGAACGAACCTAAGGTTTGTTAGTATTTTGTAGCCACTCATCATAATCTTTACTTCATTACCGGCAACTGGGAAAGTAACTGCCATTTCTCCTAGTGCTTGCACTGTACAAAACAACATTCCGCCCATCAAAAGATATGCAATGAGAAGAGACCCAGGACCTCCAATGGCTAATGCTGCCCCAGAGCTCACGAATAAACCAGTGCCTATACACATTAGTCATTCCAGACTTCAGAAATTGTCATAGATAACTAACCTATGGACCCTCCGATAGCTAACATCTACCTCAAAGAGTCATTTCTTGTACGAATAGGTTCATGTGGGACTTTCAATACCTGTAAATGACGACCTTTTAAGATCCTGACCAAGTGTGTGTTGGCTATATTTGAAGCCGCAGCTTTATCGTTGTATTTCCTTCCATTTGTACCAACAAAAATAGTCGGTCCTACATTTTTCTGAGCATCGCTACGAAAGTTATCAAAAGCTTTAGTCGGAAACTTTCTCGTCTCTTTGGGTCTCATTAAAAGAGGTACAATGGTAGAGCTTGTGGTTGCATAAACTTTCTCCATGTTCATGGCGGGGTCAACCATCATAGAAAAGGTTCTTGACACCTCAGGTTGTTTCAATAAATCTAGGTGGTTCTCGAAGAAGAGGACAAGTTTGCTGGGGCAGTGAAGCAGCCCGTGAGTCTCAATGATGAGATGTGATGGTTATCAAGAATCCTCGGTCCTCAAAACCAGATGATACAAACCGAGAAAAGATGCATGTGCTTCACATCAAGCGATAAACTTTGATCTTGAAGCTTTTACAGTATGAAATTACTTTGCAATTTGAGAGATAATGTCGAAATGGGCATATTAACGGAAGAATACAAGACGGACAGGCCCTAATCAAGGCCGATAAGTTGCCCCTGTGTATCGTGGCGTTGAATTATGAATGACATTCAAACTCGGGAATTGTCCACAAAACGGTCTCATCCTACTGGGTGTGTAAGGTAGCCGGCACAGAGATAGTCGCCCGTTCATGATTGATTGTAAATTTGTAGCAAGAATGCAGTATTTGTGTTCAAGTTTCAAAGTACACTCCCCAAGCCTCCAACCAGACTATACGTTGGGAAGTATGCAAGGTGCGGCCTGGGAGCACAGAACGATTCAATCTATTGATTCCAATGCCCCTGAATTTGTGCATGTGTGCCTGCAGCAAGCAGCAAGCAGAGTGCAGAGTGCAGAGTGCAGAGTGCAGCACATAAAACATTGCTATCCAGGCCTCGAAGAGTGGTAGGAATGAAAGAAGTCGTCCCGGGAGCGTAGTAAAGCTTTGGATATAAAATTTCTAAGCTTTAATTACGAACCTTGGAAGGCCGTTATTCCGATATCCCTATCAATGGAAGTACGTACGAGAGACAACGTGGAATGTCCGAAACTCAAAGGCTTGAAGGAAGTTGATTGATAGGTTGAATATTTTTGACGTTTCCGACCGGTACGCTAAAATATCATACTTCATCCACTTCATAGTTTCCTTTAGGAAAGCAACTCCGAAGCTTAATAACTTCCCGTCCCAAGAACAGAATTTATTCGTCCCGACCTCATTTTTTCAATTTCAAAGTCTTCACAAATGAAAATTGCAATCTTACAATTCTGAATGTCGTTGGTGGGTTCGGATCATGATGTCTCTTATCTTTTAATCCCGCTTTGCACAAGGTCCGAAAACAGCCTTGGACCATCTCTTGGGCAGCCATAATTCAAAACTCGAAGTCGAGTCTGCAGGGGAAAATGTTACCAGTGGAACGATTCTGATTTCCTTTCTCACGATCGCCTTGATGCTTGACAACTACTCAATATCCGGATAAACGAGAAAAATATTACCAACTCGTTTCTTGCCGGACACGAAAACGGGAAAGTAGTCCCCAAAGTTTGGAACTCTCATCTTCTTTCACACATATCGGCCAAGGGACTTTATTGTCTTGTTTTCATGTGCAGAATAGCATTTCCATAAGACTTCCCTCAGTATGCTTTATTCAACAATTTCCGGCATTAGCACCTACACGAATAATGGAAGTTCTTCGACGTTATGCCACAGAGGCGCCGGAACAACGTGCTTGGATAGATACTAAACCTACATTCATTGTTAGCTGGTGGTGTACATGTTTTGCCATTGTTATAATTTTGTTTCGAATTTTTGGAAGATATGTTCGGACGGAAAAGATCTATCTCGAAGATGGCATCATGGTGCTGGCCATTATACCGCTGCTTATGAGAATGGCTTTCGTCCATGTTATCTTGATGTTTGGCACCAATAACAGTGTAACACTCGGTTTAACATCAGAGGATGTGCGGGAAAGAACAATTGGGAGTCAACTCGTTTTAGTCTCAAGGATTATGTACGCTGTGTAGTATGTCATCGCCCGATCACCATTCAAAAAAATGTACTGACGATTGTAGCCTTTGGGCCATAAAGTATAGCATCAGCATATTCTTACGTTCTTTAACTGGTCAGATTTGGCAACGAGTACACCATAAATTACTCAGATATCTTCATATTATGCTTGCGGTGACCTTCTTAGCCACAGTCATTAGTGATATTGTTGAGTGCCAGCCTTTCACCCATTACTGGCAGGTTATTCCAGATCCTGGACCGAAATGCCGGCAAGGATATGCGCAACTCTTCACGGCCGGTATTCTCAACATCACTACGAACGTGGCTCTCATTGTCTTTCCTATTCCAATGATCCTAAAATCAAATTTATCGACACACCTCAAACTCAGCGTCATTCTACGTTTAGCCCTCCCAGTTTTCTGTATTTTCGCAACGATCAATCAACTCAAAAAGGTTGTATCTCATAACGGCGATCAACAGATCCGCTCACTCTTAGCTTCTCGTAAGGTCCTTTTTCTTACCACCCCATAACATGCAATCTCTAGCTAACAAAAAACACAGTCGACATCCTCCTCACAACTCTGATATCCAATGCTTCGGTGATCGGCTCGCTCCTCCAAGACAAAGGTTACAAGAAGACGAAATACAAAACTCCTATCTACCGCGATATTCCCTCCAGCGTCCCCTCTACTAGCTATACTCGAAGACATGACAGCGATGAGGACCTCATGATTACCAGTCCTGACACAGACGGAAAGGCAGCTATGATGATAGCACTGGAGGTTCTACATGAAACTGCAAGTCGGGAGAATAATGAGGCAAGAGATTTTGGTGCAGGTGCATTGGGAAGCGGGGTCAGGAAACCTGAACATGTCTGGGCTGGTGATCAGATTAGGGTTGAGAGGGCATGGGAGGTGCAGGTATCAAGAGAAGATATACCCAGGAGTGCCTAGATGAATTAGAAAGTCTCTATGAATTAATTGCGGTCTGGTTTATCCTTAGGTTTCGCGGGTCGGGCTTATCGATACGTAATACTGTACAAATTATTCAATCTCATTCGACTCAACTTCATGTACATAGGTATTGTTAGATACTGTATAATCTGAAAAGTTTCTCTGCATTTTTGTTTCCTCCTTTATGTGATACATGAGATTGGACAGGCTTCGAAAATGACATCGGTTATACCTGATGGCAGCAGAATATATTCCCCATAAGCTCCCGGTGAGCTTAGACCTTTTTTTATGAATTGCGCTTGAAGATTTCAACCGACATTCTCGCACAGGCATACTAGATGAATATATATATATATATAACGTGATTCATATGCATGCGGGCCATATCACCATGTGGGCCACTTTCACCTCAATTCCCACTCACTCAATTCAACACGCGATATATCAACCATTTATTATGGAATCTACAAATAAAGAAGCACGACTCCTTTTAGCCATCGAGGCTATACGAAAAGACAAAAAACTAAGCATTCGAAAGGCTGCTAAAGCATATAATGTACCGCGTACTACGATTCAGCATAGAATGGACGGATCTACCCCTCGCACCGAATATCGACATACATCTCATAATCTTTCAGAATTAGAAGAGGATATCATTATTCAATATATAATCGATCTAGATTCGAGAGGTTTTGCACCTAAATATAAAGCGATAGAAGATATGGCCAATTATATTCTTGATTCCAGAGGGGGGAAAAGAGTTGGAAAGCAATGGGCATATCGATTTGTGAAACGCAACAAAGAGCTAAGGACGCGTTTCAATCGCATTTATGACTTTCAAAGAGCTCTCTGCGAGGATCCTAAGCTTATTGCAGATTGGTTCCGACTTATTTCGAATATGCGGGCTAAATTTGGCATTCTTGATTGTGATTTATGGAATTTCGATGAAACGGGCTTTATGATGGGGATTATAAATGCTGGTATGGTTGTTACTAGCTCTGAGAGATCCGGTAGGAGCAAGGCTATACAACCAGGCAATCGAGAGTGGGCGACAGCGATCATATGTGGAAATGCTGTTGGGGAGACAATACCTCCATTTTTAGTAGTGCAGGGACAAATGCACCTTTCAAATTGGTATACGGAGACTGATCTTCCTGCAGATTGGGCTATCAAACCTACAAGCAATGGGTGGACGAATAATGAGACTGGCTTAGAATGGTTAAAACACTTCGATAAACATACAAGAACTCGAACTAAAGGCCGATATAGAATGCTAGTGCTGGACGGGCACGAAAGCCATGAATCAATACCATTCCAGGCCTATTGCAAGGAGAATGACATTAAATGCATATGTCTACCAGCGCATTCAAGTCATTTAACCCAACCTCTTGATGTGGGCTGTTTTAGTGTCTTAAAACGAGAATATGGTACCCAAATTGAGGGTTTTATAAGGGCTCATATCAACCATATCTCAAAGGTCGAATTCTTTATAGCTTTCAAAGCCGCATATGAGAGATCAATCACAAATCAGAATATGAAATCCGGATTCCGAGGAGCAGGATTAGTTCCATTTAATCCTGAAGCTGTACTCTCTAAACTAGATATTCATCTTCATACACCTACTCCTCCCCCTTTCGATATAGATTTATGGATCTCTCAAACCCCTCACAACCCTACAGAAGCTCTCTCTCAATCAACACTAGTTAAATCTCGAATAACTCGTCATCAATCAAGCTCTCCTACACCTATATTCAAAACCGTACTAGCTCTAGCTAAAGGTACAGAGAGATTAGCACATGAGAATACACTTTTAAGTGCAGAAAACCGTACACTTCGGAAGGCAAACGAAGCATTAAGCAAGCGTCGACGCGCAAAAAAGATTCAATTACGTCAAGGAGGAGTGCTTACTGGACAAGAGGCTCTTGATATATTATCTCAACAAGAGGTTGATGTTCAGATTCAACGCGACGAGCGTCAAAAGAGGGGAAATTCTAATGGGGAAGCATCTTCTAGTCGATGTTGTAGCAAGTGCGGATTGACAGGGCATAATACAAGAACTTGTCAAAATAATGTAATAGATCCTATATTATTAGATTCTTAAAAGCTTTAATCAATTGAATCAATGATTGTTGAATAATATGAATTTGAATATGGGAATTGAGGTGAAAGTGGCCCACATGGTGATATGGCCCGCATGCATATGAATCACGTTATAGGTATATATATTAATTTGCTCTGCAAAGAGTTCTTCCAGATTTCAATTTCAAAAATGAAATGGCAACATACCATGTTCGATCAATGAAGCACAAATTTTGGAAACATTTCTGTCTTGAGATCGACAGCGCAGACATCAATAGCAAACTCAAGCCAGGGTTCCTGGAGCTGTTGAAGTGTCTTCCCCACTTTTCCCCAGCGCTTGTAATTTAAAGTTGACAACCCTAAGAGTCTAGCTTGACATTTGCCTTGATATTTCAGCTGATCTAGGTACAGGACCGGCTTTTTTCCGAGGGTATACAAACAATTCATTATATTGAATATCCAAGAGACCTCTTAATTTTTATTTTTCAGCCATTCCCTCGAAGCTCAACATCTTTTCAATTGCACAACAATAAATCCTCAAGATGTCGTCTTCCTACGCTATGAAGTCAATGGGCTCTAAAGGTTAGATACATATCCCTCCAGACCGATTGCTTCTCAAAGTTCTTGATCTTTCCGCGTTTAGTTTGTAGTCCCATACTCACTCAATCAACAGCCTTTAATCATTCCTCTTCGAATGATGCTGAAGCTGAATATGACCGACTGCGCGACCTCGCTCACAAAGAAGCTGCCAAACGCTCTCAATGTTTCGATCAATCACGTCAAGCTTACACTTCCGGCGACGGTGCCAGAGCTCACGAATTAAGTGTCGAAGGGAAGAAACACGCGGCGCAAATGGACGCATACAATAAACAGGCATCAGACTACATATTTCGAGAGAACAATGCCCAAGGCAGAGTCGGAGACGATGAAATCGATTTGCATGGACAGTATGTTGAGGAAGCAGAGAGCATTGTGGAGGAAAGAATAAGATATGCTCGACAACAGGGACAAACCCATCTACATGTTATTGTCGGAAAGGGAAATCATAGCAAAGATCATGTCCAAAAGATCAAGCCGAAAGTGGAAGAGATTTGTAGGGAGTTGGGTTTGCAATATGCGACTGAAGAGAACGCGGGAAGGATGTATATTAACCTGCAAGGCGGTGCTGCAGTTATACCACCCGTCGGAGGAAGTCATGGGGGACAGCAACATCATGGTGGTCAGCAGCAATCTGGACACCAACAACCCTCTTACCAGCAACCTCAGCAAGGATATCAACAACCTCAACAGAGTGGATATCAACAAGGAGGGTACCAGCAAGGCGGTCAACAACAACACCAGCAGCAGCAAGAACAACAAAACAACGACGACAACAACGACGAATTGGAGAAATTGGCAAAGAAATTTCTCCCAAGAATATTACGGAAGGCAGAAAAAGCTTGTTGCGCGGTTATGTAAATATTCGGGTCGCACATCTTGGATTTTTTTTATTTGGATATATATTTTTTCTAGCGTGGATTTAGTTTTCTTCAAAATATACCTTGGGTTCCAGAGGGGTTTAATTAGGTGGCATGATATGGCTAGATGTCAATAGAGATGGTGTTTAATTTTGAATCTTATATGTAGATAGAAGATCACGATTTCATGATAAGTCTAATGAATGGATATTCCTAGTATTTGTCTTGATGTACTTGTCTCAAATCATTTACTCTGTTCAAACAAGTTAACTTCTACTACCTAGGTAGGGTAGGTATGTTATAGAACCCGATTCATGAACATTTATCAGTATATAATTGATGAATAACAGGGCTTTCACCTTGAGAAATCTGCTTGTATGCAAAGTTTCTATACATGAATATGACGCTCCGCTTGGCCACTGCCGTGGAGGCTCCTTCGCTTCGCTCTAGAATAGAAGGAGAAGGAATTTATATTTGACGAAAGATTTTAGATCTTATTAGAGCGAAGCGAAGAAGCCTTCACAGCAGTGGCCAAGTGGATCTTCATATTCAGATGTATTGATACATGAACCGAAAGTGCATTTGATATGCTATAGAGGAGGATATCATGACTACTTACCTGTATTCACATAGATATAAGTATAGCTCTATAATTGAACTATTCAAGATTTTACTGTCATTTTACATCTACCTGAATTTCTACTTACTTATGGAAATTACGCCTATATATCGTCGTATAATTTATCTTGGTACTGTCATCTGATCTATTATACTAAAAGTTTATCGGTTAGCGGAGAGGGAAAAAAACCACAAAAAGCCATGACTCTTACCTAAGTATCACCGATAAGTAAATCTCTTCCTGCAACAACTGTGGACAATTGTCTTTCCTTTTAATTTAGCTTTAACAACCCCCCACCATCCGTAATCGGCCTCAATTGTTTAGAAGAGCGACACCGGACAGCCATTGACCCATTTGATTGCACAACGCAGAGGTGCCGATAGTCATCCTTTACAGCTTCCCTTCGTCCTAAGTAAGAATCGCGGCTCAACCATCCGATACAGGATTATCGCGCATGGAGCCTTCACATGGGATTGTGGGCGGGGCACCCGCTTCCAGCCCAACCATAGGCGCGCGGCCAAGTACAGGAGAAGGCTTCAACAAACGCAAGAGAAGTGGTGCAGGTTTTGAGAGTAGTCCTGGAACTGGAAATGAACAGACGGGAAATGAACAAGATGATGAAGATGCAGAGAGGAAGCGACAACCAGCTGTGAAGAGAGCTTGTAATGAATGTCGTCAACAGAAAGTGAGTCATTACTTTCGAATTGGCTGGGGAGACACTCGCAATGCAATACAATCATGCGAAAGCGGTCCTATTCGAATCCCAGCCAAAAGGTTCTTCAATTGCTAATATTCAGTAATCACAGCTTCGATGTGATGTTGTTCAAAATCCTTACAGCACTTGCGGTCGATGTCAGCGATTAAAGCTCGAATGTAAGATTGAGCATAACTTCAAAAGAGTGGGAAAACGAACCAAACATGCGGAGATGGAGAAGCAAATGGAAAGATATGAGCAGTTAATAGCTCGTCAAGAACAATTGATAGCTCGCGCTCGACATCAAGGATTCGTTTACGATGATGAAGAACTCGGATCCCCGGTCACGAATAGTAGTGTTTATCAACATTCGAGAAATCAATCATACATAGGAGGAGGATCAGATGAAGCCGTGTCATCCCTACTACATCTTAAGCAGGGAGGTTCTTACAAAGTACCACAGTATGCGCGACAGATCGAGAACGTGGGACTAACGCAAGATGCCATTGACCATCTGTTTGCCGATTTCTTTCAATTTTATCACCCGTATCTACCATTTCTTAGCACGCAACAAACCCCCGATCAATATTATCAACAAGATCCCCTTCTTTTCTGGGTCATCATTACCATTGCGGCACGTCGATATACTGTGGACCCAGAGTTATTGTCTAATCTTCGTCAACCTGTTACGAAGATGATGTGGTCGAAAATCGCTGACGTGCCTAACAATTACCATTTTGTCAAGGCAATAATTTTGTTATGTACTTGGCCAATGCCGGTAGCTTCAACGGCAGCAGATATAACCCATATTTTGTGCGGTGTAATGATGAAAGCTGCAACTGGCATTGGGCTCCATAGGCCAAATAACACTCAAGATTTCTCTCGAGTATCTGTTGATCTGAACAGGGAGCAGTTACATGATAGAGTTGTGACGTGGGCGGTCTGCAATATTGTAGCGCAAAGTATAGCGACTGGGTATGGACAGCCAGCCTCAACATTATATGATTGGACACTTGCCCCTGTACAGCCAGGCGAAGAGGGACCTTTTACACTCTCGCCAGAGCTCCAAGCTCGTCTTGATATCGAGAGGTTCTGCGATAAAGTTTCGAAAGAAATGTATAGCAATGCTAAAGATCCAAAGGGTGTTGCTGGTGATGATGCCAGGCGTCAATTGACCAGGATATTCCGTTACGAGTATGAAAAGATGGAGAAAACAATTCTATCTCAGCAGAATTCATCGCCAATGATTAAACTTTACTATCGTGCGGCTGGGCTGCATCTTCGCCTCTCGGGTTTCTTTGATTCGAGTACCACATCTGGGTACTTGGATGACTTGATGGGATTATGGCGGGCTACATACGAGTTTTTGGATGTTGTCTTCGAACTTGAAAACCCACCATCCGGGAGCATGACTGGTGGTATCCTTCGATTCGCTACAGGCTACATCTCCCAACTGATCATTGCTGCTTCCTTTTCATTACTAAAGCTACTCAGTTCTTTCTTTGCCAAGTTTATGGATTTCGACCGCGGTCGTCAATTGTTTCATCGTGCAATTGACGCTATCAGATCCATGAGCATTGTACCAGGGGACTTGCCTCTGAGACTTGCGGAACTCATGGCTCAGATGTATAATGGAGCTCGAGTTGAACAGCGCCAGATAGTGCAACTAAATAATGGCAATGAACTAAGTTCGAGCTTTGGTGACATAGATGATAGCCTGCAGTTGAAACTTAGATGCAGGATGAGCATGAGCTTGGTATATGATTCAATCTGGAGATGGCGAGAGGAGTTCCAAAGCCAAGGCAGAAGTATTGAAGGTCAGTAATCTTGAAAAATTGTTCTGCATGATTTTAGTTCGTAAAAGATCTCCAACTAAGGACTCAATACAGCAGCGATCCAGAATCCGACCAATCTCGATAGTTCCAACGAATCATCTGCCTCTTCCACTCACTTAGACAGTACTATTATTCCTCCGAATCAGCAAATGCAGAATCAACTCCTCGCTGCAGTTAGCGCGGGCAACCCGAACGATACCATTCTCGGCGTCGATCAGACGCTCGGCGGACTTTTTGGTTATGGCGAACCGAACTTCGAGGGGGGATTCGATTCGCATTCCTGGTTTTTCAATGGAGGAATGGATTTAGGAATGGATTTTCCCTACAATCGACAGGCACTTCAAGGTCTTGAAGCCAGTGGATTTCTAGCTTGAAAGTCAGAGAGCTTTCAGTTGCCAAGCTAACTTGCGCACTAGACCCATTTTTACCTATCCAAGGCTTTTTTCCATGATCTTTTGACCCTGGGGAATTCAGCGTCGAGAAACAATCGGTGGGAATAATTATTTCTAGGGCCGCGTACTTTAACACTTTTGTTACTAACCGCCCATTCTCGTTTCTTGATTCCAAGTTCAACATATTTTTGCTCTCAACCGCCTGCTTCATTTCTCATTCTGTCTTCCATTTTCAATCTTTACGAAGTTCACGATTCTTTTAATGGCGCATTTGACGGTGGATAAAATACCCCTTTTGATATTTCTTTCCTTTCTAATCAACTTGGCACATTTCACTACATGCGATTCTGAAGTTTTTCCTAATTATGCCTGGTTGCATTGCGTTTTTATACCTCGATTATAGCTTAGTCTTCCTATGCGCGTGTTTCATATCACTAGTATGACGAGATTAATAGGTTGAAGCAATTTCTTTGATGATTATATATTCCCTTTGAGCGGAGTTGTTGGACAGAGTGGTGCTTGGAGAAATATTTCCTTCGGCAGTCGGATAGGCGATGTATAACTTGCCATGGTCTTTCTTCCAGGTGGGTGAGTGGATGGATGACAATGGTGTTATTGGAAACTGGGGTTTAGCTTGAGTGTGCAAGCTATTAGGCTGTGGTATGCCCCAAGCTGGTTCATGGTTGAATGATAATGGATAATTTGCTTCGGTGAAATAAAATGAAATTAGTGGTTTCAGGGGTTCAATGGCGGAGATTTTCAACGTCTACTGCCATTAGTTGGCTAATTGGTAGCTGATAGTTAGTTGATTGTTATTATCGCATCGTAGGTCGTAGATAGCAATTGAATAAAAGTCATCAGAGTAATTGTAGGTAGTGATGATATGATATTAGCGATGGGCGTACTATTGTGGTCTTGCATTGTCTTGCCTCCTATGATTTAAGAGATGTCGACGCGCCATTTATGTCGGGCCTATATAATTTTTAACCCGCAGTAGATGAAATGGACCATTCGAGAATACTCCACTCGATCAGAAGATATAGTTGCTACATGTGCACATTTCTTGTCAGATGGCTTGTGAAAATGTGTGATGAGGATATAGAATGAGATTCTTGGTTGTATATCTTGCTGTAACGTAACTATCAGATCAAGATCATATATAAATTTTAATCTCGTGTTTCATCGCCTGGTTTGGACGTCTTTGGATCTTGGGGTTTTCCTGTAATTTTATGGAGGTAGGTGGGTATGTAGTTAGGTAAACAGGTAAAGAATTATGGCATGGATTTGGAGATATGGGGTTTGAGGTTTGAGGTGGCTTGATTGGACTTAGGTTGATAGTTGGGTGGTTTGGGGGGTTGTGTTGTAGTGTGAGGGTGGGGGGAAGGGGATAGATGGGGAAAATGGGGTATTGGATGCTGTGTTGAGGAGGAATTTAAAGTATTGTGGGATTGTATAGGGGGCTTTAGATTGTTGCTGTTGCTGTTGCTGTTGCTATAGGAATCATGCCGTGCTTCATATTCTTCAGGCTGGTTATGAGAAGGCCGGCTCAATGGGAAGGGAATGTGTATTAATGCCTGGGCTGGGGGGGGAGAATTAATGGAGGTGAGAGATTAAGAATGCGGAAGAGCTATTTGATGTCATGTCAAGGAGAGCCTTTTGCATTCGCTCGGGGGTGTTGTTCTTGAGGGTATAGTATGTTTCTTTTTTTATTCCTTGCTTCTCCTCAAATCCTGCGGACGATTTTTCAAATGTGCGATATCGTTAGTGTCACAGGCTAGGGGGAAAGTATATGGGTTCAACACACACTTCAAGAACTCGCTCTCGCTGGCTCCCTATGAGCAAATCGAAAAGAAATCGCATCGAAATATTCTAAAAGGAAATTACTACTTCATTATCGATGCGCTATATTCGATCACTTACAAAGTCTGTGGGAGATTAATATCGGTAGTAAATGATGGTTCGCTACTGAAGGGGAGGAGTGTCTATTTGAGGATGAGCGGATTGGTGGAGGTCTTTTGGTTAGATGGAACCAGGTGGTTATGAGAAGTTTCTAATGTTTGATCGGAAGCTATTTTTGTGCGTATTGCTGGGATTATTTCTGGGTTGTTGTGGAGATGGCGAAGAGTGTGAAGATATGATTCGGGGTTTGATGATTTTCTGTGACGGGAGGGATGTGGAGTGTGGGTGGAAGCTATGAGTTGATATATGTAGGCGAGGAATGTTTTTTTAGTGATGGCTATTTCTCAGCGTTTGGCTTTTTTGGGGAGTATGTATTTGTCTTGAACGATCTTAATTGACTTATTTTGTGGAACATCTACGCGATATGCTTGAGATACTGTGATCTTGGAGAGTAGTTGTTGGACAAAGATGCTTTTGATACGTCGTTTCTGAAGCGTACGGTTCTGCGATTCTGCGGGGCCGCCTCCTCGATCAATAGATCTTGCAAAAGAAAATGTCGACTACCAAAGACTGAGTAACGCACGGCTGGGTAACTACTTTGCTTGGAGGTTTTGTTGAGATTTCCTACTTTTTTGTTCAAACGTCGTGTTGTGGCATAGCACTACTGGTATTTTAAAGAGAAAGACTTCATGTCCTACTTGTTAGTAAGTTCTATAAGCTGGAGTTTCTTGAGTTTAGTTTCGTTGGAAGTTTGGACTTGTAGACTGCGTCGTTGTGTTCATGCTCAAGAAACATATTATTTTGCTAGGTGTATTGGCTGGCCATGATGAAAATTCAATTTCCGCCGACAGGGAGTATCTTGGTTTTATCTCTGATTTACGTATCTCTTGAAACAGCTTGAGATCATCGTTTTAAATGAATTTATAGAGTGTGGGAAACTTAGCACATTTCCTATATTTATTTTCATCCTTGCTTTTCAACGCTTGAAACGCAGTCGGTTCTGATCGGATAGTTATCGAGGTATAGTAATTTATGATACTCAGATACACACGAGGACCTTCAAGCTTTGTTTGGCAAACAAAATACCTGCCTTTTCACGGATGGTCGATGGCTCCATATCTGTGAGTTTGGATGTGCTGAAAGTGAATTGAGTTGATCTGCGAGCGGGCCTGAGTGATCAGTTTGAGATATCGGCTTTTGAAGATCTACTTTGATGGAATGTTATAGCAAATAAAGGGATTTAAGAACCGATTTTTTGTATCATTCATGCCGAAGACTTCATGTGCATAAATCATAGCTTACGCTGTGCGAGATGCAATGGTTTATAAACACATTGTCTCATTATTGGCTTCTCCATTGTAATGAGTGCATGTAACTACTCAGGTGCATCTAGTAGTGACGAAAATGCGTAATATATTATAAATTATGAGAAATACTCGGTCACTCGAGAGGTTTCTGATTGCTCGAGGTATGCAAGGCAGGACATTTCATATGCAGAATGCGATATTGAGGTGGCGGTCTCATTTTTCTTGATCGTTAGTAGCTCATTAATCTGCTACTTTGGGCCTCCGATTTCAAACCAGTTGATTGATTGAACTACAGCCAATTTCAACAGGTTCATCTGCAAGGTAAGATCATGAATTGCCCTTTCCTACTCCTAGAAATCTACTTAGATACTCGGAGCAGAGATATAAACAATATTGCTTTCATCAACGACACAAACAAAACAAGAAGTGGATAGAGTGGTCATGAAAACCAAGACCATCCATTTCATTGTCAAAAGAAATTCCTCAAAATGCAAATGACCTTCATCATGCAGCAACCCCACAAACAATCCCAGGCTCACGTGTTTGTTCCAGCTTCCCAAAATTTCATCACCGAGTACAACAACTATTCACGATCTCCAGAATCCACAGCCCCGCCAATACAACCCTACCCTTAATAGCATCTGTATTCCAGCCCGACAATTCCAAACATAATCTCTCTCCCGTATCTCGCTCCCCTTCGCAATCGTACATCGTACACAGCCCACCACTCACATGCGCGTATTTTCTAACCCCGAATTTTGTCATCATACAGTTGACCGGGTCTTTAGAGATCGCAGCGAATCTAAATTCTTACCATTTCTTCGGAACAACGCCACATGTCTCGTTCGAGGCCATTGCATACAGTATCTCACCCAATCTCAGAATGTTTAATTCCTAGCTCTTACTCAGAAGGCTCGGCACCGCCGATATGCTTAGATATCTGTACTGATATTCAGGGTGCTTTGTTCTCTTTCGTTTTGGTTTTGCCTGCATATGTGGGTGAGAAATTAGCTTGCTTTGCCTTGCTGCTTTTGGCCCCCAAATTATGGCTAGGGTGAATTGGGTAAGGTGACGTTGTCAGCTTACTCACTTTTTCGAAATTGAATGTTCGATATCATAACGGGTGAATTGCTTGCAATCTTATTGAAGGAAAAAACATGTGAGAGTGAGATGCAGATGGCTAGTTTGCCGTGTGCATGGACTGCGCCCTAGCCCTATGCAAAGATTGCGCTTGAAGGCTTGTGGGCTTGCAGCGGGTAACGGATGATGGATTAGTAGATGGATATGTATCATGATGTATGAGGTACGTGGATGATACGGGTAAGGCGATGTGAAGTGAGGGGAAGGGAATGGGATGCATCTGAGGAGAGCGGCGATTTGTTAATTTACGGTCTTATGGATGACGGTGGGTTCAGAATATAGTGTCTTGGCCACGTGTTCTCAGTGCTAGGTCAGCGAGATAATGTATTCATGCATTTATAGTGATTGCGGAGACGGAGGGGAAAAGCTCAGTGATGTAATGTTGGGGGGTGATTACAGTGACGGGTTGCTGGCATAGAGATGCAAATATTCTAGGCAATATTGCGGGTAGATATTTATGTACTGTGCTTTGGTGAAACCGTAAATGGTCAAAATTATGACAGGCCAGATGCCTTCCTTAGTGGTAGCGATATGAAGAGGTAACATATGTGAGTGTTCGTTGATGAAACTGGATCGCGAAGAGGAGCACATTATCTATCAGAGACTGTACTTGAGGGAAAGTTCAAGGCAAAATTTGATTCAGTAAATCTACCAATCAATATCATATTGGCAATTCATTTTCTCCGCCTCTTATAAACCAGGAGGAGAAACAGGGGCATAGACTATCCCCCTATCTCTCCTAATCAGATGTATGAGTTGAATATCAAATATCAAGGTTTCCGTCTCAGAATGGCTATCATTTCGAGCTGATGAGCTCGATGATCTACCTACCTATCTCTAGGCGAGTGGTTCTCACTTAGATACCCCCTTCATTGTCATTGCGATACCTAAAGAGCCCTCATTGAACAAAACAACTGGTGCAAGCATTTCCAAACATATCACATTCTCACCATAATCCTTCAAAGACGGCACAAAACGTCATTCCTTCTGTGAATCCCAAGACATCTCCACAGTGCAATATAAGTCGACCATGATATTATAGAACTACAGATAAAGAAAGCGTAACACGAAATAATCTTCGTAAAAGGTGGACCGGATTCCAAAGTAAAGCGCTTGCTTTAATTTCTGCCTCGAAGGATTCATTCTGCAAGCCGAATAACCGTGTTGTTGTCCCGAGCTTCAGGACCACTTGGTTTCATAGATGATGATCCTGCCATTGTGTGAAGCCTTTCTTTATCGCATGTTTGTGTAGAATGTAGATGCCGAATAGATTGTATACGCGTTATCTGGCTTATCTTTTGTTTGTATTGCGGTAATTGTTGGGTTTCATCTGTTGCGGATGCAAAATGTTAGTTTATGTTGTGTTGTTGTTTCTGGGGAAGATGGTGTGGAGTGGGGTTGATAAAAGCTTGGACTTACTCTTCTGAAGGATGGACCATGTTGCCATGTGAAGTTATTTTGAGATATTCTTAGGGCGGATTATGGTGGAGATGTGCTATCAAGGTTATGAAATGTTGGTCTTGGCGGCAGCGGCATATCAGTTTTGGTAGTAGAAAAGCGGGTTGAAGAATCTGAAAAGAAGGGGGATTGTGAATGTTTCGAGAATTGTGCCCTTGATGGTAGAGAATTCTCCGATCCAAGTGATTTGCCGTTCATACCATGGCGAGACTAAAGAGAAGGAATATGTTGTACAATGTTAGTGGCACAACAGTGAGCTAAAGACTTGGGTTGTAAAATTCTCCCCTTTGAAGATCTAGTGTCTTCTGTGATTGTCAGCGAGTTTGACCGAGAAAAAATATCAAAGTTGCACCGAAGAAAGCAACCTGGATGAAATCCTTCAAGAAGTTGACCCCATCATGAAATAACCTTAGTTTGAGTCGAGGTTACAATCAAGAGGACCAGCAGGCGACCGCAAAATTCCCCTTTCAGAGATAAACTCTAATATTGCAAGGCATTGCAGAGAATTGAGGGTGTGCTGATGACGGCTATGATCAAAAGGCTAGCCTGTCATCCAGCCATTCTGTGATATTGATGTGAATTAGACTCTGCGGATTGCATGAAAAAGGTGAATTACATTTACGAAACATCTCTCTCTTTCTGAGGGTGCGGTGATGTTACAGTAAAGAGGCTGTCAACCATGTGGCCACTTGTGCTGCAATGGGAGACTTTCCCCACAGAATACTCGAGAAATGTCTTTCGCACCGTGAAAGTATTCCGGGATTGGTATTTTGTTGTATCGCCAATTAAATATACCGATAGTTGAGAGTTGATAGTACGAAAGCCTTGGGTGCATATTGTCAGAGAACAATTTACAAATTCGAAAGATCGAAAATTCCACAAAGATGAACAAGGAATTGTGATCGACCCATCTCGTGGCAAGGTTAGTAGCCAACTTCTGTCAGCTCGCCATCCTGAAAGCTCAGGATGGGTTGAATTCTCGATAATTCAAGCTTCAGATAGCCATTGAATGAATATCGAAACACGTTCTATGGGGGAGGGGGTGGCACAAAGAATGTGAATGTGGGCTGTTGTGTGCCATATACCAGCATTAGCTTTGGATATTGCATCCTGTAAGATGTTGCCTGTTGCCACGCCGCCATCCTTGGTCCATGAAGCTCCAGGAAAAAAAAGACTCGACAAGGTTCCCAGGAGAAGTTCTTGTCACCGTTTGATGGCATGCCTGTTGATCGCAATTCGAAATCTGGGGGCCATGAAGTCACTCGTACCTCAGTCCATAGTTTGTTCTGGATCTCATCAACAATATGATTGATGACCAGGATTACTGACTAATGGGGTTGCCATCAGAGTGCCTACTGTTACCTCAGAGGGAACCACTGATCCTTCGCGAATATTACCATTTCGATCGGAGCATACACCTGAACATATTTCTGACCTTCTAAAAGCTGACTATCTGCCGATCGAACTTTTCGTCAACGCAGCCTTATGGTAAGATATCCGCCATCGATAGCTAAGATGGAAGGTGCATTGTGTAGTTTTATCTTGCATGAAACTGGTTGGTTGTTAAGCTTTCCCGTCGAACCCGTGAGAATCTATCTCATTCCGACAAACTGGTAAAGACCGGAAATCCAAGCCTCTTCTGAGTATGCAAACAGACGGTAACAGCTAACCTGACCGATCAAAACATCTATCAAACTGCTGTATTATACTGTGAGATCCTGGTTTTATTGGAGATTCTGGCGGTGTGTCTGCCTGCGTTAATATCCGCAATCGAAAGAGAATGGTGATCTGGAATCCTATGAACCAAACGACCGGATTGATTTGTTCTCTTTTGAGAAGTATTCTCACTCATTCAGAAATGTGTCTCCGTGTAGATAGTGAGGTCACGACCGATGGAAAATTGGATGGGCTAGAAGTCCGCTCACCACATTCAAGGGTTCAGATAGTATTACTTCTTACCCCAGCATTATCGGCACATCGTTTTTTCCCTTCTTGTCTCTTATGATTGGCTGGTCGATTACGAGCCGAAATCCGTTTACAAAGCCAGATAGGATTGGATAATTCCAATATTAATTCCAATAATTTTAATCTTACTAAAACCTTGCATTTTAGGATTAGGGTTGAGCTTCATCGAGGGATATTCTCTCCATTGTACCGCATTGCGTTGTATCGGGGGAAAAGAGGGAGGGTTCCGCTGACAACTGATAATTATTCATGGTTGAGGGGTGAATCGTCGAGAATATCAAGATCGAGATCAAGTATCCATTATTTCTCCAAAGCCTAAGCTGTGTTAGTACCCAGTAACCCTGGAGTTCGAGTGCTCTCAGGCAATTCATAAGTGTTGTATACGTGGCTGCGCGTGGCATAATGGTCATCTCCTATGCTTAAGCTCTCACTTCCTCCCCGCCGTATTGATACAGTGTATCTTGTACCATTACCACGGACGAAGCCGTGAAATGTTACATTCGGCAGGAAATCAGCAATGTATCTCGTGTTTATTGCTGTTTTGTGTGCCAATTTCCGAAATCGGCACCATCAAAATTGTATGGATCGTAAGATTCGTGACTGTTTTGGCAGCGAGGATCAAATTCCCAGATTTATGATGTAATGTGATTGGAAGGATAGGATAAACCTATGAAACCCCCAAAGTCTATCTGCTTTTAGTGATAGGACGCACGATCTACAAGTATGAAAGATTGACCTTTCTCGCCCCTCCATCATGTTGATCAAAGGGGGAATCACAATGTAGCTTTAGCAAATGGCCGTCCGGATCCGAGTTCATTGGCCCACATAGCTTTTCGTGTTTAAGCTGGCGCTGAGTTATAGAATGAATGTAAAAGTTTTTGCGGAAGGTTTTCGCCTGTATTGTTACCGACAGTTTGGTTCAGTCTAGCAGGGGGCGAGATAAAATGGTGTGCTGTCTCGAACGGTCGACCATTCAAAAATTATCATGAGACCGAGTAGACTTGCCGGTTATAATAATGAAGTAATCACTAAACCTCTTTGAGAATCCCGTAAAAATTGTACCGTCCTTCTCATCTCACCCAGGAAATTTTAGAATCATTGATTTCTACCCTTGATAGAATTCGTGTCATACTTACGGAGTATCTTTAATTGTTCATAACGGCTTTTAATTGACGCGGCTGTCATTACGCCAACAAAACCAACGGCGTCAAATTGCGCTTCTCTGTACACCCTACATTCAGCTTAAGCATGTATGGGTCGTTAATCGCGGATTAGTGCCTTGGAGCTGAGATTTATCCTCGCTAGTAGATAGGCTGTGTGTACGTTCGTTCTTGCAAATGAGTATATTGTGGAGTGAGGTAAATTCAATTTCAGACGACTAATGCAATGCCAATCACAAAAGAAGAAATTATGGTTGAGTCCCGAGTTCGGCTACTAGGATGTCTCGAGGGATGAATGAGAAAACAGGGGGTCCAGAGGAGCAAGAAGGGTTGTTGAGATGAGGGGATCTCGGAAGATAGCCCTAGATTAAACAAGAATTACTCACGGATGCATTTATACATCAATTCCTCTTTCACAGCCAGCATTATGCTTTCTTTGAAGATGCCGTATTCCGTAGCGTTCCATATGTGTGTATATATACGTACCTTGTACCGTGTGTAATGAAGTGTATATTATGCAATCTTTTCTGAAGTGGGCATCAATGATGTTTATTGTGTATACGGAGTAAGCACTAGATATTATAAGGAAGCTGGATGGAAAGTAAATTCGCTTCGAGATCATTAGAAAGAACGTGATTGGACACTTGCTCCACATATTCTCTGTTAGTAAATCATATTAGGTTAGATCATATGATCGACTGTCTAGAGACGCTAATGCAGAAACGTAAAGTTGTGATTTCTACATTCACAAATCCACAAAAGTCCACAAAAAGCGCGCGGTTCGAATAATTGTTCGCTTCGCTTGAATAATCCTCCATCAACATATGAACTTGACAAGGCTCTACTTCCTCCTCCCCACCACATCTCACCATAGTTATTCCCACACCAACCGCTCTACAGGCTAAATACCTCACAGGCTCTTCTTCTATTGAACTTCTGATTTGTTCAACGTCCGAGTACTTTTTAATCCCCACCATGGGAGGAACCGTTACCGTGCCCTCGGGATCAAGCACGTCGCTACTTTCGACACAATCACGTTACAATAGCAAGCATCCCTTGCCAGATTTCAGCAAAGCATGAAACATACCCCGTCAATTGGCAGGCTCCAAAGTGATTTTCCTATAGAAAAGCTGTGCTGGCCTGATTTTATGGAGAATTCAGACTCTTACGGACAAGTAAGCCTGTCAGTGGCCGTGTGCGTGGTTTGTTCGGCTGCTCGGTGGCCACAAAATACGTCCTCGATTCGTGTGTCACAAGAAGTTTTTCTTGTATCTGAGATCCAGAGTTTTATCAGTTACCGAGGTACGGGCAAGACCTGAAAAATGATTTCCAATGAATACGATTGCAAAATGGTATCATTTTCATCCGATAATCACCGACCTAAATGATCTTTTGATCATCAAATAAAAGAGCTCGCGTAATAGCTGCCGTCGGTCCGGACCCTTGAGATCGATCCAGTTATCACTGCACAGTGCCCAGTGCACATACTCTTAGAATCTCATTCTTAAGCCATATCAGCAATCCCTGGAAGGCGATAACGAAATTCAACATTGGTAATAGGCAAGGTTGTGTGACAACACCCAGCCGCCGTTGCACGCGCTGGGGTACCGTATACTTCTTAATTTTTAAGCTTGAAATAGCACTATACCAAATGGGGATAGTAGAATAATCAGGAGCTAAGTCGGCTAAGACTCCCAGCGCTCAAATCATATTTGCTACCAAGTACCGTGCATTCCCCTCATATCCCGGCGGCTACCCCTTCCCCTTGCTAACATGCATATCCCACTCTGTTTAGTTAAGGCGCTACCTTGCTCCTGCTTCCTCACTGCCACCTGGGCCCCGGCCCAATGAGTGACCAGGGCTGAGTTTGCTGTGCCTCTCATTCTGTTTAAACTTATAGGTCCTGACTGGCATAAAAAAAAGTCATCGATTTTTTACTTGCTACCAAGGCTTCTATTGACTCGACATTGTCAGGCAGATTGATTTCGTTGTGACTACATAATCATAATCATACCACGCTATACTAATTCCAAATGCTTGATATATATTCTGGTAAGATACCCTCTCTCCTCCTGTCGGTCCCCTAAACTATCTCTCCATTTATTAAACTTTTTTACCAGCTCCTGTTCCATCTCCTACATTCTTTGAGGATTCTTTTGCGGTTACATCTCCAGCTATCTTCAAGAAACCTCTTCTACCTCGTCTCAAGATGACCACCATGGGGGAGCCTGCCTTTGGCGGGGGCCATGGTGTACCTCACAGTGCAAGTCACACGAGTGCTAGAGCTTCAGATGTTCCCTGGACTCCTTACAGTGCTGTACGTTTATGTTATTATGACTAGTAATTAAAAGTCTCTAATCAAGAATTTAGGTCTCGTCATTTAACCTTCCAGCACATTACGATTCATCTTTGATCACACCGGTTGCAATGGCACCATCCCCAAACATTTCTTCAAGGCCAGCACCCACAGTAAGAGAAAGGGATATAAAGCTATCGCCATCCATGGAATCACCAGATTATCCGCTCTTCGGTGGGGGCGAAGACGATTTTGGTTCCAGACTTGGTTCTGCCCCAATGAAGCAAAAAGATCCAAGTTCCAATAATCCCAAGATTCCTACCAGCGAGCCTAATTATTCTACTTCTCCTGCTCTTTTCTGTGCTTCTCCATACTATGGTGCATTTGGCGTTTCCGCTACGCCAAAAACAGGACGAACAGCTGAGTTAGCATCTCCAAATATGAATACAAGTCCTCACAATACAAACCCAAGTGCTATGAGCGCCGATCTCCGAAGATCACGCCATGCTACACCAACTCAAAGTCCTGAAAGCTACAGAGTAAACAACCCCGCACCAATACTGATTGCTCCTAACCCCAACACAATGCGACCAGCGACGACCAGATCTGGAGATATGCCATATAGAGATAGCCTACCATATAACCGTCATGATTCTATGCATTCCATGCATTCCTTAAATTCCTATAACTCGACACCACCTCAATACCAAGAGCAACTTGCTCCCCTTCCTACTCGAAGGAAGAGAAAAGGCGCTCCCACACAGTTGGATGGAGATATTCTTTTTCATGAGAATATAAATCACGAGGAACAAATTTTGATGCAGCTTTCAGAGGTTGAAGGTCTCGCTTGGAAAGAGATTGCTAAGCAGTTCAATGAGAGGACAGGCAGGAGTATGAAAGTGCCAGCTCTGCAAATGCGCAAGAAGCGACTTTGTGAACGTCTCCGCGTTTGGACTGATTGCGAGGTACATCCCTAGCTCATTATGTATTTCGGTCAGATCAGTCACTAATCCAGGCAACGAAGAAGCTAACCGAAGCTTAGGAGCGAGCTTTGACACTTGCTTGGGAAGATTACGAGAGAGATAAATGGGAAGCAGTCGCAAAAGGCATGATGAAGCATGGAGTGATAGAAAAGTGGAGTAAAGAAGCCGTCCAGAGAAAGTTCAACGAAATGTTCCCTCCCGACGATCGATCATACAATACAGAGTATGCATTATCCAAACATACGGAGCAACTGAACTACGATATCAAGATGGAACCACGAACGCCGTGGCCAAGTCACGATGAAAGAGACAGCGCAATTCACAGTCTCACGGACGAAGAACAAACCTTAGTAGGCGAGTTGAGGAGTAGGACTGCAAGTGATGCCAGTTCACTACATTACCAGCAGCAACAGCATCAACAAATCATGTATGCGCAACAGCATCAGCAGCAGCATCAAGAGATATGGGCAGGAAATTAAGCAGGGAGTGATGAAGCACAGGATTCTGGGGCGATAGATATTGGTAATCTTTTTGAATTTTCCTACAGTATATGGAATTCTGGTTTCTGCGAAGTTTGGGCATAATGAGAAATCGTTCTACGGAACCATCGGACTGCACGAAATCTTGTGTAGAAGAGAAGTAAAACTGGGTTTACAGGCAGGCCATCAATAGAGACGAGTCTCCGGGCGGCGAACATCTGATATCATTGTCATGGAGATCCTATATTCCTAGAGCAATCCACATATATTCATTGTACAAATTAATAAAATAGTCTTGAAGAAGCAGCGCAGCACTTCACTGGCAATACATATCTATCCATCAAATTTTCACAAACCAACATCTCCAATTTTCCAGCAGTTTGTGTTGTGTGAGCGGCGCGGCAAAGTCCAAGGTTGACACCTCTCAATGTTTTCACTTACAACAAACAAGGCATATCGACAGAACACTCTCCACCACGAATATAAGAATTTAGCATACTCAGCAAACCCACAAATCAAGTGACCTCTCACTCATGCGGACAGGGATATCTGTGCATTCATACGAATGAAATATCGTGGACCTTCCTTGTAAGGCTGTAAACCAACTGTTTCCTTGACCAATGCGAGTCATACCCGAGTCATACCGGCAGGGGATTGAGAAACCACTGAGCCGTAGATACGTTTTGACTCGAATTCTAGGATTGACGGCCAACTTTTTGCGCCATTAACAGAGATTATCTTTGGGTTTGAGAATAGGTAGCACGTTTCCAGAGACCCGGGGGCCTTCCAAAGAGTGGCTGAACGCAAAAAAATTTCGGTTGCGCTGGCCTAAGACGCATGGTCTGCTGGGTCTAAAGTCGTATTGGCAATATGGTTCTGACCTGTCTGTGCCTCTTTGAAATTACGGTCTGTGATGGTTAATTGATTGACGGTGTAACTGTCAAAGTGCATAATGGAAATTTCCCGGAAATATTGGCTATTCGCATCTTCTCACTATTCCAAGAATAACCCTACTAACTTCTCATTCTCGTGGCGCAGATTGTGCCAGAACGATCTTAAAAACAAAATCTCGGAGTATTTGGAATATATGATACCTACAGCCCTGTATATAGCTTTTTGTGGTTGGGTAGTTAAGCGGAGATTATTCTCGTCGGTTTCGTATGATTGCTTGGCCCTGCGACGCACTTTTGAATTTCAGTGACTTCGGTCTTCCTCTTCCTCGAACATATCGAACGGCCTTGTTTGTCGGAATGTCTTTTGTGGATTTAGCCTGGAAACCGAATGCCTGCTCACTAAGTGAACGATAGTATCGGATCGACAAATACTCCTTTTGCATGTTATGATCGACTTGTTTTCATCCCATTTAGATTCCCACTTGCACCTTCTGACATTGAGCCCCTAGATCATATGCAATGAAAAGCAAAACACACATCTTGGTGTGTGACGTATGCTGCGAGACAATCTCCTACCCTATCATTCCTTCCTACGATCATCTCGTTGGTGAGTTCATCCTTTTCAGTTTCATATCTGCAGGGAAGCTATGCAACATCTTCTGAAGACACCCATTTATTCCAACATCCAAATACTCGTCACCAACTTGAAGGAGTCGTTAAGAACAAAAGGTCCTCAAGCTCCATGAAGAAAACCGTTGGAGCCAAGAAATCCAGCCACCAAAGTTCTCACCATCTCCCAACCTTACGACCCCTAATCTAGAAACCCTCACTGCCGCACCCAACACATTCAACAATAAGCGGCGGAGAAAGTGGGCTGAGAAACAACATGGATGGTGCTTATGCTCTTTCGCCTGCTTGATATCCACGCTGCGGCGTTGACAGATTACAACGGTTGGTTCAACAGGGATACGTAAAACAAGGCAGAGCGGACGGCAGAAGCTCATGGATTGATGATTGAATTAATGATGCTGAGTGGTGCGCCTGACACGACTCATCAATTAGCCTAGAGTTGTAAACTTGTGTGGATTCTTGTTGCTCAGTTTATGGTAAATGGAGCTTCGGGCAGCAGGCGATAAGTTAGCATGAAGGGGGTGGAAATGAGTGAAGAAAGTAGTCTTGGTAGTAGGTTAAGTGCGAGGTGGCGTCAAGTAGAAGAAGAATTAGTCGTTGAAACAATACATGTGAGCTTTGTGGTATGATAGGTCAGTTCCACACATTGTAATGTTAACTTGACTAGGGAAGATATACCCAGGTGTTTGACCTTGTCTCCCATCGAATCTAGGTAAATCAGTAAAGCGGATAGATATATTCGAACAAATTTCAAACAATCGATTGAAATCAGATATCTTCTCATAGAGTTTGAACAAACCATAAACTCGCAATAGTGTCTAGCGGCGACTATTCTTTCTCTTTTAGCACTAATAAGTACACTTACACTGTATTGCCCTACTCCGCCCCCAGAATTTTCCAAACAGTAGTTTCTGACCCGAGATTACACTTAGCTTAATGAAGCTTAAATTTTAAAAGGAGTATTGTGCAACTACTCTATGCAAGTATGCAGCAAGCATGAACTCATCTTTGGTCCTCGGGCGCTACATTAACATTGTACCGAAGGTATACCCAAGCGTAACCCTAGCCTTGATGTGAAGAACTACTTTCCAGACCTGAGTGTCTAAGCAATCAAAGTTCTTGAGCCAACTGACCAAGTGTGGATGTACAATTACTCGAAAACATTCCCGTGTAGTAAAGTGGTTATTATCCACACTTGTATGGCAGCCATCCAATAGCCACCATACTGCGACAAATTTAAGTTAGTCTCGTGCGAGCTACATAAAATATGCGCCTTTTATCTCTTATACTCAGAGAATATAGTGGGGGAACCAGTGTAGGCAATAGTATTTTCCGTATTCAACATATGGGTTAATTTAGTAGTAATTATCGAATTTCTATAAAATATTGACGTACATAGTATTGAAAGCTATATCACTGAAAGTATTCAATATCATTTAGTTATTCAATACTACCACCAATATACTGAAATACTGAAATTCATCATAAATCAATCATTCCTATCCATATTAGGCTATGGAATGAGCATTTTATATAACTTGAACTAAGGGATGAACGTTCCATAGTCTAGTATGGATAAGAATGAACATTTTGTAATAAATTCTAGTATTTCAGTATATTGATAGTATTCTTTAGGTATATAAATATGTACGAGAGTAGTATCACCCCCCTTCTAAATGTACTAGCTGCCATATCAATATGCTAATGCGCGCCACAGTTTCACTGTAGTATACTATTGCCTACACTGGGGGGAACGGCCATGTAGTGCAAACATACTTCACGCGTAGAAGAGAGATTCTTCTCCGACCTCTCACTCCTAACCGACTCTAATATGAAGTTGAATACAAAACAATGTTCTAATTGCGTGTAAACATTTTCTAATAGGGGCTAACCAGTGCCGAGATATAGCTAACTTCACGGAATGTGCATGGTGCAGAGGAGAGATAGATACTTGACAATGATTTTCGAGGCTTGAGATGTACAGAAATCTTGAAATGGTATTGAAACTCTAGAAGAATCAGAGGTAGTGATCGGAGCTTGTATGGGCCTCTGTCTTCCGCTTGATAATAATCGGGTCACAAGTTAGAATATGGATACGGCAACATCTGACCCCGAAGATAATCCACAATCTATTTGATATTTGTCATAGTCATGATTTTTACATCTTCCACAACCCGCACTCGCTGTACTATCATATGTCTCGCTCATCTCTAATCATATGGTCTTTTATCATATCTATTAATTTTACGTATACCACTGTGGATAGAGAGACCATCTCACAGAATTTCGACGCATGTGCCTCTCCTGTGACAGCAGTCTAAAGCATGACTTGAGCGTACCTTCTGGTCTCAGAGCTACCTAGTAAATCTAGTAAATCTGCTAGAATGAGTCTGTGGTGACACCTGAGTTACTTAGACCCTGATATGCGATGCTTCATTTTTCAAAACCATAACTGCATTGCAAATACAAGTATAAAGATAATGATATGGGTATCCCCTGATACTCTCTACAATTTACGACGAATCAAGAAACGGTACAATTTTTGAGCATTTTCGGGGTAATAAACATGTATAACAATACCTTCGGATGAACCTAAGTCCCAGCTGCAAAGTAAAAGCCGGGATAGCAAACCGTGTTCGCCTGCGAATCAGGAATCGGGGAGAGGATAATATATACGTAACTCAAATCAAACATCAACTAATCCCATCCAAATCCTATCGTCCAAGTTCCTGGAAGCAATCGAAAAATAGCCAATTGAAATATAGGTACCGTATCTTTCGACATCATATCCACGAAAATCTTCTCCAATCCTCCAGTCTTTTGGGCGAAACGAGAAGAACCGAGTATGGAAGAGAATACCTAGTCACCGAGAATATACATTCATCCTAATAGCTGATCAGATGGGAACTTCAACAGTAATTAATTTTCTTGAGCTACATTCAGACAGTCTTGAAACTACCAAACACACGCACGATTTCATTCACTACATTTTATTATGAATAACTACCCACCTAAGAATCTCTATCCACCTCCAAAACCAGCAGATTCCCATCTCGTAACCCATAATCCATAAACCTCATCTCACTTCATCTCACCACACCACAAAAACATAATCCCCACAATACCTCTTCCCAAACAACTTAACTAAATACCCAATCCATGAACTCAACCCCAAAACCCCCACAACACAGTTTTTGAGTCCAAGATTTTGCCCAATTCAATTGATCCCATTTCCCTATCGCTGCAATGAATTTTCCTTCCCCTCCTTTTCTCATCCCGTGGTATCATCCATCCCCCATTACAATCCCCATCTCCATCTCCATCTCAAGCTTGTGTAAACACAAATCCCTATACAAAGGTACCTATACAAAGATACATACCTTACATACCTACCCACCCCACCCCAAGTATTCCCCTATTCTATTCTATCCAAGCGAACCAAGTGACACAACAACATCCTCCTCATTCTCATTCTTATTCTCACCATGTATTAGTATCGCAAAACTCTGCATCCGCACCTACAGATATGAGAAAGACTACCATCCATCCGGTCCCTTGACATTCCCGGGGAAACACGCATGTTATTATTGATTTTCCAGAAATGTAATATTACATACCATTATATAATTAACATGTGCTTCTATCTATGAGTATTGCATGTGAAATAATGTGAGAGATGTCCTGTTGGAATATGAGATGTTGACATTATGCTGTGGTATGATGGTGTGATGGTGTGAGTGGATGCAATGTAAGGATTGGTACATGGTATATGAGAATAACGAGAAACCAAGATGGAAAGAAGGAAGCGCAATAAAAGGGCAATAAAAGGACGCGAGTAAATGTATTGAGTTGTACACTTTATTTGGTTCTAACACGTGGAATAGTTGATTTGTTTTTAGGATACACATCCAAGAGTATACCTGCACGATTTACCGAAAAGAATCCCTCAAGCAAGCAGCAGATACTTTCAGAAGGATTATCTAAAAGCTCAATCGCACTATTCACCTTCACTTCCACTAACTTCCGGTTCACTCTCACCTCCCCCGCCTTCATGAACCATCCCACTTAACCCCCGCGTCTCCCCCAATAACGGTGCTCTTTCTCCCTCTTTTCTCAAAAAGTGACCTCCCAAACTAATCCCCATCACACTCAATCCATGTACTATTGTACTTCCAAACACCACGAAACATATGATCGGCCATATAATCCAAATTGCCCTTGTTTCGTCGCTGACAGGGCCTGGCTCGTCGGGAGATATTGGCTTAGGAAGAGGTAGTGATGTACCAGTTTCGAGTTGTGCCCTCGCTTCTATAGCAAGGAATAAAGCGCCTACGCCCATAGGACCAAAATGACCTGCAAAGAGCGCTTCACGATAAGTGCAGATATCTGGAATGAGAGATTTGGTCAAGAGAAGGATTGGAATTCTGCGAAAGAGAAGAACAAGAATGAGGAAAAGGATGAGAGTCCAAGGTTTGATATGGGGTGTAATATTTGTTGGTTGGAATTGATTCCACGGAATAATGGAGCCAAAGTATGCGAACATAGTGGAATTCAGTAGATGATCTACGATTACCGGAAAGGCCACAGTCTTAGTCTTCTTGGGGAACCATCCATCGTGGGCGAAACCGACTCCAGCACCAAAAGCGACTAAGAAATCATCTGAACCCAGGATAGATCCGATACCGATAGAAAGCATGGCCAGGAGAAGGTAGAATATCACAAAACAAGGTCTAGATATGTATTCACGAGCGTCTGAGAATCGGAGAAGTCGATTGGCTATGTTTCCAAGTATAAGACCTGCTACGATGCCGAGTAGGCATTGCCAGAGTAGTGTGATGGTTACCCATTCCTTGATAGCCTCTCCAGGACCACCATGGCTAGTGAAGATCACAAGACCGATATACAGAAATGGAAAAGAGACTCCATCATTGCATGCTGACTCGGCCGAAAGAAGATGACGAATCCGTGGAGGAACTCTTTCGCTGAATTGAGATTTGGAAAGGACGGATGCAGCGAGAATAGGATCAGTTGGTGAGAGGCAAGCTCCTATTATCAGAGCTGTGGGTACAGTGGTCTGAAAAATGAAGTAGGCGAATAATGAAGTGATGGCCCACGAAAATGACATGACTGGGCCTAGGAGGTAGAGAACCGATTTCCAATGTCTTTTGAAATAATGCTTGGGAAGTTCTAATCCTACAGCAAAGCATTGAATGCCTACGATCACACGAGTAATCTCCTGCATGATTTCATCGTCAAAGCCCCATTCTTCTGGGGTAAGTACTTTGAGAACATATGGTCCAAGGATGATACCAAAGAGCATGGCAAGAGGAGGCTCTGAGAGATGAAGATGGTTGCGGATAAAATTGGAGAAGAGGGCATAAGTGATGAGAAAAAGTGGAAGGACAAAATATGTTATATGGGGAGCAGTTGGCTCCAATTGATCCCACATCTTGAGGTGCAACTTCACAATTTCTGTGGCTATTCTGTGGATGTAACGACAAGGTCGGTTGACATGAATTGCGTGGGATGGCGACTTGATCGTATAACAATGGTCAAATCTCAAGCTTTATCGAAACATGGAAAACAAAAATCAAACAAAGCAGACATCATAAAAGTCAAAATAAACATTTCGAATCTTGGCAAAATCGCTCCTTATTTCGTCGCCCCCCAAAGCTAGGGCGAAGGGATTGAATAGTGACGTAGGAGTCACGTGTGAATTTATGTCAATCATGACTTCAAAAAGCGAAAGAGAGGGCACAATTGATGACAATTTGGAAGGAATGATAAATAGTATATATACCAAACGCTTGTTGGAGATATGAATAGGATAGGTAGGATATGTTGCTTCGATGGAAACAATTTAAAGAAGTCCAATGTCCTATTCTGAATAAGATACCGGTAGGCAGGATTGAACATGGAGTAAACTCATCTGAAAATGGCTTTGCCGAAACAGAGCAATAGCGATGAATGAATGCCATATGAGAACATGACCGCAATAAATAAGAATTGGGAATCAGTAGTGAGTGATGGGATAAAAGTCTAATGTCTAACTAATGTGGAAAGAAATTTTGGTTGGATTCGACTGGAAAAGATAAAAACGAATCGATCAATGTGAGATGAAGTGAAAAGTTACGAACAAGACTGATTGAATGGGAATGGACGCAAAACAAGGGGGGAAGTCAATTCATTGTGTGGACGGACTATGTTGAAAAACAGGTTCACAGGCAAGAAGGTCCTTTCAACGACGTTCAAAAAGATCCAACGATCAAAAAAGCAAAAACATACAACAGTGGGGATTCGCTGGTGGTCACCCACCCAACTACTAATCCACTGATCTGAAGCTTGTGTATGGCAGAGCGGACGGGATGCCCAATTCTCTTCAGTCTATGGTCGTATGTGGCAGAAGACGTTTAATCTGTCAATATATTGAGCAATGGCTGCTGCTCCAACCACTAAATAACAACTACAATCTTTCCTGCCGCCCCCTCCATCTCCATAACCCTATGCGCCTCCTGAATCTCTCGCAGCCCTTCAAAGACTCTAATCGGGATCCTAATTTTTCCATCCATAACCAATCGCGCCACCCTATCCAAAGGCGTTTTCAAAAATCTATCTACACTGCTCGCATACGATGTGAAATATCCCGCGCCCACCGCAAAAGAATTCCAATTTTCCATAATCCATTTGCCGCCACAAATACCCGCTTGACATATGATACCTCCAGCTTTCAACAGCTTGAAAGAATCACCCAGGGTGGTGGGACCTACTAGTTCGAGGATTTTGTCGAAGCGGATATCGGTGGTAGGAGATATGAGACCGGATGGTGGATCGATGATAACGTGATGGGCACCTGCATTGAGAAGAAGTTGGGTGCGAGATGGTTGTCGAGTGGTGCATGTGACAATTGCGCCGTGGTGAGATGCTAGTGCTGCGGCTGCGAGGCCGATCGAGGAAGTTCCGCCACGGATAAGGAGAGAGTCGTCCTTCTTGAGTTTGAGGGAGGAGAAGAGAGAGCCCCACTGTTGGGATGTGGTTAGTACCATTAATAGGTAGCACAGACGTATGAGGATATAAATAAGGAAAGAGAAAAAGAAGAAACGCGTGAGCTAAAAGTAGATCACATAAGAGACGACTCACAGAAGTCTGAATCATCTCTGGTAAAGCACCCCAAACATCCCATCCCAACTCCTCCAACCCCGCTTCAACGCCAATCCTGACGACTTGTCCCCTGGGAACAACACAAAACTCCGCATAACCACCATCAAAAGCACGGCCCATTCCACCCACACATGTAGCCACTTTATCTCCAACCTTCAAACCATCTTTCCCTACACCATCTCCCTCTACAGCAGCAACAGTGCCAACACATTCAATACCCAAAACTCTAGGGAGGGAAACCTCCGAGATAGGTGAGTGACCCTGTCTTGTAAAAAGTTCCGAGCGGTTAAGACCGAACGCCCGAACTTTTATTAGTACTTGGCCAGGTTGGGGGGTGGGAGTGGGAATCGTTTCGATTTGGAGAGAGGAGGGAGGACCGGGGTTGCGGAGCATGATGGCATGCATGGTTTCGGGAATGGCGGTGGACATCTTGATGTGATGGTATGATGTGAAGAGTTGTATAATAGGGTGATTTGTGAGACGCAAAGTAGAGTGGGAATACTAAGATGAGTACTCGATGAGTATTCAGTATCAAAGGGGTATTGCAACTTTAAATGACAAGAAAAACGTACAGGTACTCATCTAAAGTCCACGGATATATCATTTGATGAGTATGTTACATTTCATGTGGCATCGTAACTCCATGGAGTTAATGGACTTACCCGGAAATTTTCTCTTGTTGGATTATGTGTAGGAAACGATATCAATCATTGAAAGTGCCAGTGACTATTGGCGATTGGATCAAATACAGGAGAAGAGAGTCAGACTTAATGCTGACTATAGAAGTTTTGATTTTTCTGCCGGATATAAGATTTCTTACTGTTCGGTAAAGGTCGAATTTCGAAGAGAACAGTTCCGAACTACGCGTGTCATCTCTCAGTGAACCAAAATCAACAGCTCAAAGACATGAAAGAAACTCAAATGTGAAGACAAAAAATTGCAATTCTTAATATTGGCCTCAATGGTATTTCTAACATCTTAGGAAAATTCCTTTTCTGTGCTCACTCTCCCTTACTTCAAACATAACCTGACACCCAACGAAAAGTGCACCCCAGGCTGTAATCAGAAAAACGATTCCTAGATTTTGGATTAGTTGGATTACCCTTGTCAACATTTGAGTAAAACGTACCTGAAAAGTCCTTGAAAATGCCAGAAATAATGCTCTTCAACCCATCAACACCGACAGCAAACCCAACCAAGTTTGCTATCATCATGAACATCAAATTCGCCACTGCACCAATACCACAAATGACTCTATAATATGTAAGATCATTGAGCCACTTCTTTCTTGGGAAGAGCATGCCAGCAATAACTTCCGGTAACATGAAGAAAACTATGAGCCAGCCCCAAACCAACAGGTTAAGACTTATATCATGCCATAAGGCTACGAATGTGAAAACGACGAGATAATTGACAATTGATCGGACTTGGGCTTTCCAATTTCGTGATGAAGAACCTCCCATGGGGATGTAGATGTAGCGGATGATCCAGCGGTTGTAGCTGCGATGCCAGCTTCGCCAGAATTGAACAGTAGATGGGTTATCGGAAAGACAGCGAAGCATATTTTCTGGAGGGTCAATTCCATCAATGAGAGACCAAAGTCTGAAGAATCTCCAAGGTAAGAGAAGCTTCAACCATAGTACATGGAGATTGAAGTATGAGAGTAAACTCAGTTGAGCTGGGGTGTAATCAGACCAGTTGGGATTGCCTTTGGAAATAGCCACACAATAATCGAAATGCAGGAGAAGTTCGATTGCCAACAAACAAAGTAAGAAACGAATACCATACTTAAAGGTTCGTTTACTGTCTATGCTAGCAGGGCGATATTTCGACTGAGAAATGTAATCGTTAAATGTGAAGATTGGTCCTGCTAAATATAAAGGGGCGTAAATCGCATATGCGAAGTAGTTTCGATAATTGTAGTCCTTGTCCGGCGCAGGCATCGAAACGCGATCTCTCTCGGAAAGATTGGCAGGGTTAAGTTGCTTCTTCTTTTGCGCATTAGTATTAGATGAGAGCATACGGACGGCACTTTGATGATGACCTACCTCTAGTGCACTTCCAGCTCCTTTCTCTAAACTCCAGTAATAATCCAGATTGAAACTGATCAATCTCAAGACAGTAAGATTAAACAGAATTTCCCATCGTGGAATGATACCCGAATAACTATCCATCCACTCTGCCCAGCTATGCAACGTAGCTCCTTGGAAGCCGGCTTCATTTTTAGGAGACACATATTGTGCTATTGATGTATATCTGTACCCATCTGAGAGCTCGTTGGCAAACAATATACCAATATTGAAAACCCATGTTGCTACAGGCACAAACTTTCGAGGAAGTCGAGTCGCCAGACAGTAGTTTGCATAGACTATCGCAATGACTTTAAAAGCGGAAAATCCATGCAAAGCAAGGAGGTATATGAACGCAAAAATGAAGTCGAACCCAGTACGTTGCTGAAGCCTCGCATTGCCTTCCGCCACAGATATGTATGTGTTGTTGCCGTTTAGTTTCGGCGATCCTACTCGAGCAGAGATGGGTCTGAGAAATTCATATATTCGTCGCAGGAGAGGATGAAAAACAACGAGAATCGCGAGGTATGGTACATTGGTTCGAAAGTTGTAATATTGTGCATCCGAAATATCCTACATTCAATTAACATTTGCTATGGCCAACTTTTTCAAATGACCCATACAATCTTGCGCCCAGGAATCCATCCATCAGAAAGAAGGTGCTGGTATTTATGGTAATTAGGATCGGAAGCTGGACAACAGTCAGATCTATATTTGCCAGAGAAGCAAGTCATATACTAACGTCTAGACACATCGTAGGCGATCCAAAACATGTATGGCACAACTGTTAAGAAGATGAAGTAATAGAAATAAAACTCTGTAGTATTCCATCTCGACGGCTGAGCAATTGGTCTGCCATTGCTGTCTGTTCGTACCCCTTCGCCTGGTTTCGAGTCATCTCGTTTTGACTTTGCTGCAGCAGGATCAATTTCATATGGAGTTGAAGAGGAATTCGTGAAGCGTGTATCGATGGTATCTAGAGCATAAATACTCCGCACATATGAGAAGATACTCATTGCTCAATCATATCATGGAATCGAGCGTTCTGTAGCGGCAAAGAACGATGTATGGAAAAGGCGTGAAGGCTGTGTGAGTGAGTGTATAGAAGTTGGAATTTATACAAGAAAGTAAAGAGAGACTGAGAGTATATCAACAATTCAAAACATGAATTCTAATCCTGATTAGGGGTTCAATTCAAACTGTGGGGGTTCCTGATGGATTCAGCCAGATATGGAATTAACTTATAGTTTCTAGCTACTCGTACCGAGTATTATTTTGATATTTTTGGCTTTCCTTTTGGTGGTAATTGATGGATCACGGAATGTCGGTGCTTAAAGTAGCGCGCTTCTATAGCGTATCAGGAACCCTGAATTTCCAAAATTGTGGCTACGACAGTCACGTGGAGAGTGTCAGTCCAGCTTAGTAAGCATAATTCAGTGGTCCACCAGTGGTCGCACCAAGAAACGATTGCAAAGAGTCATGTTGTAGCTTTTAAGACAGCGTTAACGTTAACGCTGATCTTTGGTTCCCAAGTTGTGCTTGATTGAATACCATCTCAAGCGTACTTATATACAGCCAGGTAAGTACAGGACAGGTTGTTATAGTCTACCGACAATCAAAGACCCTTACTTGACTGAGAATGCAACTTTGACTCCATTTCGACTGGATTTGGTCATAACATACTCTAAGCAATCATCTCGATTATGGATGGTCTTGAACTCTTGCACCATCCTAACCAAGGAGTACGTCATATCAGTGTACGTGTTTCGCTGGGCCGGGCATGTGCGACGCCCCCCAGAAAATGGAATAAATTTCCAACTGTGTTCAAGTCGAACCATCCTGTCCGGGTTGAATTCGGATGCATCATCACCCCAAATGTCTTTGTCCTTTTGCATACAGTCATATTTCAACTCGATCTGGTCGCCTGGTTGTAGTAAAATAAGGTCGTTCCCCGACTTCCCACCACCACGTGGGAGGATACAAGTGGATAAACATGTTCTCTAAGCTCGATCGACAGGATGAATTAGTCGAAGTGCTATGCATGTGTTAGCTGAAATCTCGATATCTATTTTGGAATACCATATCAACTTACTTTCGTCAATCACAGCTTGCACATATTTTAAGGATTTGAGAAACTCAAAAGTCAATTTTTGCTCAGGTGCTATAGCGGCAACTTCTTCTCTCAATTTCCCGCAAATTTCAGGACTTCTAGCGAGGAGAAATAGCATTCTAGAAGTGACCGTTCCTACTGAATCTCTAGCTGCAAAAAAGACGTTCATGAGTTCATTTCGAATGAGAGTCTTGTCGTCCGGACACTTTTTAACGAGCTCTTTGAGAAGAACGTGTTGGTATCCCGATGAGCCATTCTTAGGCTTGGATGATGTACCTGGCAACTTTGACTACTTTTGGAACTTGATCTCTTCGTCAATATAACCTTTCAAGGTAGCATGGATCTTGGCGCATTCAGCAAGGCATTTCTTGTCGGGACCAACAAGCCATGAAATTTTGTCTATCATGTAGTTGTTACGCATTCATTGAAGGCCCTCGTCAAAGTCTTCTGAGAACTGTTTGGCCTCGGTAGTTCTGCGTGTTCTGTAAGTATATTTTAATAAGATCAATTGACTAAAGGAAATATAACTACTGTTCGGAAGGTGAGAGGGAACCAGACGATTTACCGAAGATAAACTCCATGGAACTATCTAAGAAAAGCCCCTGGGCGAGAGGTTGGATGTCCATCTAGAACCATCACGAGGAATACGTTCGAGGAAGCGTTGCAGGTGAGATTCCAATCCTGATAATTGAGAAATTTGTGACCGACTGAAGACGGGTTGGGGAAGTTCTCGAGACCTCTTCCATATATGCCCATCTGTGGTAAAGGGGCCGTCACCCAGCAACGGTCCACCTGGCTTACGGTTCGAAGGCGCATTTCTGAACTTATTGGCTTGAGTAGCGGCGACAGTTTGTATAACCAAAGGATCCATAGTCATCTAGTGATTTCTACCAAAAAATACTGTGTGCAATGTTTTTCCATATTTTGCGAACAATCCAGCGTATAAAGCCAGTAGCTTTCCGCCCTTTGTGTACCTCATCTTCTTCGCGAGGAGGTCGAATCCTAAGATCCGATCAAGGTGTTTGATCGGAGAAGAGCATCCGGCTTTATTTCTGGTAGACCAAGCCTGTATCTTTGCCCACAGCCAGTAAATTGTTGGAAGAACAATACTCAACAGGAACAGGGCATTCAACTATTTCGCCATTTTTTAATTTATGCTGGCGTTGTTTAGATAGTTGGACCGTGGGCATGAAAGTAGCGAAATCAAATCCGTCGAAAGCCCAAGACTTATAGGAGAATCAGCACCAACTGTTGGTTCGCCAATATGTCCCTACCAACAATAGCCATTTGAATAATCTCTACAATATTTTATAATGCAAGTTCTCGCCTTCTATATTTGATTTGCGCATAAGTCGACGCAAATCCGTCGGCATATAATCTGCCTTCCCTTTCAACGTCTAATTTTATGATTAACCGCATCCGAAAGAATCGTCTCGGAGGATTAGGCTGTTGTAAAGATTTCTACGAGAAGCAACGCAGACGTCCTATCTATCACCGCCTAAAAAATTTCAATTTGATCAGAGCACATTTTATTAAATACGACTTTGGATCGCAAGAACGGAGCTCTAGATCTTTTGCTCTTCTTCACGTAAGCCTCGTCTATACCTAGCAGTGCGCCTCTCCAAACCATCTTTCCTTCGCTACCCTGAGATACGCAATGATTGACTGTGCAGAGTTCGGTGTTCAATATTTTCAAGAGATAAGCGCAAAGTTGACCAATGCGAGAAGTCTCCCAATCACGAATGTTAAAAGTACCTAGTTCGAAATAGGACTGGTAAGGCTACATTCGGCATCCTGTGCCATTTTGGCCTGCCTCCGTGTGAGTGGGTCATTTTAGGCAGCTTTAAGGCGCAGTCAGACTGCTAAATACTCTAAGCAGGCTATTGGAATTCTTTGGTCGTGATTAGCATTCTTTTACTCTCATTCTTGGTTACGTTTTCAATTGTTCCAACATGCGGCGTTAATCAATTAAAGCCATAGTCCTTACTATCACCTCCCTTACTGTTTCTAGTTATGCCTTACCAAATCTAGTTCGGCCATCACCTACTCATGAGGTTACCGATGCGGCTCGTTTTTCCAACGATACTCACAGGAATCCAATCGCGATCAACACTGACAGTGGCACAAACAATCAAGTATCGTTTTACACTAAACATGAGGAACCTCCATACGCCGTTCTTCTAGTGCAGTCCTTACCTTCTTCTTACAACATCACGCTCCCCGTCTCTACCTGTCTCAGTATCACTGAGAATACAGATCTTAGTGCCAGAGAGAACCCCATTTGCCCTGATGGCCAGAAACTTTACACCCTGCTCTTCAACACAGCCTATTGTGTCGGTCAACCTCAACATACAGTGGAAGGAGCGGATAAGTTGCTTAGAGGAGGTCTCTGGATACCCACTGACCCCATAAGATGGATTGAGAATTGGTCCATTATGTACAAATGTGCTCGCACCGAAAGAGATATGCTAAATAGCCTCGCAGAGACAATTGGTCATCAAACTCTAGACGCTCGCCGCATTCGAACTATGGTGTATCCTATTATCAACGATAATGAAGTGGGTCTCACTTGGGATCCTCCATCGGCAGGCATTCTTGGTCCGCAAGTAGGCAAGCTTACCGAGGGGTTCTATCTTTGGTCCTCTTCTTCGGAATATGCTAACATCACCCGTCTCGTGCGTTCACTCAAATGCCCTGTACGCCAAAAGCCATACATGCACCTTTTTACTCAAAGTGGATGTCGTGGTAAATATGTTCTCTCTGATAGTTTTGGATGGAATGTTACGCTTTTTGATGAAGTCGTGGAGGAGTGGTCGATTTTGTTTACATGCTCCGACTATGAGTACGCAGCAGGAGACAGAGAGCCGGCGATTGAGAAAATGCAAGAATTGAAATTTGGGGACGTAGAAGAAGAAATAGCCGCCATAGAATCACTCCTCACAAAACTTAAACTCCCCGAACCACATCAAATATCTGCCATTCCACAAAACGCAACTCTCGCAATAACTCGAGCATTCCAACCACAAATTTTCCAAATTCCACTCTCAACCTGTCTGTCATCCACTTCAGATACCCACATATTCTTCTCCTTTGTCCGCATCGTCACCCCACCTACATGTCCACCAGAACTACCAGAATTATGGACATTGATATATGCCAAGCCAGGCTGTCTTGACCTTCTTCGCTTCTCGCCTACGGAGCCCAGCTACCCGCTGTACAAGTCGCTGTTCGAAAATATTTCTAGGGCTAATCCAAGGGTAGATGGCTGGTCACTGGGGTTTGTATGCCATCCGGCGCATTTTGATGGTCGTGTCGATGCTAGAGACTGGAAGATGATAACGGAAGTGGATTTGATTTTGGAAGGAAAAGGGACGAAGGATGTTGCTTTGAGAGTTGTGAGGGCTGGGGCTGGCGAAAGGAGGGAAGAGGGGTTAACAGAAGGTGTGCAGCTCGAAAGCCAGATGAAAATAGAAGCAGCAGCGCAAAACCGCTCAAAGACGTGTGAAAGTTACACAATCTGAAAGATTGACATGTGCTATCTATTCCCCATGGGACCCCGGAGTACTGGAAGTGAACCCTCCTCCGGGTCGTGGTAGATGACTGAGCAGAAAATATGCCAAAGATACTAGGGTAAGCACAGTTATAGCAATAGGATTGGATCGAATAGAGAGTACTGATTATATATCAGAATACATGCAATGCGAATTCACATTTTCTTGCGTTCAGATCAACAGGAAGCCTTCATCATCGTATTAAAATGATTGTTTCATTGATGGAGAAGTTGAAATAAATAAGTTTAATGCTAAAACTAATGAATGCATAAGAGGGCACACTCTCAACATTTAACCAACCCTACTATCATCAAGCTTCGATGGGAACACAACTATCTGTTTCGGTAAAAGTGGTATCCCTTCGATGTCCGCATATTGAATATACATCCGGGAAGGTTCGGAGGCATGCTTATTGACGCGAAACATCATGCACTCTTGAAATTTCTGGGATTGGATAACGCACTGTCGTTTGCAAGTTTCCTAGAACGTAACCATTCATGCAAACAATACAGTTCCGGCAACTCTCCGAGTCACGGTATTTGATTTTCGCCCCTCTATTTCCCGTTCTAAAATATGAAAAATGGGATCCACACAAGCAGAACAAATTGCGTAGTTAGTCATCGCTCATGTGCCCCGGTAGATTATCGACTCTTGATTATAATTGTGTTGATTCAGTGTCTGCATTTTCAACTTGAGCGTTGCTATGGTACAGCTGTGATTGTATCTGCTGAAAAAATTGTCGTTAAAATTTGGTCTGTTGAGACGGGCGGCGTTGAAGGATTGCGACGAATGGGGTGGGGAAATGATGGATATTCAGATCAAAAATCTCGCGATACAATTGCTTAACCACTTGTATCTCATGGAGCAAACATTCATGGGCCTTCAATTGTGGGATCTGTTGTGTTTCTGGGAAACGAGGGTTTGCGGCGTGGCCGTGAATCGATTCGAAGAGGAATCTTCGGTAGTCCATGTCTTGAACGTGTTCGTGCATTTGACGATGAGAAGTCGTTGCATCATTGCAAATGCTGTTCCGCATCAGTTCCCAACACGTCCATTTTACATGTGCTTTCAAACACTTGTCCTCATATTGGCATTTGCCGGGGTTTAATAGATTCCACTGTGAATTACAATCAGCTGCGTGTTACATATGAAAAATGGGAGGAGGAGGAATTGGAGGGTGCTTTAGAGTTAAGAGACTTACGGAACAAACGCTTTGCATCATGCAAGATTGGGAAGCGGTATGGCAAACGCGTAAATCTTCGGTTGCTGTGATCCATCTGCCCTCCGGTCCTTGGGACAGAGATATTGGACGGACCAGCCTCAATCTTTGGGGTATCTCACCGTTGAATGTTTTCTGTGTATGTACTGTAGTCAAGCTTGGTGGGGAAGGAGAGATCATATGGTTCGAGGGGGGGACTGTTGTACCGATTGGTCCAGCTCCCAGTCGTTGTCTGTCTTGATCGGGATCCAGGTGATTTTGATTGGAAAAGGACTGATAGAGCTGGTGTGGCTGGTAAAAATTTGGGGTGCATGATCAAGCGCTGAGTACGGTAAATGAGGTTGAGGATAGAAATCTCCAGCGCCCGGGTCGAGTCTATGTTGACTAAAATTCAAGTTGCCGTAAGGTTGATGTGGTGGAATAGCAGCCATAGAGTTGCGATGTGGAGAAAGTTGTGAGAACATAATTTCATTATTAACAAGACCCAGGTTGAGAGCTTCATTTGGCTTGTTTTTGGTAAGGTTTTGCTTTGGAGATAAAAGTAATGAAGATATGATTTCAGTATGAACAGGAGCCAGGTTAAGAACTTCGTTTGGCTTGTTGTTGGTAGGATATTGATTTGAAGGAGAGAGTGCTGAAGGTTCAATCGATGGGGATTTTGAGGAATCTCCTGTGATGGTCAGTAATGTGAATATAGTCTTGTTTTGCTTTGGAAATGCCATCATACCCTCAAACTTGATTTCGTTGTCTACATATTCATCTTCTTTAGAGTATGTTTCGAGACAATGTTCCTTGTCGGCGCCATGGTCGTTGATGGCGGGGATTGGACCGAATGCAAATTTCATTATATCAGCTAGGGCTTTTGCTGACTTGCCGGGAAATGCAGCTGCAAGATACTGAAAATATTCATTGTTGTCCATCTCAACGTACATTAGGTTCCTGTGACTGGCGGCTTCGAAATATTTGGTTGAGAGACAGGAAAGTTGGATGGAGTTGTGGAGTGGACTTGAACGATTTTGTGAGTAGTTCGACCCAACACCTAATACAAGGCTTCAGTTTACTTTTCTTTATCTACGGAACAAGCCATTTCACTTTTGAAGGTGAGGTCTTGTTTACTTTATGTCGTTCACGTGTATTAGCGTGTTTTCATCCTGACTTCTCCAATAATAGTAGGCTGTTGCTCGCTTACTTTATTTCTCAATTCAAGCTCAACAATAACTTTTCTTCAAAACAAGACAGAAAATTCAGTAAATACTTCCGATTCTGGCTGCGGTGAATTGTGTGTCTAAATCGGCACAGCCCCCACCGATATCGCCGAGACCATCTTCGCCGTTTGCTCCGGGGTTGCAGTTTTGATTGGAGTATGCGGAGACTTCTGTCTTGTCAAGAGAGACGCAGGCAAAAAGACTTGGTTTGTGAAGCCATGTAGGCTTATTAGATCCATTTTGGCCAAACTGGTAGACGTTAGCATTAGTGGTTAGAGAACTCGCTCAGGTTCGATTATCGAAGCATATTAAAGTTTGGGGTTTTTTTTGTGTAAGTGATAGTATTCTTACCATTTTTCTTTTGGATATTCATTGGCTTTATTGAGTTCCCGAGGAAGTATGTGTCCCTGAGCTGAGAGTCCTAAAACAAGGACTAAAGTCATGACCGAAGCATACAACGATATTGAAAACTCGAGGACTTATATGCCTCATTTCTTTTCAAAGTTTAATGGAAGAGAAGTAAGTTATTTCCACAATACCCACATCCAAGAATAGAAAGTTTCCAGCTTCCAGTTCACGAGGGAAACACAAGGTTGAAGATCCGACTTGCTCATTATGAGATATCCTATCAGTTTGAAATTGCTATCCGAAAGATTCGTTCTTTGACCAATCTCCAACTGAATCGGTCAACCCTTCTCGTTTCAAGACACTCGTGTTCTTATGATATCCAGATATTATGGTAGCAGTAAAAGTAGCGTGAGACTTTCTATCAACTTGGATACAACAATACGCATAAACCCTTACTCGGATCTACACCAGCCTCTTGAAGAACCGTTAAAGACTTTTGCGGGGATATGTATACTTATATAGAACAGAAGAGCGAGAGTGTGTATCGGCTCTGCAAGACCCAGTGCATACACATTTAGTGCTGTTCCACATAGAGACTGTTTATTGCTTTCCACGGATTAGTGCTCTGTGGTTAACATATCCTAAGCTTGGTAAGGTTTTCAACAAATAGTATTTTAGTTGCGTCATGAGAATCTTCCAAATCCCATTTATGATACGCATAGTACCTCGTGTTGAAAATATACACTATTCACCCTGGTCATACGCTAGCAGTATATACAGTTAACATTTAGACACAGTAAAGGTTTCAAAGATCAAATATTTCACGATAACTAGCTATACCTTATAAGCCTTCAGCCCCGTATAGATGTATTGAGTTTTCCCGAACAAAACATGTATTTCATACATCAAAATCTCCCATCAAGTTAGCTAGTCTAAACAGTAAACTGTTGGCCAATCCTCTGAAAGTCATACGTAGGGAATGGCTTGGTCGATTTTGTATTGGTAATGCCACCTCTAATTTTTTAGTATTCGCTTCGAGGAAAAAAAAGCATGGCTTCAGTAAGCGCCCCCAATTTCAAGTACAGAAGATATCACATCGTGTCTTCCTGTTGGAACTACAACTCAACTTGATAGACCCGAAAGTAAAATCACAACACGGATATTCAAATTCAGATAAACAGAAGCTTTCCACTTCCAACACATCCCAGATAAGAACTCTTCCTACCCTACCCTCATACATCAAACCAACCTCTTCATCTCACCCACCGAGACACGATTATTCCACATTCCTCTACTAACCTTTTCATCCCGATCGCGATCATTAAATCAACACTCATTCATCAAGATATCAAGATATCAAACGAAAACCCAGATCACGAACAAAAACAACAATATATAACTAGCTTCGCAAACCCAAATACCCAGCTAGCTTCACCCAACAATCCCAGCAATCCCAATCCCAATCCCAATCTCCCATTCCCGATTCGCATCCAATCTCCCTTCCCTTCTCAATCACTTACAAAAATCCTACATTGACTTACTTCTATTCCGTAGAATCTTACAAAAATTTCAAGCCTAGAGAAAGTACAATGCGCAGAACTCAGTCTGATCTCACTAAAAAGAACACCTAGTTGTGATATCAAAAAATACAATTCCATATGTAAAAGAGAACGAAAAAGCAACACATTCAAACTTCTGGTATTATTCTGTATATCTATCAAATATCAAGTATCAAATATTTCTTCCGACCGTAAATATCAACTTCCAACCGGTTGCAAATACACCACACATCACTAGACCCGCCCAAAACCAGCCCACTACACTACCTAGGTACACAACACAAACTCATTTTATTTTCTTCCAAAATCCCCAATCACTCCAATCACTCCAAGACAGATACACCAATAACATATATCATCATCCAATTCAAACCCACCCAATCAATTCCACGACTGAATCTTCATCTCCCACTTTTCCCCCAATACATCTCTCATTTATTCGCGCCTCCGCCTCCGATTCCGCCTCCGCTTGCACATCCAGATATCCCCACCCCTCCTCTTCAAACCCCACAACTATTTGCGGGATATTTTCAAAAACACGCTCGCTTGTTGAATACTCACTTGTGTTTTGAAAAGTGTCTATAGACTCCTCATTCTCACTCTGACTCTGACTCAAAATCAAAACCCCACACTCCTCCCCCTCAGCCTTTTCATCCCCCTCATTCTTCCCCCCCCTCTCCAACCGTCCCAGAACCAAAGGCGAACACGGCGTATTCGGCGGTACAACCGGACTCATCAGCACCTCTCCCCTCTCTATTCCAGCCCCAGCCCCAAGCCTCTCACCATTGCACTCACACCCACCCTCATACACACCAGAAAAAGACTCAAGACCCCAACCCCTCCACCTCAAACTCGGACTACCCACCGCCAACTCCGGAACCCCCAAAAACACATCCCGCACAACCGGAGACGCCGGACTATTAACCGGCGTCAACGGCGTAACCGACGAGATCCGCATCGGTCTCCCTTGATGAACTCTAAGATATCTAGTCGAGGGCGAAGGCGTCATGAAAAAGCGCGGAATATTCAGAAAGGTCGAGACGGGAGGAGAATGCGACGACGAAGGGGAAAGAGCGGAGAGCGAGGGAGTAAAAGGGGAAGAAGAGAAATGAGCAAAATCTGCACTCACGAGACAGGTATCGATGACGATGACGGGAGTTTCCAGCGCGGATGCGGATGTAGGTGCGAATGTGGTCGACATGTTTCTTTCGGCATGCGCCCGCCCGCTCTTGTGATGATTTTTATTTGATGAAATCTAGAAATCGAAACGATAGAAGCAAAGCAAATCAAGAGATTCGAAATCAAAATCTTGTTCAAAAGTCTAAGAAAAGCAATCCGAGTCAAACTCACAATTAAAACAGGCACAGGCCTACTTTATCCTTTAAATATATTTTTCCCCACGAGGTCTCTGTCAAATGACGGTCCTCTAAGTGGTTGTATCATTTACATATGTTGGTTTTAATGTATTTCATCGGCTAACTGCTTCACTCGTGCCCTGTTGATAGTCTGCCATACAATAATTTCAGGCTTATAACTCGGTTGCACCGCCTGCGTCCATACAAACCGTCCTTTCATGTCCAAGAATCTAGAAGCTCGAATTTTTCGAACCACCGCATTCATGGCCGACCAACTAGGTCTCAAATAATTTGTTGGGATTGTTTCGTGATAAGGCATAGACAGATGTAGATCGGGCTTCAACGTGGCCTTTTCAAAACAATGGAAAGAACAAATAGAAAGCGTTGAAAGGAAAAAGAAAAAGAAAAAAAACACAAAAGCAACACAAAAGAAAATAAATGGAAATTTCAATATATTTCTTTCTTTATTCTTTCTAACGAAATTGTACCGAGGGGATATCCATGCAAGGACTTCTATCTATAATGCCATGCCAAAAAAATTGAACTCGCCAATGACAGAAAAATCTAGAGCAAAGGGTTGGATCTATACTCAGGAACAACAACATTGCTACCCTTTTCGGCATCTGCCTTTTCCAAATCATTTTCAGCATCCTCTTGCTCAGCAAGGAACTTCTCGGCCTCGAGAGCTGCTATACATCCAGATCCTATAGATATAATTAGCCTTTTTCTTACAAATTCTACAAAAATAGATAAATGACATACCTGCACTAGTAATAGCCTGTCTGTATCTCTTATCCTGAACATCACCAGCAGCGAAAACACCCTCAACGTTGGTATAACTGGTTCCAGGCTTGGTGACAATATATCCTTCGGAATCGGTCTCGATTTGCTCCTTGAACAATGCGGTAGCTGGGTCATGTCCTACAGCATAGAACAATCCATTTGCCTCTACCTTTTCTTCTTCACCAGTAGTGACGTTCTTGAAAACCATGTGGGTCATCAATCCCTTGTCATCACCGGTGATTTCACCTCCTACAGTGTTGAATCTAACAGTAACTTTCTTATTGGCAAGCAATCTCTTGGCCATCGTTTTCGACGCACGTAGATGATCTTTTCGGACCAAAACAGTAACGTGAGATCCGTATTTTGTGAGAAACATAGCCTCTTCCGCAGCACTATCTCCACCACCAATAACTACCAAAGGCTTATTTCTGAAAATTGGAACGGCTCCATCGCAAACTGCGCATGCGGAGATACCATTTTGCCAGTATTTTTCCTCTCCTGGAAGACCGAGTCTGCGAGCCGAGGCACCAGTAGCAATGATGATTGAATCGGCTGTGTGTTCTGTTTTATCGTCCCATTCGGTCCAGTATTTGAAAGGACGTTTGGAAAGGTCTACTTTGGCGACGGTTTCGGTGATGATTTCGGTGCCAAATCGTTCGGATTGTGCGCGCATGTTATCCTTTACACAGATTCATCAGTTGAAGTTCTACCCAATACATGTAAACAGTCAATCTACTTACCATAAGTTCTTGTCCGCTAATTCCCTTGGGGAAACCTGGGAAGTTCTCTACATCGGTAGTAGTAGTCAATTGACCACCAGCAGCGATTCCATTGGCAAGGAAACCTTCATAAAGAACAGCTGAATACCGCATGTCAGCTCGATACCCCTCCATGAATTCTCGATTTCCAATCTCAGGATATAGACTTACGTTTCAATTCCGCACGCGCAAGATAAACGGCAGCAGTGTGAGCCGCTGGGCCAGAGCCAATAACTATTTCACAAAGTCAGTATAGGTTCGTAGATGCCATCTCGTACATCCATTTTCTCATATTCTCCATCCCCACCCCGCCACATTAAAAGAGAAGGGGAATACTCACTAACAACCTTACTATGCATCTTTCTCTCTATATTTCTTCCAAGTAAATTTGCAGCAGTATTACTCTTGACCGAATTCTTCTGTTGAAAACAAGCAGCAGCCGCAATTGAAACACCCGAACCGCTTGCCCTCAAAGTACGTTTAAGAGTTGAAGAAAACACCTTGTCGATTTGCAATGATCTGCCCCTCGTTTTGTTTTGTTTTTTATCCTGAAGTATGTGTGTGTATGTATGTGACTGTGAATTTGAAGAACCTCGATTTACGAATCTGTAAATCTACTGGCAGATATTGTAATTGTAATATAATAATTTTCGAGAAAGAAAGAAGCAAATTAGAAAGTAGTTGTGTTGTGGTGTTAAGCATTCATCTATTTATTCAATCCCATGTAAAAAGACTCGAAGATTCGCTATGATTATTATTATTATTATTATTCCGTTTTATTAACTTGTTGATTTCAAACAATGTTCCTAGTTCCCCGCCAAAATGTCGTGATCATCAAAGCCTCAAGAGATCTGGACCACCTTTTGTGTCTGACTTTGCATCAATAAGCAGAATTCATAATTTATTATCATTGTGATACAGATTAGGTCTAGACAAACGTTCCTCGATTACCTAGGTAAGATTTCACTTGACATAATTAGATCACATCAGATCAGATCAGATTAGATAACATTTATACTCTAGATTCTATTCTAAATTCTAGATTCTAACATATTAAAGGTTCAACGGTACCTAGGTAAGATCAGATATCGTATTATACGATATCATCCGATATGTACTGGGTAATAGGTGATAGGTGATAGATTTATATTTACGACATATCCCGAAATCCCAAAGTCGATTTTCGGTACCCCAAAAGTAAATACATATCTCTTTCAATCCTCACGCATTCCCTTCTCTAAATAATACATACTGCCCAAGTACTCTTCAATCATAATTCCCACCCCAAACATACTTTGAAACACAACATCAATTTCTTTAACTACAACGTTGTGTTTTTGCAGCTTTACTCTTGCTCAACATTTCTTTGATTTTCTGAGACTCATCTACCTGCTATCTAAGCGATGAAATCCAAATCAATTCTTATTCGACCCTGAGTCTCAAATTATGGCGACTACAATTATGTGGTCTCTGCTTTATTCAATTCACTATGCAAAAACGTATTTTCACTACCTACTGTAGGACTGATTTTATTCCAAAGTCCATCCAAACACTTCCATCTGCTACTTGGTATAATCATCTATAGTTCCATCTCTCTTAGCACCAAACCTACCCCCTATATTCATCCCACCAAACCCAGACATATCTCTTCTGAAGAACTTTCCAATACTCTTCAAATTTCCTTCCACGGCAGACTTAGCATCCTCGCTCAAAGGACTTACCCCTCTATCGCCAACCCCCCCAGTTCCCATACTATCCCTGGCTGCACTAAATAACTTTTCTCCAAAACCTGCGGGGTCAAATCGTGTCTGTAATCCTGGCATACCACCAGGTGTTCCAATTCCTAGACCCGTGCTACCAAGCCCCGCAACATTCATAAGTGGTGTGAGAAGAGGTGAGTTTTGAACCAGCTGCTCATTAGCCTTACCATCTCTATGCATACCAAACATTTCCACTAATGCAGCCTGATCTTGCTTTCTGACACCCTTCAATTCTAAAATTTTCCGGAAATTTGTATCGCTACGATCGGCGATGTGAATTAGGTATGCTTGAACCAGTCCCTCTGGCGGTGAGGGACGGACCTGTAGCGTCTTGAGGAGCGGGTCCAGGCGAGCCATTATGTTATTTACACGCTTTTGAAATGCGGTATTCGCAGTGGCTGAAGAGGGAGTGGGGGAATGAGAGAGCAAGGTGGTCAGTCCTTTAGTTAAGACGTATTTGTCTAGTAACATCTGAATAAAAGGTTAGAAAAAATGTTTAATGCAAGTGGGTACCTTTTACTTGGGAATTTTACATACCTGCTCTGCGCCTACCTCGGATACCGGCCGGCATTGAACGATGTTTGCGATATACGTATTGGCCAAATGCTCGACAACGTTATCACAAAATGCACGCGCATATTGCTGCTTCCCCACTAACGGTAGTATTTCTCCCGCTTGATCATTGACATGTTTCAATAACTCTGCCACATAACTGCTCTGATCCCCCACGCTTTCCATTTTACTCCAATTTGTATTCTTCATCTCACGCCATGCTCCCTCGCAGTCAAGTTCAACTCTGTTTACCAATGATAGAACTGCTGCGCTGGCAACACCCATAAAAGTATCGGATTGTGACGATAAGTCCACTTTGGGTGCCAGTTCACTGTCAATTCTCCGTTTCAAATTATCTTCCAATTGCTGAGTGTTTGCGTGCCAATAATCCGCTGTATTGAGAACAAGGATAGTATTCTCAAGACTGGGTCCTCCAGCTCCTTGTAAGAAAAACAGTAAAACCTGCTGAGCATATTGATCGAGATATTTAGCTAGGATCTTTGAGAAGTCAAGAAGTCGTTCACTGGTTGACAACTTGGCACATTGAGCCAGGGATGTCTTGTAAAAATGGAAAAGCTCGATAGATGACGCAATCACAGCCTGTGGAGAGAATTCTTCATCGGCTGCTAATAATGGTTGAATTCGATATTTGGGTATCATTGTGGCGAGTTGTTTGTCTTGTGAATCAACCCAAAGACTAAGATATGGTTCGAAGGCTTCCGAAATAGACCCGTGAAATGTTAGAGGTTTATCCTCGATTGAGCTGAGAGTATCAATGCTTGCTCTCGTCTCTGTAGCGAATCTCTTTTCAAGACTTTGCTCGAAATCCATAGTTTCCTGTAGGCAACTTAGAAGCAAGTTGACGTCTATCCTACTTCCATCTGTTCGCCTCATGCTCCGCTCCAAGATTCCCTTGAAATCATCCCTAGTGCCTTCGCAGAAGGCATTTGCCAGAACCTCATTGACTCTCCACCCAGCAGGAAATATTCCTGCATGTTCATCCTCAAATGTCTTGAGCATTCTTCTGAACCAACTGTATCTTCTACCAATATTATCCAAGCTTCCAGCTTCATCATTTCCTCTGAAAACCTGTCTATATTCCCTCAATTGCGTATTGACATACCACGTCACCAGCCTTGCCCGAGCGTTATCCCCCAATGCATCCATCACCAGACATGACTCTGCCAGCACTGCTTTCTTGCTCCCCACTTCTCCTTTAGCAAACGCCATCTCAAAGTCCTCGCAAACTTGCTCCAACAACTCTCTTTGTAACTCTGAAACACCTCTACTCAAGGTAGCAATCTGGTCTATGCTCCTATAGCTATTGAAATGCTTCATGAGTTGCAGTACAGCTTGAAGCAAGCTTGCACATTCTCGATATTGTCTTGTTTTGGCTAGACCCCTTAATTGTTCGTAAGCAGTCGTAAGCATTTGTAACCTTTTCAGAGCCGTCATGCTCAGAGTCAAGTTCTTCTTTGTGCCATCCAGTCTCTTGATATCTGCGGTCATCGAGGTGATCGTTTGCTCTGTCTGTATAGCTCGTGTCCGTACTGATTCAATCTTTCTGAAAAGATCTGCAAGCTCCGACTTTGCAGATTGCATCCGTTTGAGTGAGGAATCATCATTGTATGCTTGAGTGGCCACGAGATTCGCGATATTATCTGACAGCTCATCCTGATGAGTTTGTAGAGCAGCAGCCGTTTGATCTATAGAGGATAAAGTCGAGGGATGGGAAAAGATCGTGTTCAAATGGTCATTAGGATCATAATCAGCTGCGGGGAGTGAGCATGATCAGTGGGGATTATTGAATGTTGTAGAACTGAGGTTGAGGGACTTACATGCATCCAGGGATGAAGGTATCGATACGCCGTTCATGCTGTAATGAGTGTAATGAAATAAATTAAATTATCGAGAGCAGTACTCAATATACTAATGATCAATGCATGTATGAATAAACCAAGTAATTATTGATGTGCAGTTGTAAAAAGGTGTTTGGTGTCATTCCTTTCTCATGATAAAGTAGAAAGTGGTCGCACTGTCTATGCGTGCATCCTCAAAACATGTCAGCCTCGTCAGCCTTTCAACCAGTTTAAATTTCAATAAATTTCAATAGATTTTAATCAAGTTTTGTTATTCTTGATCTCCATTACAGAAGTATGCTTTTTATGAATCGCCTTATTATACATTGAGCTATATAGCTACTTATAGTATGAGTATACTTGACTCCACAGTGTTTTAAGAACACCGCCCAATGCTATTTCTTTGTCATTTCATCATAACTCGTGATAATACCAAATAGAGAGCAAGCCTTCAATTTCATCTTTAAAAACAATAAGAATCCCTGAGAAGACTCTATGTCCCAAATCTACCTAATCGGGCCTTTGAGCATTCAACATATTCATGAATGTTGAAAGCCCTCATCTTCCGAACCACCGAATTAGCACATTCGATGCACCATACTAATACGAACACTGGGTGGTTTACGCATCATGTAGAGCTTTGAATCCAGCTGAGATTAAACTTCGCGGGCCTGGTGCATCTGCTGTCCCGGTCCAGTAAAACAGTCCCTGCATCTTATCAGTAAACGCCTATGACCAACAAAAAGGGGCTACATACTCCAAGACGCCTTTGTCTACAATAGTCAGCTTTCATTCTGACTGTTTGTGGGTTGTCGTAAGAGACCCATCCTCCATCACCTCCATGGCAGGAAGCCGAAATAGTGGTAGTATCAACCACTTCTTGAGTTCCGGGCCGCGGTAATAACTTGTACTCGAATGTTCCCTCTTCCCCACCACAGCCTTGGTATGGGTGACCTGGTCCTCTGGAGTTCAAAAAGGATCTTCCATATACAGGAACTCCAAGTAATATCTTTGAGGATGGAAAACCAGTCGATACAACATAATCGACAGCAGCACTTCCATTTGCTGCATCCGGCACGTTCCCAGGAAAAAGCTGGGCGTGATGTCCTGACTTTTGGGACCATGAACCATGAAAGTCATAGGCCATAAGATTGATTAGATCTCTAACACAAGACAACATGTTAGTACAGCTCGTTTACGGAATACGGTCATGGGGGAAGGATGGATTTCATGGATCAAGACTTAATCGCTCGAGGAGTGTGGGTATGAATCATCCTTACAAATAATCTTGAGCTTTATAAAGATCGATGTTTTGCAAAGCCCATTGTCCGGCAGGTAAAGCGGCTGTTAAAAGATATCTTTCATCGGGTAGATGAATTCGAATAGCAGCGAGGAGGGCAAGGAAATTTCGACCTTGTTCAGGATCCGATGGATGTTCCCAGTCGACTAGCTTGTCAGTGTGATTATTATCAACCATATAACACAAACTTACTATCAACACCATTGAAACCTGTCGCATCAACTAGACCTCGGACCGACTTTCCGAAATGATCTCTTGTGGCAGCTGAAGCAGCAACTTGCGGAAAATGCTGGCTTGCCGCACCTCCACCTATAGAGATGATGAGCTGGAGATGCGGATGCTGTTGTTTTAAACGCATGAATGATCCTAGACAGCCGCCCCCAGTGGAACCGTCAACGGGCATTTGCATATCTGCCCATTCATCACTCAACTGATGTAGTTAGCAATATTCGGGAGTATCATTTCAAGGAACGAAAAACCAACAAAAACTCCACCATCCGGGCCAACATGGGCAAAAGCATAAAAGACATGGCTGATACAACCAAAATTCAGCGACCCAGGTGTCTCTCCGCGATAAACTCGATAGTTGGGGTAGTATACGGCGTTTTTATACATAATATTAGAGATGCTCGCGGCAATTGATGGTTGAGAGGGTCTGCGACTGTCTATCTGAGGTCTCGAGTTCCATGGTATTGGAGGAGCTCCGTATGGATATGACATCTTTAAGAAGACGAGGAAGACTGGAAATCAGTGAATGGATCACCTCCCACAAATACTTTCGTCTAAATTCAAGTCCACGTTGGGAAGCAAAAGTATGGAAGAGAAAGTAGATGAGTGACTGTTTTAGAGAAAGATGGAAGAGATAAGAGCTTGAAAGCAGCTCCCTTGATCTTGAGGAGAGCGTTAATGTTTGAACAAACTTTGGTACAAATGAATTCACTTGCAAGGCTGATTATGCTTGAAGATGGAGAATCAAAGGTCGGTATTTGGTTGTACATATGCATGAGAAATGACGAAGGAGGAGATCAATCATACATATTCACTAACAAATCCACCAGCAGACTAGCATAGCTGAATTGTGGAAGCTTATGATAGTGGAGCGATGAAAGGAAAAGTTGTGTGGGGATGATGACTTTGTAAGGAAGTTCCTAGTTAAGGATAAATTTCAAAATCGACGGCAAGACGACCTAAGGGAAGATCCGAGCCATGTGCGAGACTAGCCAAGTTAAAGCCGGTTTCAATAAATCGTATGGGATGATTCCATATACCAATAGGTATGTATGTAACTCTCTTCTTCCTTTGATACATACATAAAGAGACTGCCGCAGCCGCATATACACTCATACCTAGGGAGGTAGGTATCTTTAGGTTAGTATCCCGGAGGTAGATCTGCACCACCTGCACACCAGACCAACAAGCAATATGTGTATGTGGCTGTGGCGTTGCGTAAAACAGATCGAATCAAATTCACAGCTCCGTAGCTTTACCATTGGAATCAGAGAAAGCGGTATCGTATCGATGTAGGCTTAAGAAGAGTATCGGAAGAACGACAGATGATCATTCGGCGAGCTGAGAATAGCTTTTCGTGAAAGAGGAGAACGTTTGTTAACTGATTAGTTTGAAGAATGCGTCTCATCCTCTACCGGCCAATATTATTTTGAGTATCACTATCAATCAAAATTTATATTCCGTTTGCCACGCCATTGAACCGACGATACCGTATTCGGAATCCTCCCCTTTGCTCTCGTCGAAGTTGAACCATTCATCATTCGATTCTTTAACCTATGACATTGAGATTAGGATTAGAATCAGGATCAGGATCAAGACTAAAAGTTAAACATGCTTTTCGACTATACCTAGGTATCCATTGCATCCACCATGTTACAGCAATCTAATGCAATGCTCATCGGCTAAACCCTTAGAAACTAGAGGGGTCAAAAACAAAATAAATATAAAATCAAGTGCTGGATGGATGAATGTATAATTTATTTTACCAATTGAATGTGGGTTTCGAAGATTCCAATTACCAAGATCAACGTGCAAAGTTCGTGTTCTGACTCGTTCATTCATTCTGCATGCATGCATGGCATTCCATGCGCCATGGCTCATGATATCGATGCAGAATAGCGACCCTACCTAACTCATCTAATGAGCTACCGACCTGACATACCTAGTAGCTCCATACATATGATGATATGACCTACTATCTCCCTATTATCTATCTACTATCTAGGTACCAGGTGTCATCATCAGCCTACTCACAATATGTGCACAGCTCTGCAGCGTCAATGCACCTCCAGGCATCGGTAACCTGTCTTGAAAAATTCACCGTCACCAATTGTTATAAACCCTATCCTTGCTTCATCAGCATCGTGAGAAAATGTTTAAAACCTTCATGATCTCTTTTTGTGGAGATTTGGCTTGCTAAGGACAGCTGGCAAGTATTTGGAAGAGGTGCTGGTATCTGAGAAAATGAATGCAAATACCCAATGGCTTAGCCAGTAATGTATCGCAAGCTAATCTATTATGATTCCCTGAGGACTGATGTGTCAGTGAACATTCTGAGAAATCCTATGTACTTATTGCTGTAGCAATGTGATAGAGCTTCTAGCTCTATATCTAACAGATGCATTGAGCAAGTTATGGTACCGGCTCAGAATCGGTACAAGGTTTTTCGAAAAATAAAAGATGCAAGCAACATAGCAAAGAAATATGAATCGGATCGGCAAAAGAAAAGATCAATGGCCATAGCTTTAGCCGTAAAACAACCTGGAATGCCGAATGGTAAGTCACACTCATTATCTTGAACTGAGATGCAGAAAGAGCCGAGTTGGCACGTATATTGAAGTGCAGTAGGTGTATCTAGCCGAATTGTGCGAATCCCTAGTGTTACCTACCTACTTCCCTACTTACTATCTAGTATTGAAGATTCGATAGGTTGGTAGTAGTTTGCTAGTATGCATCTTTATTCAATATTCCGAGAAACGTTTTATAATTGCTATCCATTCATGTATTCGCGTACTCTAGTACTTCTGTGGTACTCTCTTCTCTGCTCGGTAGTCTCTAGTGAAGGATATCGGACCAAGTAGTACTCGTGTTGAATCCATTCATTCTTGATGTCTTAGAATATATGTGTGTGTAACAAGAACATGTCCAGACATGACTTTGGGGCGAATATATGGTATCTGCGTGTGATAGTGTGAGCACAAATCTGCACCCCGTACTATAAGATGTTCCACAAAGACCAGGATTTTTAGGTAAATATTCACAAGAAAGTTCAACAACCGGCATCAGATGGATGAGTACTTCTTGTTGGTGCGGCAAAATACCTAGTAAGTACTAGGTAGCTGCATCAAAAACTTGTTATCACTCAGATGAAGATTGATATCTCATTATTGGGCATGAGTAAAGCGTACCTACATTGCCCATTACCCGGTATATTTGCTGTTCGGTCCTGAAAACTGTGCCAATCGTTGCTGGAATTATAATTAATATCCATCAACCTCGCAATTCATATAGTTATGTTTGAAGTTTGGGTTAACATGCAGGTGTGTTACCCCTAGTTTCACAATTATGATAGGCTGACGCTAACCGTATTAATAATAATGAGTTCTGGAATCCGATTACTAATACGCGAGGCTGTCAAGAAACCAATCTTTCTAGACATCACCAGGTCACTTCTTTGAAATCATCACTCTCTGTACACCCACACTCAAGTTGAGGTTCGGATATTGACCCATATAACGTGAATCCTGTCTTTCAATCACAAACCATATCGTACTGTCCAGGTAATCCAAGGCGCATTCTAGTTGTCATCTAATAAAACAAGGCTCAACACGTATATTGAGCTTCACCAGATTCGCAATCACCTACATAAATCGTCTGCGTTGCTCCCTCCGGCAGATCGCATTGCGAAATAATTCAATCAGCAACGAAAACCTAATTCTCGGCCGACCCATAAGACATCGAACATGGCTGAAATACTACAACAAAAACCCAGTGCTTTCGCAGCACAAGCTTCAGCTTCTGCAGCCCAGCAAATTCTAGATCACAAAGCCCCAGCATACAAATTTTCATTCACACCTTTTCTATTTAACAACCATCGCATGGGTATTTCGCCCGATCGGCCTACATGTAAAGCATATCTTCAAGGGCACTGTCCTCTCGGGGCCAACTGCTCTGATAAGCATGCTACCAATCCCAATAACTCATGGAATTTCAACAATATGGTTTGCAAACATTGGCTAAGGGGCCTCTGCAAGAAAGGTGAAACGTGCGAGTTTCTTCACGAGTTCAACTTGAGGAAGATGCCGGAATGCAACTTCTTTGTAAAGAATGGGTATTGCTCTAATGGAGGTACGTTTGTCTAGCTATCTAATGCTTCAAGAGTTACACTAACCAGTCTAGATGAGTGTCTTTATTTACATGTTGATCCTGCCTCGAAAATGGGAAATTGTCCGCATTACGACAAGGGGTTTTGTCCACTGGGTCCACGGTGCTCCAAAAAGCACATTCGCAAAGCTCTCTGCGAATTTTACCTAGCAGGATTTTGTCCAGATGGACCCAAATGTAAAAAGGCTCATCCCCGATGGCCCTCTGACTTACCCAAGCCAACTATCAAGGTCGAGAGGGATCCAGAAGAAGTTGCCGAAGAACAAGCGAGAATCAGAGAGAATGCAGAGAGAGAAGCGGACAGGGAAAGAGGATTTGGAGAAGGTCGACCTAGACAGAGATGGAGGGGTGGATTTAGCTATCGTGGAAGGGGTGGTGGAGGCGAAAGGGGTCAGCGAGGCCGCGGACATTAAGGACACGGGATGCAAAACCAAAACTCAAATATTATGCAGCTCATGAGGGGAACCCTGATGATGATGGACTACAATTACGCGATCTTGAGCTATTTTCCACCAGCACAAATCACTATCGACTTGCACGTTGTGGGTTACACAGACCTTCCACTCCATACCCATCAAAGCTATATCGATCTCGTTGGTCATCTCACCGCTAATAACAAAGAAAACGGGTCTGTCATGCAAGGCAAGCCCCATCCTTCCCGCAACATATGCAAGAAAGCCGTCCTCATCACAACAAGGCTGAGACACGACTAAAAAGCTGGATACTACCAGCCACTTTTTGAACAGGGTACTGAGCGAATCGACCAATAGACCGAGCTGCGTCATGCAAACATTTCCAAAAGAGGAAAAGCTCTCAGTGGCATAGTGTTGATCAATTCTTTTCTTGTCATTTGTAGTTCCACATGGGATGATTATCTCAACCATATCGGTCTGGAACATCGTGACATCCCCAGGCACGGGAACGGCGTGGCTTGGGACATAACGAATATCAAGCCTGTTTCATGCCGAATTTAGACTTACCAATAGTGCAATGCAAATTATATTCAATGAATTAAGAACTAGCATGGATTTTTATAGAAGCCAGTACTATCGAAGAGGAGCATGCGATAGAAAAGATAAATTGCATTTCAAAATGAAATTATGCCTTTGAACATCTGTCCCATCTAATAAACATGAGTACTGAATGTCTGAACACATTGAAATTCCAAAGGATCACTAAATAATCGTTATATTCGACTGGGGTGTGTTTTCTTCATCCAATTTGTAAGAATTAAATCAATAACTATGGTGCAAATGACTTGACTATGTTTACAAGTGGAGATGATTGCGCCTGTCCAAATCCCATATCCCCAAGACGCCATGTTTCACAATCCAAGATTCCAACGATGCAGACTAAAAACAACCACGTGATCCAATCCACTCACAAATTCCATAGCATATCCTATATACCTTCTCAAAATATCGACATCCTATGGTCTAATTTCCCTGCTGACTCGTAACCGAAATATAATCACTTCCGGCTAAGCCAGCTCCGCCGCTCATCTCGCTACTATCGGGCGTGAAAGGTCTACCCTCAAAGCTAGATGTACTAGAACTTCCAGGTATGCTCGCGTGAGAGATGTCGTCAGCAGGTTCCGGCTTGAACTTCTTAACTCCCATCATCCACCCTACCAATCCCCGAGGCACCCATGCCCCAATGAATCCATACACGCTGCTTCCCATACCCACTCGAATGATTCCACTATTCTTCCTTTCCATCGCGTCGAAGACCGCATTGTTTAGTTCTCGGAGACTACTACCTTTTCCGTAGCCTCCACCTTGTGATCCACAACCCATTGCTGCCCCTATGTTTGACCGATTTACGGCAGCATAATTGCGTGAATATATGTGTCGGGATGATGAATCCCAATCTAAGTTTGGAGGAGAGCGACCCCGGTATGATTGAAGTTGATTCTTAGGTCCAAAGAAAGAGAAGTCAAAAGTTCCAAGCTGGAGGTTGATCACGGGGATGGAAAGAGGCGAAAGCTCGGATGTAAGAACTTGGGTAAAGGTTTTAAGGAAGGATGTGGTGGAGGACTCGGGAGCGTGAAATGCAGGTGAGAGAGACGGTATGATGTTGGGAGTCAAGACAAGAACGGAAGGCTTTGGAAAGTTCTTGCTATGAGTGCCCTGAAATGGTAACTCCGTGAGAAGAGGAAGGAAGTTTTGAAGTGTGAGAATGGGGTTCAATAGACGAGTATTGAGGAGATCCGATAATGTCGACGCCGATAGAGTGGCGATTGGAGAAGATGGATAAGCAAGTGAAGGAATAAGAATAAGAGATCGGAATATTAAGTGATGGGTTTTACCACCTTGAAAAGGGGAATGTGGTGCTCGTAAATGCGCCGTAAATCTGTCGATTGCAGCAGAGGCACTTGATGGCTACAATAATATTAGTTCCCATAACTCAGCTGACAGATATTACAAACTCACATCAACGATATCAATCATCAAAGGTTTGATATCTTGTCTAGATTCATTTTGTACTAGGACTTCTTCCTCAATCGTATTGCATACGACATAAACAATGAATCCCCGGCGCTCCAAATCCAAAGAAATCGACCTAGTTATTGGTTCTGATGGGGATCCTGCAATAACCACAACTTCTTGTCTTGCTCCAGTCGCTGCCCGCTTAGCTCTGCGTTTTTTGCGGTAGTTTGACTTCTTTCTAATGACATAATATATTACTCCACCCATTACTACGATAATAGCTCTTGTGAGGAGCTTGTTTCTTGAAATCCATTGTTCGATCCGGGTATATACTGATTGAGATGCAGCGATAGTCTGAGTTGACGGCGGTGGTTTGGGTCGCGCAGATGGGGGAATCCATTCTGCAGAGGCGAGAGACACTCTTATTGATGTAGCTACCTTATCAATATGTCTTTCGATATAATCTGCAACATCATTGCTATACTTCTTGATATCATTCGGTACGGAGGACAACTATCAGAACATGCTATCAGCAGCTATAATCTTTGGATGAAATAGAATACTTACAGTGTCAAAGAACACTTGATCATCTGCAGACATTTTGGACAGCTTTTTGATGAAATTTACTCTCAAGTTGCTTGTTGATATTTGATCTAGAAACTTGCTTGGAGTGTGGGGAAGGAAAGCTCGGCCGACATCATTTATCTTCAGCCTTGTGAGCCTTATCTTATCGACAACCAAAATCTAGAGACCCACTTAAACTTTCCATAATCGAAATGCGGGACAAGCGCATGTGAATATGTTGGCGCGTCAGCCTTGTGTTTGCCTACATGATTACAATTCCGACACAACAGGAAACCTGGATACTTTCTATTACCAAGAAAGTCTTCCTTCTAGTAGTTTCTAGGACCGTTTATTTGGGTTTATACAACAACAAAACGTTCCCTCTTCATCTCAGAGCAATCCTGAACAGATCTATGCATACTCTTCCACAATCAAAGGAATACTTGACCCCCTCATCATCGTTTTGCTAGCTGTGTTCTTAAAAATGTCTACTAATATAGAACGCGATGCACTTATATCATCATACTCTCACTTGAAAGGAATGAAACGGGAAGCTGAAGCACTTCATTCTCTAAAAAAAATTGCATCGCTAGTCAAACCTATCATGAGAGCACGTCGTTGGCGCGTAGGTACTTTGACAGAGTTCTACCCAGACCAGCAAAATCTACTAGGTATGCTAATCTACTCGCACGATTTGTAGGGTAAAGGAACTCACTTTGAGAAATAGGTCTTAATGTAAATAGAGGGCAGAAAATATGTCTACGGTTGAGATATCCTGGAGATCAAAATCAATTTCTACCGATAGAGCAGGTAGTCGATACAATGCTTCATGAATTATGCCATAACGAGATCGGACCTCACAATCAAGAATTTCATGCTTTATGGGATCAGCTACGGAAAGAACATGAAGGCCTGATAGACAAAGGATATACTGGAGAAGGTTTTTTGTCAGAAGGAAAGAGTTTGGGTGGACGTAGAGTACCACGACACGAAGCAAGACGTCTGGCTCGCATAGCTGCAGAGAAACGACAGAACTCTCTTAAAGGATCGGATCAGAAGCTGGGAGGTCGGCCAGTGCCATATGGTACCGATATTCGGAAGGTTATCGTAGATGCGATCGAGCGCCGAAACAAAGTGCTTAAAGGTTGTGGAGAAAGCAGGATGAATCCTATCGAGATCAGAGACTTGGCCGATGAAGCTACACACAATGGATTTAGAACCGTAGCAGAAGAAGATTTAGCTAACGAGGCAGCAATTGCTCAAGCTATGTGGGAGCTTGTTCAAGAAGATCAGAAAAAGGAGTTTGGAGACCTTTATATTCCTCCTTCTGTCCAAAACCCTGCGGGAACTAGCGGTGGTAGTTCTGGGAGGCGGGCATCGGATGAAAATTCCAAGTCTTCGTCTGAACAACCTTTAGCTAGACGACCCGCAACTTCGAGTTTGACCTCGGCCGGCTTGGAAACATCTCGGCAGCCTTTAGACCATGTCAGTCGTCTAGTGCTTGAAAATTCAAATAAGTCAAAATCGTCCCCAAAAACAAAGGATCCTCAAAACGAACCAGCACAGGGACCAGTATACTCCGCACCTACCTTGACAGGATGGACATGTACTATATGTACACTTCACAACCCCATCGAGTTTTTGTGCTGCGATGCCTGTACTACTGAGAGGCCAGAAAGTATCACGAAGCAGATTGATCGAAATTCTCAGAGAAAAGCCGCAGCTAGACCTCTTCCGCCCCAACCACAGATGTGGACTTGTCGATGGTGCAGCACCAAAATGGAAAATCAATGGTGGACTTGCTCTACTTGCGGAAAAATGAAAGAGAGTTCATGAGATAATCAAATTGTTCAATGAAGGCGTCTACGAGAAATATGCCTTTGATAATACTGGAGTAAATGGAATTTTGGGCGGGAACGGGAGTTTGGGCGGGGCATAAATCTGTGGAGTTCTCTTATGGCCATATAGCTAGAGCAGCACGGTTAAAACTTATGGAAAGAATTTATCATAATCGAGGTTCCGCACCAGCCGATTGATGTGCCCTCCAAGTGGATATCTGATTACAAATCTTGTGGTTCAAGTTGTCACACAAAATCTGAATCTCAACTATAATGATTCGGCTTTTACAATTCCCCTTTTCGTGACTCGCGTAAAGCTACCGCCGTGATCGGAGGCGGTGATGTCAATTACAGTGATCAACCCTGCTACGATTATTATGCTTTGGCACATTTAAAAGAACAACGCCAATTCGAATTCCTTCAAGTCTACGAATCGATAAACAGAATCAAACTCAATACAATATGACTACCGTCGCCAAGCTTCGAGCTCTTTTAGCCAATGAGAATGAAGTCGTTGTTTGCCCAGGCGTATACGATGGCTTCACAGCGCGTCTTGCACTCAATGCAGGATTCAAAACATTGTACATGGTATTTCTTGACCAACTCAACGTTGCCCTCACTTCAACCTCAAAATAGTAATTGACGATGAGAAAAATAGACAGGTGCCGGAACAACTATGTCTTGCCTTGGTATTGCAGATTTAGGGGTCGCCACCATGAATGACATGCGAGATAATGCATCCATGATCGCCAATATCGACCCTACCATCCCATTGATTGCAGATGCAGACACCGGCTATGGAGGTCAGTAAACAAACAATTTTTTCCTTGCTTGATCACGCGATGCGAGTATCTACAATATCTATCATACAATATTGACAATTGTTAGGCCCCCTTATGGTATCTCGTACGGTCGCTTCATACATTTCCGCAGGCGTAGCCGCCATGCACATTGAAGACCAAGTCGTCAATAAACGTTGCGGACACCTCCGCAATAAAGAACTCGTTCCACTCCCAGAATTCGTCTCGAGAATTCGGGCAGCAGCTCTCAAGCGCGATGAGCTGGGAAGAGATATTGTGATTATTGCGCGAACTGATGCATTAGCCGATCATGGTTATGATGAGGCTGTTTTGCGCTTGCATGCCGCAGTGGATGCGGGTGCAGATGTGGCGTTTTTGGAGGGGGTCAGAAGTGTAGAGGAGGCGAAAAGGGTATGTGAAGAATTTGGAAAGAAGGAAGTACCGTGTTTATACAATTGTGTACCTGGTGGTGTGAGTCCAGTTTTAAGTGTCAAGGAAGCTAGGGAATGCGGATATAAATTGGTTATCACGCCTACATTAGCATTAGGAGCCGTTTTTGAGAGTGTAGGAAAGGCATATAAAGAGTTGTTGGAGGATGGGAACACGAAGGGTAATGGAGTGGCAGTGAGAGATCTCTTTGATAGTTGTGGGTTGAAAGAGGCTACGGAATTTGATGTCAAAGCTGGGGGCAAATTATATCAAAATGGTATTTGAAGATTGGTAATCTTGCTGTAGAATCTTGAGATAGAAGGGAATTCATATTAGACTGGGAATGGAGTTGAATTAGATACTGATAGCGGAGTTTCATACATAGACATCGCACAAGTGGCGCGGGAGTACAGCAATTTTCAAATGATCGTATATTTCGGAATACCTTTTTTCCTCATTTGTATTCCTGTTACCCATACTGCTACGTCTCGATAGTCTGTTAGTTCGCCGCTGCTCTCAATATTTGATCGTCATTGAGTCCATGATGAGCTCTTTGAGAATATTCAAAAGCTCATAGCGAAACAGCTCCGTGTAAGATATCTATCACACAGGGATCTCTTAAATGAAGATTGTTAGAAGTATTCGAAGAATACAATACAGTGTTAATTCAAATATCAAAGGCTTCAAGCATAAAGTGACAATAGTATATTGGGAAGTTTCTCAAGCTTTTGAAACTTTCTATCAGCAAAACATGTATATCGATATTCCTTGAGAGAAGGGCCTCCTTCAAAAATGCATGAAAAACGACAAATGGAACCACATACGGAAGACAAGCAAAATCATTAAATTTACCGCAGGAGCTCATTAAGGATTGAAAAAGTATGAAATAAATTGATTGTAAACTTTATCTACACGAATGATAAATCGAACCTCCATCCAGTTGAATTTCGAATCTAGACATCTATTTTCTTAAGAAAAGAAGAATCCATCCGTACAAAGCTGTCTTGCAGTACATGAATGATAAATTGAACCTCAATCCAGTTGAGATTTGAATCTAGAAATCTATTTTCTAAAGAACAGAAGAATCCTCTTGTACAAAGCCATCTTACAGCAAATATGAAACAGTTTCGATTGATCGCTGGAAGTTGTTAGTAAGTTTGATGGCTTTGTCATCTCCGTCTGTATGAACAATTCCTTTTCCCAAATCCGTTACGTATCATTAACCCATTTCTTTTCAGGATTCGAAATCCTACCTATGCTTCATTAATACAGAGCACTTGCTCATCCTATCGCGGAGACTACTCCATATATCATCTAAACCTGAGGTATAGGAATTGGATTGAAGGTACAGACTCACCAAGTTCGCGTAGCGCATGTGCCTGTCCAAGAGATTCCTCAGGGAAGTTCCGACAACAATTCTCTCACGACTCGAATATCCAAACGTGCCGTTGGTAGTGGCTCAAGCATCCCAGTGACTATCCAGAGTAAAATCTCCTGAGAGTATGTGTTTTTCGGGCAAAGTCGTCGTAGGGTCTTTATGAACTCTTCGAATTCCGTCGAGATTCTGCAGGAGCAGTTTGAATCATCGTTGTTGAAGGTTTCCCACAAATCCCATGACCCTTGAGATCCTTTATGCAAGATTACCACCAAGAACGCAAAGCAACAGCCCATCTGCCAAACATCTGCCTTAAGACTACTGTCTGTGTGGTCGACTTGTTCGGGCGCAAGATATTCATACGTACTCTTAGAATAGTTCGTGGTTCCACCTTCCCTGAAGACTTTGCTCTCACCGAAATCTGCAATTATCGGCCGGATCCCTCGAGCACTGTCATAGGAAAGCAGGACGTTATTTGGCTTTATATCCTTATGCTTTATCAAATGTTCATGGAGGTAATCAAGGCCATCTGCTAGCCCTTTCAACACCATCAGTATCTTTATTTCCTTCGTTGTTGAACTCGATGCGAACCATGGACACGATTTTAGTCTCTGACTGTCGTTCTCATGGATAAACATTTCCAGCGTATATGGCGCCCAGGGCTGAGTAATCATGTAATAGGTATGTGGGTCGTCGTGTAATTGGTAGGCACCCACTAAGGTGAGCAGGTTTGGATGGTTACACCTATCCAGTAGTGCCAACTCCTTCGAGATCATATCCCGCTGCTCTGAGGAGTGTACCTTTTTAAACATCTTTACAGCGAAGACAGTATTGTCTGTTGTATTCACTGCTTTGTAGACGATGCCAAAGCTTCCCTGGGCCCGAGGGGCATCAAGGTCCTCTTCATATGGCACCTTCTCCGCTTCTGTAAATGTGTGAACATAGATCCGGTCCTGGTGAGCACTACAAATCTTTAGCATTGGCACGTTAAGGCTTCTGAAGGTAACTAACATATAATCATGATAAGAATCTTGAAGCTCTTGATTTGCATCTTCTACCTCGTGATCTTGTGCAGTCTGAACTTTTCTTGGTTGTATAAGTTGTTCCTCGGCATCCTTGATCGTGTTTGGAAGGAAGGGGCTTTCGGTCAGCTCCTCCACCCGTGCTATCTTCGTTTTCATGAACGGCGTTTCTTCCTGAAGAGATCCCGTTCGAGATTGATCGGTCACGGGTGCTCGATTCCCGTTCATGTGTGAGCATGACCCTTGATCGTGAATGGCAATTGAGCCAAGTGGTGACATAACATGCGCTAGTTCGCTTTCACATTCCTGCGGCAAATCTTTTAGATCAAGCGCTAGATCTTGTGCCGAATTACTTGTCTCGGTCCAGCCGGGGTAATATTCGAGTGAAGAGCGGCCCTCGTGTTCAAGAGTGGTGACCGTGAAGTACTGTTGAAATCTCTCTTTCGTCAGGTCACATAAACGTGCGAGAATTCGGACTGTGATACGCGGTACAGGTTCTTCGTATTCTGAGTTTCGAAAAACAAGTTGTCGGTAGATTGAATAGAGGTCCTTGAACACAGAAGAGCGTGGTAATGACATTGGAATACTTCGAGAAAGTGAACTTCGAAAATGAGTAAAAGGGATGGATTGAATTTGCTTACCAAAAGACCCCGGGGAAACCAATGTCTTTATACACATCTCCGAATACTCATGCGTTTTCAATTCTATGCCTGAAGAAAAACGTACACGCAATAATTTATAAAACCAAGTTGTCCCCTGTTTCATAGTCAAAATTTCCATGCGTATCAGCAAATCAAATTTTCTTCGTTTTAACAGTAAAAAGCAAAAATTGTTATCTTTTTACCTTGACTTATTCCAGAACGTACGATAGAAGCAATTTGCTGGCCGGACCAGACACTGATTGGAGGTGATTCGATATTGGCGCTGTTTCGACGTCGTGCTACCACTCGGTACATGGATTGATGAGATATTGATACTTCCTTAATTTCGAATTTTTTCAGCAAAGTTATCCCTCAGTTGGATGACATGAACTTCGCATTTTGATTGCTTCACATCCAATGAATAGGTAAATTGTAACAAATTTCGAGACATGTAATTCAATATATCAGGACTGATTCACGCGTCCATTTTGTCATGCCCCGTCAGTCCGTACACCCCTGGTGTACCTAAAAGGTTCACGAGAGCGCGTTCACCACGCGTGTGCACGTGTCTGCTAATTTCGGTATAAACGTACCAAACTTCAGACTAAAGTTTCCCTTCCCACGGAAGTTTGGGTTGTTAATCTTTGATCTCTCCGGGAAGAGGATAGTCAAAGGTATCCAAGTCGCGGAATGAAATGATCAAGGACCCATGCAACGAATCGATTCCAAATCGGGCACTACACGATCATTAGCTCAGTCAATCTGTCTGATTGCGGGTCAGTAAACAGTGAGCATCCAACGTCGATAGTCACTCTCATCTATCCATCTCAAAGATAGGGAGGTGAGCCGCCGATCCAAGTTGTATAATCTTTCAATCATGTAACTCTTTTTGTCCATCGTGCAGTCTAGTCAATGGATGACCACGCACAGATATCAAGTCGCGTTCCATAAACGCTCAAGAATAATAAATAGGAATATCCAGTGCAAGTAATTCATCAAAAGTGCGCACTTCAAAGCTTTTGAGATAAACCGTTCAAAACAAAGAAGGTGTGCCCACCTCCATTTCGATCTTGTGTAAACATCCCAAGCCGCTAAAATCCACATTTGCTCCATATATCCCATCACAATCCTTGGAAAGTCTCGGTTAATCCAAGCTCCACCCCTTCATCACATAAGACATCAAAACACAACACTTCTCAAAATTCCGTGTCAAATCATTCAATCAAAACTTCGAGCGAGTGGTAGGATACAACATCTCATACTCTTCGAATCTATTGATTCATCTATGTTCATTGAAGTAAGTTACAGATACTCGGTGGTGTTTTCAATTTTTCGGTAGATTTGAATGATTGGACATGTACTTCCCTTTTTTCTCGGGGTATGATCATATTCCTAGTAGATTCATTTCCTCCAAAAGCAATTCTTACTAGCCCGCAAACGCAAACTTATTGCTGACGTTCATCGGAAACTTTTCTCCAGCCACTTTTATCACATAGGAATTACCTTAGCTCAACTCTTTAATCAATCTGTTCATAAAAGGAAGCCTCAATATGATAAGTTTTGGAAGTACGTCTGAGAATAGATGATAAAGTTTGTTTTGATGAAATATGACGTGGATGTGTATGCCTTTGGTCCATGGTGATTGTAGGACGCGCATGTGCATGCATGTGATGATATCCATTATGGTGGGATGGTGGGATAGTGGGATGTACGGATCAAAAGGAATTACTCGTAGTTATCACTTCATATTTGTAAAAGTGGAGGACAAAAGGAATCAACACAAGCTGGTAAAGTCGAGGTGAAGATGAGTGGGGGCCAGGTTGAGGCACAGATTTGATTTTGCATGCATGTTATGTTTGGTGAAATTTGCGAGGATGGGCAAAACAGTGGAACATGCAGTACGACTGGTGTCTAGATTCCAGTAGATAATAATGTTACACGACAGATATAAGGTTTTCAAGGTGCAGATCCGATCCGATCCCATTTGATATGGCGCAGGCTATCTATCGTATAGCAAAAGCAAGAAAAAAAATCGTATGCCATGCTACAGCGTTGGAAAGAAACGTAGTGATATCAATCTATATAATTTCAATACGCGTGGAAAAGAACCCTCAGATCAACATATACCTGACCAGATCTGTCAAGATAAAACACCTGCATGTAAAGAAAACCCAAACTGCAGTACTCCTGTCAGCGCCATGGCATCTACGAGCCATTTATATCCCTCGTATCCTAATCGTCCAGCCTTTTGCAGTCATTAACACATCTCAATCGCCAGTCGCCAATCGCCCATCGCCAGCCATAAGATGTAAAACAATCGCAGATGAAACAGCGAGTGAAGGAAAACTCCGTGACCAATTACCGTATCCCCTTTTATGTAGTCCCAAACAAATGAAATAAAAATAACGAATCAAAATGAAACAAAGCTTCTTTTCCCATTCCCCTATTCCTTGTCGTAACAGCACGCATGGATTTCTCTTAAGACTATAGAATTCTCAAGCGGATGTTTCCGGTTCTCTTCCACCAACTCCCATAGCTCTAGTCGGCTTTCCGAATCGAAGGTTTCTCAATAATAGATATTCTTGAAGATCGAGCGAGTATAATTCGATATCGAGTACTTAGGAATGTCACCAAAATCTTCCAAGACTGGCTTTGATGGAGTAAAAGGGATGGGGTAAAAATTCTCAGATGTGAGTGCAGTAGTCGTTGTGTTGAGCATGGTGGTATAACTTGAGATAATCGCAGTTGGTCCTATGTTTGAAAAAAGAGGGGGATGCTATTGTTTGCGACTCTCGAGTACTAATTGCCCGCCGATTACAGATATGGTAGAGTAATCATCATCGCTTTCCTAAACGAACAAGAGTCAATTAGCTTTGGGAACGACAAGTCAATCTTCTGGGATATACGAACGTGGAGTAAGTAAATTCCAATTTGAGAGATAAGAGTGAAGAGTGTGCGAACTAAGAACAAACTGTTAGTAAATGAACAGAAGAAGAAAGTTCAGATGATACACGCACGTGACATTGATCTGATGATGATGAAGCAGATTGACGATTTCCTCCTCGGACTTTTTGTCCATGATAAAGAGTTCTGTAATCCAATATCTATGTAAGTCGAGAAGTTGCTCAACAGTGAACTCGATAGTTTGAGTCTCCATCTTAGCTCTGTAGGAAATTGTTGGTTGATGACTTGATTGATAGTAGTTATGAAGTTTTAGTGTCAAAAGCTATGAGGGTCGGGGGATGCGATGGATATAGAGCTTCGGGTGGCAAGTCCATATTAATATGCAAAGAGCCCTTAAACACCGGATAGACGAGAAGCGGAGATGGCAACTTCCCGGTAAGACACAGGCAAGGCAAGCCTACAAGGCAAAACAGTCTCTTGCTTAATGCCACATCAAGGAATAAGCGATGAATAACAAGGCGGAACATGTTAAATCCTGGTCAAATAGCAGAATCGAGAAATATGATTACCCGCTTAGGCACCCACCAATCAATGTGAACACCGGTTGACGAAACTGGTGTGGCTTGCATATACGTGGAGTTAGGTTGAGGGGGGAAGAATAGTTCGGATGATGTTACGAGAAATAGCATGGTCGGCCTTGAAGACTACCCAAAACCTTGCAGATAGATACATATACCATATCCATGGTGTCGGGTACCTTGAAGACCCAAGTAGTGGATCAGTTCGCGGCAGATGGCGTGTTTGGTTGGAATCATAGATTCCAGATCGAATTGAACTCAAGTGGTCGTTTGAAGGCAGCTTGGGGTGTAGGGGTAGCGTTCACAGAAGCGGTGAAGAGGCCTAATTGAAAGAGATACAATTGACTTTGAGAAGTATGTATTTACCTTTTTGCTCGCCCGGTAGATCTTCTAACTTCCCCGCTCGTAGCGGCAGAGAAGATTAGAAGCCGGGCAGGGATAGCAGGTCAAGGTATAAGTACAAGAAAATGATGGAGTGAAATGGGGTTGTCTTTAATATATCGTTCGGATATTTCTTTATGTGGCTGAGTTGAGAGATATATCTAGGTTTTGAAGAATATGAATTAGGAGTACATTGAGCTTTAACGGCTTTGGCTATCAGCCACGAAAGATAAAAAGGGGCGAGTAGTGGAAAACTCATCATTCAGAATTGACAAGCATTTGAGCCAGGGTTAATAATACTTAATCGTATATGAGAGAAACCGTTTGTCGTTAAACTTTCCTTTAAGCTTTCGAATCGGCTATTCTGCTTAAAGTTTGAGTTTGGGTGTTTCGACCACTCAATCGAAATTTGCTTGATAGTTCAGGTCACAAGTGGTGAATGAGGCAAATGGGTCACTACCGGGTCTTTCGGGTTAATTTCCGATAACGAGCCCCAGTCCTGTTACAGGTAGAGACCTTATGGTTACTGTGGTAGCTGTCTCTGTATTTGTTCCCGGTCTGCTGTAAGACTCCTCCCATGTCTTGCAACTTGGAACGGATCAGCTCTTTGTCAGCTAACGTCGTATGCACTAATAAATGTCCCAATAAAGAAGTAAATCCGAAAATTGAGCATGTAGGGTTTAGTTTATATCAAATCACATCGATGCCGGTAGTCAAGCGTTCAGCTCTAACCCCAAAACCCACCAATCAATGACCAGTTGTAATCTTTTAGTTTACTGCAATTCTTCTTTTGGATATCGCAGGCCCAGGTACAACATCATTAGGACGAGTAATATCTGTCACAAAAGGAGAATCAATCGGTTGATCTTTAAGAAGAACCTCATTACCTTATGACGGTCTGTGCCAATCATACCAAGCATTGAGCCTATTGAAACGGTTATCAAAGCGCTTCAGCATGTAATAATGGATGTGATAATACAAATAAAACTGCTGTGCGGAGTTGCTACACCTCATACTTTTTCGGATCGGATATGAAATTCGTGTGGCATCCGATGTAACCCTAATGTTTGACCCGAATTACAATTTGAGTATGGATCAGCAGATTCAATCGCCTCTAACGGCCACCTGCATTTGAGGGCATTGAACTCATGCAGCTACGGGTGAATGCATTGCTGAGTAGACGTTTGAGAAGCTGACCATGTGGAAAACACATGTCAGCAAGGGCTGGAAATTTCCAATGACTGCAAATAAATACACATTTGAGTTTGTGAAACTTACCCGACTATATCGTACCACTTTTAAATGTCTAAGATAAAGTCGCAACCTTCCGGCTTCCCCGAATATACTTTTGTCTAACTTTTGAATATACACGCCCTATGCGCCAGCAATCAAGGGTAAGTCTCGCTTAGTGGTCTCCCATGTCAATCTCAAATATGCTAAGACAAAATGCTGTTTATGTTGCAGATCATCATCATCAGACGGGAAATCAGACCAGCTATCATCTGAAACAAGAACTCAGTATGTGAGGATATGCCTTAGCTTTCCCGTGTGATCCTTTGCTATTTCGGGAATGATACAGCGAGTCTGATTGTGATCGGCCTCGGTAGATACCCTTAAGTTAAGGTACCTTAGATACCTCTAAGGTATGTGCACGCCTCGACCACTCTGATTCATCTCATTACGAGTATCCGGAATTCCGAGTAATCTGGTAAGGTTGACATTGACCAAAGGTAGGGGCTATCGGTTTGTGCCTTTGTTTTTGAGAACGGATTGCTAGGTAGGTAGGACACATGCGATTTGGTAAGGTTACATCTTGGCTGTCTGCTCGCCCTGTAAACTTTGAATCAACCAGGTGAATCACCGAAGAATAAGAAAGAAAGGCAGTGGTTGACTGGTCATAAGTCTGCAAAGCCCTGCCCTGGACTCTGCTCTATTGTTCGGGTATTCTCGATCATTCGTTTTTCTACAGGTATACCTTGTTGATTTTGTTTAGGTTACATTTAATATTATTCGTCGAAGGGTAATATATGGGGTACATGTATCTAAAAAGTTCATTGTTCGTAAGGTAAAGGTTGAGAAGAGTTGGTCGAAAAGATTGTAGGATTTTTCTATAATCCTTCCATAATCCATACCACCAAATCCCTTCAACCTTTTTGCTTCACGTCAATCAAGTAATTTATACCACTACCGCATCGGACAACCTGCAGCAGGAGGGGCCTGCCAATGTTTTTATTCCCAGTGTTTTTAACCTAAATAAGAAATAAGGTATACCCGATCATAGCTTTTTTTACTTTGGAAAATGCCTCTTCGCAGTTGCTAGGTTTGTCATTTTTATTTTAGTAATTGAGGGAGCAGGGAGCATTGGACTAGGGATTTCGATGCGAAGCGTCTAGGATATAGGGGTTGGATGACGTTGACAAGTCTCGCAATACGCATGTTTCCGTTCGTAGATACCTCCTTCGGCCCCTTATATCGGAGATTCCCTTTCGAGAGTTTATACGACATCGAACAATCACAAATATATATATATATATATCGAGCGGTCAGAGAAGAAGAAGTGCCTTGCCTATCGTTGATCGAATAAGAAGTCACATGCCTTACTCTTTGCATTCAGGTCACATTCAAGGCACAGTGACATCCAAATGTGTTGCCCCCCTCCGCCTCATCCCTGACTATCACGCGATCACCTTCAATATGCAGGAAACAGATGTGTTGTCGAAAGGAATTCTGAATATTCAATCTGCACTGGTGCCTTTTCATCTTCGTGTTCGATGTGCGGAACGTTATGGAGCCATTAAGGCGTCAATCTCGCCCACCATTACACTGCATTAGCTTGCCGTAAGGAAGATAATGATATCGTGCTGTGGTACAATTATATCATCCAACCGGAATTAAAGCCATTTACTCTAATCATTGACCTCAAACACTGCAGAGCGTATTGCCGAGGTAGCAATTGTCAAGGGACATATATCTATCATTTCACATCACGGTACCTGGATGTCGGCAGTGAACCAATGGTATGACCGTCTCCCAAAATTGACCCACGGTTTCGCGAACTTTATGCATGTACTGGGTAGTCGTTGGGTCAGATCTATCTACTAGGAAATCATCTTCGCTGCAAACACAAAAAATGTCAAACATATCCGAGTTACATCATAGGCAAGAAGCCTAGTGCTGAAGTTCCTCTTACTCAAATCAGAAATCACCAGTCAGATTCTTATCTACACCTAGGTTTAGGGCCAGGGTCACCACAGGAGAAGATCCACATCTACGCCTCTTTGGTGCATATTCTTTGCGTACTCGATGATGTGTGGATGCCCAGATGCTTGTGCATGAAAAGAACCAGTATATTCCAGTCTTCAGTGCTTCCTCGTCCGCGTTTTGATATGTGCAAAAGTCGATTCAAGCATCCTTGCCTACAGTTAACGGGATCGAAGCACCCAGCTATCCGTCACACAACATAAGTATCCGTATTCCGGTCGCTGGAGAACCTGATATCTCATCTCACACAATTGGGCCAACATCAACGAAATACACAAATCGATTCTCTTACATAACGTATTAGGCTCTTCGTTGATCATATTCTAGCCCTACTTCAGTTATGGTTCCAGTTTACATTCGCAGCCTAACATCTTGTATCCCACCGGGGACTCCCAGAATGTTTCCGGTGTAGCACTAAGAAACGGATCAGAAATTTATTCCCTAGTCTGACTGTGTTCGCCGGCCACTTCGTGAACAGAAATAAGCATGTACTCCGATGGACGACAGTGATTGAGTGGTTGTGGTGCAATTATTGGTGTCGCGAGGTATTATCAGAATCATCGGAAATATACTTACAAGTTAGATTTCCACTTCATCTCTACGCCCCCAATCAATTTACTCCCAGTCATCATGCAGCCAGGCTTCTTATAGGCCCAATCGAGCTTTCACAAACTACCAGCTTCGAATGTGGGAGTGAATTTATGGAACCATATCATAGTAGTTCCTAGCAGCTCCCTCTGCCACCACCCAGGTATCGGGCTTTTTTGCTGACAGGGCTCTGAATATTGGGGGTCATCATCACACAACAAATACACCAATTCGTTTGGCAATTATTGATTCGAATTTCTGCATCGGGCCCTTCAATCCTAGGAAAATTAACTGGCTATAATATGCCTACTAATTTGGGTTGGCAGCGGTAACGAGGTAATCAGCCGACGCAACTTCATAAGATATTGTCGAATATCATATGTCGAGAATCAACCAGGTACGAAGTCCCAGATACGATAATTTCAATTGACGGATTCATGGAGCATAGCACACGTTCGTACAGATTTTATTCAGCCATGCGATTGCCGGACCAGAAAGTCAAGAAAGCTATGAAAGCCAACCACGACAAGAGAGAGTCCCGTGACTGGGAAATAGATAGCTGCAGATCTGAAAGCGACCAATGACACAAGAAAGAATGTCCTGGGGATGCCTACGTGGACTTGCATACGCCTTGAATGATTTCCACTCCTGCTCTCATACTGATCGAAAACGTGGGCATCATAATGATCTGCGTTTTCAATAATTGGATCAAGATTCCTGCCTCTGACTCCTTGCAATGAGCCGACTAGTTATACTTAATTCGAATGTCATATATGTCTTTTTCGTTCTTCGGGGACCGGCTTTCTGAGCATTCACAGTTCAGCAATCAAGGGCTTTTAGAGCAGTATGGAGAGATCAATTCTCAAGAACCAATGTGCCCCGCCTCACCCAAATCGGACTTTCAGGTAGCACGCGCTACCCGCGGTTCGCCTTTTCAGCTTAAATCTAGATTGGAACATTGGTCAGCCAATCCACCAATGTACCGTGCCGTTCCGTGATTAGACGATGATGAAGGTAACTCCACGCCAAACAAAAGATATAAATTCCACGCGAGTGGGACGATAGCGAATTTTAATGGATACGTTCGTCACTCAACGACCACACACTTCAGCATGGTTCAATCAGCATGATTGAAAGGCATGGTTGTATGGATACCATAACTAGCGCCACGCGGGGACCTCAACTCATTGATTGTCGATCGCTGGGAACTTTGGCTTCAGCAAGGGTCTCGGAACCACCATCTGGTAAATTTCGGGTAATTGCGGGGGTCTTTGATGAGGAAGTATGGGTTCGAACGGGAAAGATTTACTTGATAGATGCACACCAAGTGCACGTTGTTATCGCCGCTAAGCTACGCCACCCATGGGGACTGGGGTGATGATTATATCGGCTATTTGAACGATATGTCTACTTTCATGACTTTTATGACATTAGACTCGCGATATGAAGGTTTTGCAATTTGGGAAATAAAGCAAAGTGGTATGGCCGAACTCTCACGTTGACGAGTCCGGTCCGTAACTACACGACCCATTCCGAGATTCACATTTCTTACATTCCCACCCAGACACCGAGGATTAAGCACCGCCGGGTCATCATAAATTGTACCTGGTGACGTCCTTCCATAACCCCTTTCAGCCCCTAACCCGAGATGGCTAGGAAGGTCCCCCTTACTAACCCTCGAGTCCCAAGTTTTAGAACTCAAAGATTAATAGAGCAGTGGACCGAGGGCCTCTTCTCCCCAACATCACACCATTGCACAGTACGAGTTTCTGATTGCATATCAGCTATTCTGAAGCATGAACTATATCAGGTTTTCACAAACACCTTTTCTCCCATCCCTCAGAGATTTCCATTATTAAAGCTGTTCCGACTTCGAGTAAACTCCCTCTCAACTTCTTTAGACAAAACTACCGCATTGCGCGAATCCAGCCTACCACACTTGAGCCACAGTACAAATTACCATTTCAACCCTGATGGTGAAGGAAAGAGCATGGTATAATCTACACGGAAAATGACATACTTGCGGTATGAACGTGAGTCAAGAAAACATGCCTACTACCTCCTCTCAACCAGCCGATTAGCTAGCTTAAACAAGTAGAATGTCGCAACAAAAATACGAACTCAAAATACTTTCACCCTTTGCAACAGAACTATCTATTATACTCTCCTTTCCCGTTTTCCTTGAAATTTCTTGAATTTGAGTATCAAACATGCCAACCGTTTGAAGAAGCATTTGTCTGTCGTCTGTCAAGAACTAGAACATCTCCCGGGAATGCTTGATTAAGAGAATGTCATTATAACAGTTTCTCGATAAAAAGAGGTCTCCCTAACGTCAGTCTTCCCCAATGCCTCGAGTGTATGTTGTGAGAAATACCGTATCACATAATCAGGAAAGGAAAGAATAAGTAGAGGACCAGAAATAAGCTTGCATTAACTCCACCTCCAGACCAACTATGTCATTGTAGAGATTTTTATGCTAAGCTCTAACTAGCAGCCAAACGCCTATTATACAGTATCATATGGAAATCATTACAATTCTTCGTCAACATCCATGTCCTGTGGTGCGTGGCCATTTGCTCCATTCTTTTCCTTTGGTGCAGAGGCCTCCTTATCAATCATCTGTCTCGAAACCGAGACAATGTTATCTTCGATAAGCTTCTGGCCAACATCTTCCAAGTGCTTCTTTGGATCAACCTTTCCAACATATCTAGTCTTCAATTGATCTTTTGTCATCTCAGTCTCTTCCTTGACACGCTTCTCATAGCCTTCGGCAAGTCCAACTAGCTTTTGTAATCGCTCGGTATTGCGAGTTCCCTCGACTCTGAAATCATCCATCTGCAGACCTTCGGTCCATACATGCTTGTGTAAATTCAGTAACATACTCTCTTCCAAGGCATTCTTGCGATAGTCGATTCCTATGCTGTAGTAATGCCTGTTGAGACCGTGAATGAGCGCTTGGATAGAAGGTTTGTTGAGATGTCCCAAATTGGAGGTACTTTGACGAGGTTCTTGGCCGAGCATAAGTGATTGTGGGTTGATGAGACGGAAAGCATCAATAACGACCTTTCCCTTCACGGATTGAATAGGATCGACAACGACGGCAACAGCTCGAGGTGTCAATTGCTCAAATGATTGTTGAGTGTTGATATCGACAGATGATAGCCAGCAGCCAAAACCGGGATGCGAATGGTACCAGCCAACAACGGTTTCCGGTCTGCGAGATATGATGTTAGAGCCTTCCAGATTTTAGAGAAGGGAAAGGTGAACGAACCGTCCTGTCTGTCTCAACATATCCATCATTTTTGTTTGAAATACTGGGTCTACTGCCTCGACACTGACACCTGTACCACTTTGTGGCATAGCAAATACATCCACAACTCGAACTGTGAAGTCATCCACGAACTCTCCCAACATTAAACCCATAACTTCCATGGGTACACCAGCTCTGCCATGTCGCAACATCTTGAGTAGTGCCAACGAAGAGATATATACAGTTTCGGAGTTATCGATCAAACCAGGATTGTCCTAAGAATTATGTTAGTTTACTTTCATAACAATCCTCGAGATAATCAAGCTCGCCGTGCTGGATTTTGGAAATAGTATAGCTTACACCTCCACCTGGACTTCCGCCTGCCATAGGCCCGCCACTGGCCAATAACTGATTTAGTCTATCCATTGTGACTTGATCAATCTATGAGTAAATAAAAGAAGGGTATCTCGAGAAAATTGGATGATGAGGTTGAAAACGAAAAGTGTCAAAGTATTAGATGGTGTTGTGAAGCTCCAACTTAAGGCAGCTTAGAAACGCGCATGAAGTTCGTAAGGGTAAAGTCATTATGTAATCAACAACACATGACTGTTCAGCCTTGCGATATAGCCTCGACAGTGGCACTCATCCAATGAGCGACAGGATTGTTTTTTAGTACATTCGGTCATCATTGCTTGACCCCTGCTATAAGCTCTCTCTCACCTTTTTATCTCCCACGGATGTCTTTCCCATTTATTCTTTCTGCCTCGTCTCAAATAGCCCTTCAACAACCACAACTCTGTATGTAAATCTAACCCAACATTTTATTCAATTCAACAACAATTATCAACTATCCGATCGATCCTACACTTCGAGTTACTTCTTAGTGGTTACAATCACAAACTCATCCAATATGTCGAAATCCTTCGCGCCTTTAGATCCGGTGTCGAATGGGCCAAGCACCAAAAAGAGGGTCGCATACTTTTACGATTCAGATGTCGGAAACTATGCTTATGTTGCAGGACATCCTATGAAGCCTCATAGAATACGTTTGGCGCACAGTTTGATTATGAATTATGGAGTTTACCAGAAGATGGAGATTTATGTGAGTTGTGATCGAGAACGCCCTTCATCAAGATTGCTATGCCATCACCTACCCCATTTGCGATTGCAAATTTAAGGGCGAGCATCAAATGATTCAAGTAGACTTCATTTTAATAATGTACTGACGGTGCTTGACAGCGAGCAAAACCAGCGACCCGGCACGAAATGACCCAATTTCATACCGATGAATACATCGACTTTCTTCAGAGAGTCACTCCCGACAACATGGATTCTTTCGCTAAGGAACAAGGGAAATATAACGTCGGCGATGATTGTCCTGTCTTCGATGGACTGTTTGAGTTCTGTGGAATCAGCGCTGGTGGTAGTATGGAGGGTGCAGCTCGTCTAAATCGTTCAAAGTGCGATATTGCTATCAATTGGGCCGGAGGGCTACATCACGCAAAGAAAAGTGAAGCAAGTGGCTTCTGCTATGTCAATGGTAGGAATTCTCTTCTCCGCATTAATGATATCGTGCTAATTTAGTTTAAGACATCGTTCTCGGCATAATCGAGCTCTTGCGCTTCAAGAAGCGAGTTCTCTATATTGATATCGATGTTCATCACGGTGACGGTGTCGAGGAAGCCTTCTATACGACAGATAGAGTGATGACAGTTTCATTCCACAAATATGGTGAATATTTCCCTGGGACTGGTGAACTACGAGATATTGGCGTTGGACAAGGCAAGAACTACGCAGTCAATTTCCCACTTCGTGACGGCATCGACGATGTCACCTATAAGTCTATCTTTGAGCCTGTTATCCAGAGTGTTATGGATTACTATCAACCAGAAGCGATCGTTCTTCAGTGTGGCGGAGACAGTCTTTCAGGTGATCGGTTGGGATGTTTCAATTTGAGCATGAGAGGCCACGCGAATTGTGTTCAATTTGTCAAAAGTTTTAACAAGCCCACTTTAGTGCTGGGAGGAGGTGGGTATACTATGCGTAATGTAGCACGAACTTGGGCATTTGAGACCGGTGTTCTAGTTGGCAAGGAAATGGACCCCGTACTTCCTTACAACGAGTATTACGAGGTATGGTTCCTGCTGGATCTTTTTGAAAACATCTTGAATTGACACATATGTTTAGTATTACGGCCCTGATTACGAACTTGATGTTCGAGCCTCTAATATGGAGAACGCTAATTCCAAAGATTATCTCGAAAAGATCAAAATCCAAGTCATCGAGAATCTGAAGAGAACTGCTCATGCCCCATCTGTACAGATGCAAGATGTACCCCGTACTACCCTGACTGGCGCAACAGACGAAGATGATGATATTATGGCTGACGCCGATGAAGACGAAAACATGGATGTTCGTCATACCGAGCACCGAAACGATAAGCATGTGGCCCGGGATGATGAATTCGACGAAGGCGATGAAGAAGAAGCAAATCTTGCAAATGGCGCATTTGCTCAGAATGGACAAGTAAAACAGCGCAACCACACTTACTCCGATGTTGATATGGACAGTGGTGTTCCCACTCCCGAAATTGAAGTTCACGACGAGATTGAAGATGCACCAACAGCTGTAACCGAAGCGAACGCAAAAGTTAATGCAGAGCTCATGGAGCAAAAGACCCAAGATGTCGCAGCTGCCGAAACCCTTGAAGCAGGCCCATCGAATGCCCCATCTCGCTCAAACTCACCTAACCCGATTGTTGACGACGAAGGTGATATTGATATGGCAGAACCGCTTGAAGCCACGACCGTGGCATTGGTTCAAGAAAAAGCCGAAAAATCACCTGTGCCCCAAACAGCCTCAGCGAAAGACCCTCCCAAGGCCAACATTGCTACGGATACTGAAGCTGCTGCTAGTAGCGAGCAAATCGTACCCGAAACAACCATTCCCAAAGCAGACCCTGTTATACTAAAGCAAGAAAGCGACACTGAACGACAAGATGCTAATGTGACAGCAGAAGCCAGTAAGGAAACTGCCGAGCAGACTCAGTCATGAGCAAATCCAAGAACACTAATATTGTTCCAACTACGTCTGCTTTCGAAATTATGGGGTTATTGGATTTCAAACAGATTCAGAATTTAAAATCCTGCTCTATGCCTATGCTCTTCTGGGCAAGCAATTCTCTACATTGGAATACACAAATGATCTAAGGCGAACGGCAGTCCGATGAATTAATATATACAACAACGGACGCGTCTGGAATTCGCGTTGTATGATGTCATTCAGAGCGGTACTAATCTTGACGAGCTTTAAGTCCGACAATCGGTCTTGAGTCTTCGCATAAATTTCCTTTTGTAATTCTTCAGTCATATGTAGGAGGGATGGTAAATTGAGCAGGGCGTACATGGCGAACGAGACCAGGAATTCACAAGGGCGTGGAATTCTCGCAGACTATGATACTTTATGGAGATGGGATCCTTGCAGCTCACGCTGCCTCTGTTTCCCCGGACCCAGCTGCCTCTACCTGGAGAGTATACCAATACTTTGGTGTTATTAGGATTAAAAGGGATTTCAATATATTTGACTGTAATTAAAGAAGCTATGAATTATTCATCAACTGGCAACGAAATTGTGAAGGAGAGCAATACTTTGGGAGTATTGGTGTAAGAAAATTGAATTTAGTCGTGAATGCCAGAAACTTGACAAATGTGGACCATTAGCATTAGAATAAACATTTACTCTGTAATAATAATATAAGAATGATAAGTGTTCAGAATTATGCTGGTGTTGAACTCACGAGGGCGAAGAAGAAATTCTGTAACTTTCACAATGTAAAGTGGATCCATCCTTTTTTCGCTTATTTCAGATTAGGGTTTCCACTACCAAATGGGTTTTTTGCAATTCAACCTCGAAATAATACCGACCGACGACAACCTCTAATTCGACAAATTACATTTTCGACCCTTTCAGTATACCGAAAGCAATACCGTCGAGATGGCAAAGATTTCGTGAGTTTGCCTTTTTCACAATCATTACGGTCTAGTGGAGTCAATTTGTGGAGGAAATGCGCCGGAACTTCGATGAGGGGGAAACGTCTGAAGAATAAGAAATTGGGAGAATTGAAGCTTGGTTTTAAGGATGGCATTGGATTATTGAGGCCATACGACAGGAGAATGAAATTTAAAGGGATTGAAAACTAATGTGATGGTGTTAATAGACGTGGAGCCCCTGGTGGCAAGCTTAAGATGACTCTCGGTCTCCCAGTGTGAGTTTTCACTCTAATTTTCACGCCCCGCAATCTGCGATATCGAACAATTCGACCACGATATATTTCCTGATTATGCGAACCTACCCTTCTTCGAATTCGCAACACAATGAAGCGCAAATACTGACTAGAAAAATAGCGGAGCCGTCATGAACTGCTGCGACAACTCCGGTGCCCGTAACTTGTACATCATTTCCGTCAAGGGTATCGGTGCCCGTCTCAACCGTCTTCCAGCCGGTGGTGTCGGTGATATGGTCATGGCAACCGTCAAGAAGGGAAAGCCTGAATTAAGAAAAAAGGTTATGCCAGCTGTCATCGTTAGACAGTCAAAGCCATGGAAGAGAACCGATGGTGTTTTCTTGTACTTCGAGGACAACGCCGGTGTTGTGAGTAGAGAATTTTTTCATACCTTTATTTGGGCAGGGATGCGGACGGAACATTCAAGTTGAGAAGATCGATAAACACGACTTGATGTATTGCATTTGGAGGACAAATTACGAAATCTGAGTGATGAGGTTGAAATAATTGCTGACGAATTTTTCTGCAGATTGTCAACCCCAAGGGAGAAATGAAGGGATCCGCCATCACTGGACCAGTCGGAAAGGAAGCTGCTGAGTTATGGCCAGTAAGTCACAACGTTCTGCATCTTGTCATGTGAATTCCGGCAACTAACCAAGTATCAGCGTATTGCCTCCAACTCTGGTGTCGTCATGTAAAGAGGGCTGTTCTTTTTTCGGGGTTCACAATGTCAAATGGATGGAAGTCATGGATGAATGGAAGGGCGTTGCATCATTGCGTTAGGCCTACTTCACTTACATACACTAAGACTTGCCGGTCGATTATGAAAAATTGATTCAGCTTCCTACCAATGCTGCGAGATTTCGGACGAATTTGTGATGTGCTTATGATTGTGGTTGGGTAGGACAAAAAGTTTGGTTGACACTCGGTCGATACGCGGATACAGTTGGATGGACTACAGGATGAAACTCGAGGAGATATTATTGGGGTTGAGCAAGTGCCATATTGGCTCAAGAAGCCTAGACGGAATACCGACAACAATGCAGTTTCCAGAATCCAAGATTTACCCTTCCACGGCTCCACTAAATTGACCCAACGAATTAGCACAGCTTGCAAAACAGCTTAATTGAAAATAGGTTGGCTGACCGCATATCCGTATGTTGAAATCATCTCACCAAAGGAATGACTAGTCACGGAACGAATACGGAAGCCATCAGTCGAGCTTCAGATCATTCGGGTACAGTATGTATTGCTGTGGTATATTGTTAAACCTACTACCAGTTTATGTCTATCCCAAAACCTGCACTCCATGCCGTGCCCACGCTCAATGCAATTCTTCCTACCCAAGTAGCGCCCAATCAAAACATGGACATGCAAATGATGATACAGAAGTACGGAAATAATCCACAACCTATTTTTAATGGAGACACATTAATCCAGTTCCTATGCCCATGCTCCTACCAACGCCATTAAACAACTCCCTCCCAGAACTGCCACAAAAGCTTCCCATCTCCTTCTTCCCTTGAGAATGCCATAACTCTTATCACTCAAGAAGTCCTCGGCCAACAATTGTACCAATCCCGCAAATAACAATAATCCACTGCTAATAGCATTCATGAAACCCACCATCAAGAGTCCAGCCGCTGAATGCGGATCATACAAATTATGTACAATGAGGCCAATAGCCTGGCCAATTGGCGTCGTGGTTCCATATGCGAGAACCATGAGCCAGGGACGAGGAGAAGAGGAGGGGAAATTTATAGCGGCGATGCGAGACCCAAGTGCAAGTCCTTCAAAGGATTGATGGAAGGCGATTGCGACTAGAAATACGACGAAAGGAGGGCCAGTGGCTACGGAGATGGCCATACCAATGAAGATGGAGTGGAAGAGGATGCCTGCTTCAAGGAGGAGACATTGCAGTATTTGCCGTTTCTGGGAATCTTCTGCCGAGACTGGGGAAGAAGAGCTGGTCTCTGGGTCGTGTGGGGAATGTGTGGGAGCTTTTGAGAGGGGATCATCCAGCTCATCGAGTTCGAGGTCAAGATCAGAATCGTCGTCTGAGATATTGACGTCTTGATATTTCTTGCGCTCGGAGCTCTCGGTAGGTCCAGTTTGAGGTGTTGAAACAGGGAGGGGCGAGACTCCTGCCACGAGTCCTTCGGATTCCCCCATATCTTCCAAGGCTATATCTTGCGGCCGACGATTCAGACCAATCTTTCCTAATCTACCGTTCGCTTGCTTCCCCTTTTTCTTAGCGCTCCCGTTTCCTTGTGCTCCTTCATTCTCCCCTCCGGGCACAACATCCCAGGCCCCTCCATGTGAATGTGAATGGCCTGCCCCTCTAGTCGTTAAAAACATCTCTAGTCCTACAACTACTAGTGCACTGAACATTGCAATAAGTCCTGCTAGAGGATGATATCCATCGCTGAAAAAATAGGGCAGACATGGATCCGTTAAGGACATGAACGCTGTTGGTAGTAAATGCACGAATGCTGTAGCTATAAGGACTCCGGTTCCAAAATGTTGAGAGAGAAATATAAAACGATTCGGCCCCTCGGATTTCGAGGAACGGCGAGAAATCAGGGGAAATCCACATGCTGTGCGAGTAGATGTTAGATGGCACAAGGTGGGAAAGGGTAAGTGTGGCATACCGATTGTACTCAGTACAAGTATTAGCACCAGCGCATACACATGTGCCGACGTATTATAACTGCCCTTAACCCCCGAACCACACACGGGTTTCTCTGGAACTCCAGATCCATCTTGTTGTTGTTGTCGTCGTGCTAATTCTGCCAAGAGATGAGATGTAGACCAGGACGAAACTAGGGATATTAGTTAGGTCGTCGCAGATTAGGAAAATAGGAAAAGAAACTTACCATCGCGATTGACGACCATCTTGAGGGTTGCAATGTTATAATTGTAATATATATCGCAAAATCATTGTGTGTGTGTGGGAAAAATAGAGGAAAGGTTGTCTTGGGGAATAATACGACTACTTTTTGGTTTGGCGGAGTGAATGATGTTCCGAACGCTAGGGAGCGTTTCATCGTTTGCTCTGGGCAAGGGTAATGGATATATATGTACTTGGTTTCATCAAAAGTGTTTTTGTTTTTGCTTTTGCTTGCGATGACAATCATCAATTCGAGTGGATTGATATAATTAATGGGAATGGAATTGTTCATTGCATGTTTTTTGTAATGTTCTCGGTGATTTTTTGGCCTTATGATTGCAATTGCAATGCCTTGCTAAAAACACGAGGCTATTCCATGAAGCAACCAAGGAATGGGCAATTGAATTGGATGTGATCGATATGAAAAGCATGCTTCATATAATGTTCAACTACACATTCTCATGTATATACCTTGTTCAAGCTCTAAGTACGAGCAACAAGTAACTTGCTCCTGTAATCAGATAAGATGCAGGAAGCAACTTGGGGCATGGTCAAGGTAGAGAGATGCATGAAAACTTCATTACTTGAAGAACCTCATACCTCTGAATCTTAATAGAATTTCAGCAGGTCTCCAGATTCGGGTACATCTAAACCTGATGATATGTTTATGATGCGTCGTGTGGCGACGATGCCAGGCTAGACGCAAGAACCGTCAGAATTGTTGTCTGATAGATTATTTCTCATCTCGACTCCGCTTTCTCACCTTTGAAATAAATCAGACAAATGATATCATAGGCTCTTCCCTATTTGGATTCGAGACTAGTGCTCGATCCAATGGATATTCACTACAAGTTTGGAGACTTGATTTACTTACACCCCCGCCGTCGCTCTTCTTCCCATCAAATTTTTCTTCTCTCCTACAACCTTCTCTTCTTTGAGAGTATTGATCCTGATTAATAACTATTACTTATTTCATACTCTCTGGACTCAACACGGTCTTGTCAAGATTTTACAACTACTCCAAGTCACAGCTAAGTCCCTAAACTCTTGCACTTCAACAGTTCATGGTCCAGTCTTGAACCTCAACCAAGTGAAGACTCCGATTTATCATTTAGCAGCTTTCTATCTTCGTTTGGCAAGAAAAAGCATCACTTGTCTGTTCATTATTATCTTTATCTTTACGATTACTCGATTCCACGATATCAGCCACTCAATGTCGAGACTCGCAAGATACGCTCGTATCTCAAATATTGCAAACAGCACTTTCATATATCTCCTGTTCTGCAGACAATCTTTTTCTTTTCCAACAATCGCAGATCTATCATCATTGCTCGACATACGAGTCCTCAATTTCCGATTTGGAGCTCACCGGATCATCTCACGATATCATTATACATACTGCAAACCTGTTACTGAAACTGAACGTGGAGCCCCCTCTGCAGAAATATCCAGACACCCGATCATATTAAAATTGACGGAATCACGGGCTTCTATATTTGAGCCTTACTATTGCATCTTAAATTCTTGATTTAAACTCTGCAAGAATGGCTGGTGATCATTATAATGGCTTGGACGTCCCAGCTGCGACAGAGGGCAGTGAGCATCCTGGTGTGTTGGACGGTGCCACTGTCATTAATGGACCTGCTGTTGAAGGTAAGATCCAGAAGTTGGATGTTTTTCAAAGAGATTGTAGCTGATAACATATGCAGAAACAATTGTAGCTGATACTGCCAACGATTCTCATGCTTCAGAAAGAGATGGAGGAGGTCTCGATATCGCTGGTGAATCGGATGCCTCTGGTGACTCAGACGAAGGAGATCCAGTGGAACAGGATAACAATGGTCATCAAGATGCCACTATTGATGCCAAGTCTCAACTCAAGAGGCCCAAACACGCAACTTCCGTGAAGAAATACCTCCTTCTCAGACGCTCCACTCAGGTCGAGCTTTCTCCCCACGAAATTGATAAGATCATATCATCCTTGAGAAAAAGAAATGGCCGCGCCCTTTCTCCTCGTGAGGCCGAGAAGAGACGCCAGGAATACTACAATCACAAGAACGAAGTTTATCACCCAGAAAATGCTGCGCAAGTACTCAGTCTCTTTGGTGGTAAATTGTCACCCGGTTCTGTGGGATCCCGTCCAGAAGACGTTCATGCTTGGGCTATATCAGATCATAAAACACTCGCAAGATCAAACAGCACCAATCCCAATCCTATTCTTCCATGAATCCGTATACGTCTGTATGATGGATCAATTGTATCCAGAACAAGAGACAATGCTGTTGGAATGTTGTCGGGCGCTTCTTTGCCTCTCAATACATACTCGAGACGCAAATATTGGATAGAGAAACACGTGAACTGGAGTAGTCGCAAGAAGACGCCATTCATTTCGTGCACCACTAACATAAGCCAGCTTACCAGGTGGTAGTGTCTCCGCCGATTTCGAAGACGATGCCCTTCAAAGATACTCGACACGAAGGTTGATATCATTAATGTTTATGCAACTCAAGCTGCAGGATATCCAGTTCTAAGATTGAAGGATGAAATGGCTTACTACGATGTAAAACCTAAGGTCAAGTGCTCCGATCACGAAGAAGAATACCTAGTGCCATACTGTCTTCCAGCTGTTGCGATCATTACAACGTTCAGCTGGCGCTTCATTGATCAATGGAGAGATTACACAGGATTTGATGAGGAGGCTTGGTACCGAGAATTCGTAATTCGGTTAGCTCTCGCGCACGAAGGACTAAGACAAGCTAAAATGGAGGCCAGGGTAGCGTCACTGGGCTTCGAGACGGCTCTTGTTATCAAAGTGAAGACATTGAGCTTAAATGAACTTATCGAGTATTTCACTGCACCTCTCAAGGAACTCCAAAGATTTCTCGCAATTTTGAAAGCAAGAAGTCAAGAAAATATTCGAGGAAATACAGATAATGGAGAGGAGTCTGCCGCTACTTCTACCAGCCAGAAAGCCTCGAGTTTGACAAAGTGATGCTGCTTTTTGGCTAGCTTTATCTCAAACAAATTCATATGGTAGCGCTTCTTTTGTTAAATACTATTTCTTACGGATCGGCGACCGGTAATATTAATTCTACTTATTTATCTCGGCATCAGCGCAGGGAACGATTGCATTTAGGGCTGGATATATCATTGAATGGGCTCTATCTGGCCACATCACATCTGAGGGAAATATATTTTTTAAGCTCTCCGCGAGAACATTTATTATGATTTAATTAAGTCAGTTAAAATGGAACATCAAAACAAAATTAGCAGTCATTTTTTACAAATAATTCTCATAATCATGCCAAAATATCTTCTCGCTCAATTCTATATTTTTATGCTCTGAGAGTAAGTCATTCGCGTGTCGGAATATCTTCAAAGATCCAGTGATCAATATTCTACATCGACCACTAATAAAATCTGGTCCTTTCAGAATAGAGCTATTCAGTATTTTGTAGGAAAGCTTATCATTAGGAGAATTTAAGCACTTCATACCGTGATGTTGTATGATGTGATCACACATACATGATGGGACTGCACGATGAATGTCGACTGCAAATTTTGCGATCGATTTTACCCTTTCTATTCAAATTTCTTGCATCAAAAGGCTTAACTACATCTATGCAATCCTAAAATGCTGTGTGAAACTCCTGATTTCGTCGACATCTAATTTATCATTCCATGGTGTAGGAGCTTGACAAATGAATATTTTCGTCCCTTCCTTCCAATTTCCCAGTACAACATACAAAAGTCGTGTAGTTCATACGATTGTCGCGAGAAAGTAAAATGTTACGTTGTATCTAGCTCACGATAAATTACATCCCTCCTATTTATATGTACCCTAGATGGTAGCACTCAGCCTTATTCTTATGTCAACGTGAAACTTTCTGCTAACCATTTTCAATGCGGCTAAAACTCAAGCAAAGCATCGCCACATCCCCGCATCTTAACATCTCGGAGATATAAGAACTTTAAACCTATTCTCGGCTCCACAATTATACTATTATTCTTCTTCATCGCTGACTAAATTTTCTTCAATCCCCAGACTTGTAATTTCACTAGGCCTCGGTGAATGTCACCTTGAATCCTTCCCCTTTCTCGCTTAGTAAATGTAGCAAAGCGAACCACTTGAATCTAATTCCGCAGTTCTTGGCACATATGAGTGTGGCGTCTTATCATGGTGGATTCAAAAAGAACTTCTGATCCCTTGTTTGAGGATTACGATGGGCAAATTAAACTTAGAGGAGTAGGAGTGAAAACACGTGAAGATAGCTGACTGCTGTAATTGCGCAATGTTGTTTAATACATGGGAATATTGTGCTGTAGCAGTGTACTTCTCAGCAAGACACTAGCATCGGAGAGTTCGAGGAAAAAATCTTTAGGCTTTCAGTGTCTGGAATCCGGATAATGTTCGTTCTTTCAACAACATCTCTGAACCTTTTAACTTGGCGATTTTGAAATCACTTGGCATCGAACAGTCTTCGAGAATAAATCAAATCGCGACAAATCGCAATATATAAATAGCACAATGGGATAAATTTTCAGGTGCACCTTGAGGATCGGATAGATTCATATTATGATCAAAGGATCATTGTTCGGGGTTCAACTCCAGATGCTTTCTTTAGATTGTGCCTGTTTTCCTGTGCCTGAGCTAAGCCTTATCATATTTCAAGCTGTTTCATCCCATACGGTGCTTTTGCTCAGCGATACTCTGTATCATGGTCCGATGTATCGACATCAATAGATTCAAGTCCTGTCATGGAGGATGTTTCCATATTCCTCTACATCCATGATGAGAAGTCTCATTTCATTGACCTTCCTTCAAATCTCTCAAGATGTATATAGAGTTCCAAATAGTCCAATATTTCAACATCATTCTATTCTCATCAACATTCAAACATCTTTCTTCAGTCTCTTTATCCACATTCCTTTGTAACCAACTTACCACATACACTCCTTTTATTTAAACATTCTCTTCTTCCAACAATCTTTCCAGACCTTTCCAGAGTCCTTCTAGAACATTTCCAGTAGTATATACTCATCAATCAATATGTTCTCCAAAGCTTTCATCACCCTCCTTGCCATGGCATCGGTCGCCTTTGCAGCTCCAACTCCCGTTGCAGAACCCACAGCTGAGAACCTTGTCGAGCGAGCTGTCGCTTACAAGATGTTCACCGGTAATGGATCCAACTGGCCTGCTATTTCCGCATGGACTACTTTTGAGACCATGTGTGTTCTCTTGTTTATCCGTGAAACCAATTACTTTATGCTGATATAAAATTCCAGGTGGGCCAACTCCCAATCCGTCATGACTATCTCCTGCAAGCAATTCGGCGGTGCTGCCAACAACTCTCCCGCTGAAATCGCCAACATCAAGTCCGCCATTACTTCAGTTGCCGCTTCTTCCGGTGTCGACGCCCGATTCATCCTTGCAATCGTCATGCAAGAATCCGGGGGCTGTGTTCGCGCTCCCTCTACAGCAGGACAGGTCTTCAACCCTGGACTCATGCAAGACCACAACGGTGCACACAGCTGTAACATGAACGGCAACCCAATAAGCCCATGTCCAGCTGCCACCATCACCGGCATGATTAAGGATGGAACAGTTGGTACCTATGGTGTCGTAGGTGGTGGTGACGGATTGCAACAATGCTTGACCCAGAGCGGATCTCCAAAGACCGCTCAAGGTGCCTATGCCGCGGCTAGAATCTACAACTCCGGAACCTATGTCAAGGGAACCGATCTCGGCGCACCACTCTGGGGTACCAGCTGTTATGCTAGCGATGTTGCAAACAGACTTTTGGGATGGGCCGCTCCAGTTACTCCTTGCGTTCTCCCCAACCCAGTTCACTAAGCGGTTCGCATGATAGACTTGGGTGTTTGGATAATATCTCGATACCTATGAAAAGATTTTGTTTGGAATATCCGGTACTGTAGTTCAGTAAGCGGTTTTTTTTTGGGATTTCGGCGGGAGGCCTTTTACATGTATTTTCCTTTGTTATTGTTATTTTTTGTACTTCTAGATCGAGACTGGATTCTGTTTGACTTTTTTCTTTGTTTATTATCACGATTCCTAGAATGGGAATAAATCGGGAGGGAAAAGCTGTTTTCGGGGCCTATAAACATACATCATAGATATCCTCTGCAAGAATTATCATGCTTGATTTCCTCTTTATTTGCTGCTTTGTATACATCTCACTACAATATAATAGACATCATGGAATAGACAGCACATATAGAGATAAAAATGGATTCTATAGTATGTTGTTACTTTCACTCTGCTTTGACGGCGCCAATCGACTTTGTCTAATGCAAGCTTTGCGAGGTGGGCTAGAATGGTATGATATTGAATGACAGGTGGTTCCAATAATGCATTTGTAGGACTGATTTGCGAACAGAAAGCTCTAGTTGTTCAGCTAAATGCATGACATTGTCAACGTAAATCCTCGATTATACCCTCTGAAGACCTTTAGTCAGTCTTATAGTCATCTCAGTTTCACAATCAACAATCTCAAACATGTTTTCAACGTTTTTAATTTATAGATTCTTGCCATAAATCTCACCCACACAGCTAGCCCAAGGCGATATTCAATAATACGAAACATATGTACACTAGAAATATATACACTCTGAAGTTTCGGCATGAAAAAATCACGCATGGATAATACTGAAACAATCAATCGGAATCCTCCCCGTTTTGCAGCCCCAACGGTCCTGGTTTCCTTCCATAAAAGACGACCCTAGATGTCATCAGTCCTTATTCCTCTCAAAACACATAACAATTATCCAAGCTAAGAAAGAAATACAAAACTCACACATCAACATAGAGATTAATCCTCTTATTTTGGAGATCCTTCCTGACACCCACCAACAACTTTTCCACCTGTTCGGGAGTCCACCCCAGCCCCGCCGTCAAATTCCTCATCGTCATCCCTTCAATACCATCCAACAAATTCTGCTGCGTCCACATTGCTAGCAGCTTTTCTTTCTCTTCGCCCACCCACGGATTACACGGCCAAAAGAAATGTTTCTCAACGATATCCACGAACCCGGCCTCGGCCATCCATTTTCCATAGTGTCTTGAATTTGTTACTTTACGCCCGCGACGCTCGGCGGCAAGGCATGATACTCGAACCCATTCTTCAAGAGAGGTGCCATTTATCGAAGAGTCAATGCTTACTATAGGCATCTGGGGGTCTTGCATCTCAAAGTAACCGCCGGGACGAAGGGAGTCGTAGGCAGAACTTATTACGCCGGCGGGATTACTGAAACAACAGACCATGGCACGGCCGTGGATGTAGTCGAATTTTTGAGAGTAGTTCCAGGGTTCTTCTGCGTCGTTTACCTCAAATCTACAGTTTGGAGGTACACTGGAGACAGTTGTTAGTATCAGATGTGGAGTTTTAGATTGGTATTGTGCGTTACTAGATCGGTTGAATTGGACTGAGATCTGTGCCGATTACTTGAGCTAAAGGATACTTCTGGGCTAGAAATGAGAAAAATTGAGTTAGATGCTTTCATCATAAAAAAAATATCGAATGGGTGACTGGTTAAATGGCCTTACCAAACTCTGTTGCCCATAAGCCAGTTCCAGTCCCAATATCTAAAACATTGTGGAGCTCAGAGGGAAGAGGAGCAAGATGCAATACTCCATCAAACAACAAAGAGAACAAGTGATGTTGCAGATCTGAGATCATTAATTTATACAACTACATTAATCACACGATATGTCGCGCATTACTTGACTTACTCAATCTCTCTTGTTCGGCATCATCATTAGGTAGAATATACTCTTAACGCATGTCAGCTACTGAGCAGGCAAAAGTATTATGTAGTCCAACCAAACTTACTTCCCGAATTATATGCGTGATATGTCCGGCCATTTTCCTCTATATATTCGTACACACTTTCTCGTATAGAAGCTGTAGAACTTCTATATCAAGTATCAGCTGCTATATCGTGCTATTTGAATCATGAATAGACAATTTTACCCACATGAATGAATCACCCATGGTGGAATCTACATCACTATTATTTGAAGACTAATCGGGTATTATTCTTGATATCATGCATCAGCATCTTGCTACTCACCTGTACAGAATCTACCTCCAATCCCGGTGCATCCGCTATTTGTGGTTCTGCTGCTGCACTACCATGATGGCCATATGAGGATGTGTGAATGTCAGTCGTCACATTTTGATTGGAATATATGATAGTAGATGAGATGTGCTCTGTTGAATCCAAGTTGGTCAACGATACCGAATCCACACCAGCTTCATTTGGCCCCGGGATAGCTTCCTGAAAACTCGAGGAATTTGACATCTGATCAATTTGTTCACCTTCAGTATCTATCTTTCAGCTATCGGAATTGTTGACCTGAATCCAGATCCGCAATTGACCCTTCCAAATCTTTCAAGAAATACAAAAAATCAGTACGTTGTACGTTCAAGCCTTGTCAGATATCCGCTTATGCTTATATGATCGTGTGCAAAAGATCTCCGAGATATCAACGGTCTCTTTAACGGCCGGTGCAATCGTACCGATAAAGTATCCAAGTAAATCAGCTAACCAAAATCCATGAGATATATTGCACGTCAAGCCCTCGTGCTAATCTGTTCTTCGATCAGCAGCTGTCAAAGCCTCTCGAAATAAGCATAAAGCAGGGGGACTTTCGGCGGTTGCTATTTACGGGTTAATGAACCGCTAATCCTTGCTTGAACTTATACTGCCAATGGCAGCCAATGAGGCCTTCCTTCTCTACGTGCTTATTCTGTTATCAGTCCCTGCCGCTAGTGAGATAAATCTTTGCGTTATCCTTGGACTACGAGATGTGCTTACACGACCTTGAAAGTGCCCTTCTTGGGCAGTCTAGAAAGGGAGCAAGGGATAGTGAGCATACATGGACCACCCCAGCAACCAGTGTTCAGGGACATCGTAGGTGTCTGTTTATCAGGTTTTCGTTATAATTATGTGATTTTCCACGGAATGACCAATAAACGCAATCCCAAAATTACCGTCTCTCCATCCACTCGAGAGTTGCTATCTCATCTATCCCACGAATAATTTTGTTCATCAATGTCACAAGAGATCTCGGGCATTAAAGGGTGTTTGTCGCCTGAAGTATGCAAGTGAGTATGATATGTATGAAGGTTCATTCCAAATCGCACCTTCAGGACCCTGCGGTGAATATGGAACGACAAGCAAACGACAAGCAAAAGACAAGCAAACGACAAGCAAACGAAGCGAAAAAAAATGCCAAGAGAAAAGAGTTTCTCAAACACTTATACAGGGAGTAATTATGAGATTATATCTTGCAATCTTTGGAACTTCACAAAATATCGAAAGAAAACGGTCGATAAACAAAGTATAGTACTTGAGTATTCACAAGCTAAAATTATATACAAGAGAAGCTTAAGTTTTTAAATTTGTACATGGCCCACCGGTTCTCGTCAACTCTCATTAAACAAGATGTAAAACCATGACTTTCATGCCATTTACTCGTCAATCATGACCCTTTTGCACAATCTAGTAGACTGGCATTGGGAAAGAGTCAAAGTCGTAGATCCAACTATCAATTGAAGCTTGGTCGTACTCGCAAGCCATAGTAGTTCCATTGTTAGACCACATTGGTCTGAATGGCCAAGCGCAAATTTGTTGTCCCTCTCCCTCAAACTCACCTTGGAGAACGGTGGCATTGAGAGTAGTAGGTGTGATTCCATTCTCGACCCAGTCGATCAAAACAGCGAGATTGGTTTGAGGGAATGGTCCGTTTGGCTGATAAGAGTTGGTAGCACAATGGGCTGCTCCGGGAACCAGGAAAAGGCGATACCAGTCGCCGAGGGCTTCGGTACTCTCATTGAAAGTCATGTTGGGATACATGATAGAGCGGACAGACTCGTGATAACGGACAGATGAGGCGGTAGGGATACTATTGTCTGATTCACCATGGAAGTGAAGAACCTTGCCACCTGCTGCTTGGAATGGGGTGAGGTCGGGCCAAGTGGTTTGCAATGTATCTTCATACATTTGCCATCCGGTGTACATCCAATCTCTAAGGGTGTCGTAGGTGACGTTGTCGAAGGTACCGGCATCAAAGGTAGAGGCATCGAGAAGTTCGATAAAGCGCACTGGGAACTCGGATCCAAGCGAGCTGATAGATAACTCCCAGCTGCTAGTCTCCTCATTGTATGTGGTGGCAGCATCATCAAAAGTTGCAGCTGGCTGATAGGATAAATAAGCCCTGCGACCTTGAGTGTCGCGGAGACCGTCGATAATCTTAGCAGCGACTGCAATACCTTCAGCCGAGATAGTACCATTTTGTGCTGGAATTGCGGGTCTGGGGTTATATGGGTTTGTAGAAGCGGGCGTTGCAGCACATGAATATGCCACGCCAAGTGTAGAGTTCAGATCAAAATTTAATTTGCAAAGATCTGTACGGGCAACGACACCATCTGTCTTGCCATCCATAGGGTCACAAGCAGCGATTGTAAGATTCGCAATCATATCCAGCTCGCAGGGTGGTGGATAGTAACCAAGGGTCTTCTCAACCACGTTGGAGTAAAGATGTTGGACTTGTTGGTGGGCAAATCGCATGGCTGGAGCGCCTGTGATTGCACCATCCCATTCATCAGCGTAGCGTTGAACTTGACTCCATCCTTCACGTCCACCCTCGGAGCATCCCTGAGATAGTCAATAATTAAGTTCTCGATACAGAAAACGACACTGGAAAGCATACTTGGTAGTAAGAATAAAGTTTGCTGTCTCCCATGCCGAACACATTCTTTGTGAACTGTTTTCCGATCAAGCTCAATTCGTGATGGGCTTGGTAGCCGAACATGAAAAGGGAGTCGTAGTTGGCAGTGCCATTGGCAAGGGGAAAGGTGGTGTCGAAATTATTAGTGAACCCTCCGAAGCCTCCGTCTGTGATACCGGCACTGGCACCATAGATAATACCACCAGGAAGTGATTGGTCTTGAGAATTGATCGCATAGCCACCACCTCCAGTGGACAAATAGCGATTCTGGAAGTTTGCTGGAGCAGGCAACCAATACTGGACAAGTACTGAATCCTCTTTTCCAGTGTGAGAATAGGTGAAAGTCACATTACAATAACTGATTGTCGCGTCTGGAAAGAAGGTATTACCAGTGGTGGTAGCGTTGGAGACTGCGTTAGCTGTGACGGATGCCGAGTTGAGAGTGACGGCAAGGCCAATAGTAGCAGTGTCAGGAAGGGATTGTTGGATGTAGGAGGTTGTGCAGATATCACTGAGAGTAGAATTTGCAGCAGCATTAACAATGCCAGCGGATGTAGCAGCTGTGACTGCCAAAGTAGAAGAACGCATGGCGACTTGTTTATATGTAGAGAACGGAGAATTAGGATATCACTAGCGAGTGAAAAGCTGATGAGAAAAGAAAGAAAGATCCTATGGGAAGAAAAAATGCTTCAGATATATACTTGGTGTCTCATCGGACGTTGCAAGGGTCTAGGCTTCGGGATAGAGCTAGAGCCATGTATTTTGACACTTGAGATGATTGGACTATTTCCCCTGCAGCAAAATCTTCAGGGTCGATGCATTCTGCCCTCTATGGGTGACGTAAAAGGCAAAAGGCTCTCTTTCTTGTCACATTAATATCGGGCGGAAATAAACCAGATGAGGTATGGGAGAAGGCAGAACCCACATTCAAAGCTACAGTGTATATTGACTAGCAGGGTGCCACGATCGGTCCCCACAATGCTTGTACAGGGCTTCCTCTTTGGCGTGGACTGCCAGTAAGCATATGGATTGAGGACTATCCATCATCCTGAACTGTTTCGAAACAACATCCAAAATATAGAGCTTTTCAGAAGTATGTAGTCATTGAAACGCCCTAGAGCATGTCAAGAACTGGTAGATGGGATTGTTATGCATAATATCACAACGCGTGGAAAGTATAGATCGTTGAAGCAAAAGAGTATGTTGGTGAATGCTACGGTTGAAGTCGACCCTTCCGAGGTCATCAAAGCTCAAGATTGAACCCACATTTCATCAGTAACTCTAAGAAAATCGTTGCCAGCGGGAGTTATGGGGCTCGAGACTTACGCCTCCAGTCTCATGCCAAGGGTGATGAGCCAGATAAGTACCGGAGTATGGAGATATGAATGTAGATAGCCGAGGTGACCGATTGTGTTTTTTGTTCCCCCTTCTTCTCTTAGTGTACGGTCAAAAGTGTGTTGGGATTATCCAGCACATCAATCAGATCTATCTTAGTATCGTTGGACCTCCAATTACTGCCCATTTCCCAAAGAGACTTGCTTCTGTCCCGAGCTGGGCCGAATGTTCGTCCGGGAATCGGGTTCGAAACATCAGAAGAATTACATAATTGTGTTAGCGGCGCTACTCTGATTATCGGTAGTGTGTTGCAGATTTGGAATTTGCCAAGATTTGCACCATGCTATGATATTATGTATAATTGAAGGACTAGGTCGATCTCATCTATGGATAACCTGATCGGTGGACCCTGGCTGCCAATTGCCATTACATAGCTAAAAGTTGCACATGGGACCAAGAGAAGACGCGCGTGCAAGTTGAGCCCAGACATGAGGATCTAGGAAGTCTGTTTAAACTCAGAAACAAAGTTAGGCAGGTGGGAATTCGGTTCACAATCTTTTGATGATGATGATGGAGAAAGGCTTGAATCATTCTAATACCATTTGCAGTATAACTGTGAACTTGGAAGTCGGTGAAGGTCGGATGATGCCAGTACTGAATTACGGAGTAGAGGATCTTTTGGGCTTGGGCAACATTCGTTATGACACCTGCCTAGGTAGGTAGGTTTTGTAAAGTTGTAGCGATGCAAATTTCTTTTTGATTGATACTCGCAGCACGATCTTCTGCTGAGCTTGGCAGAGCTACAATTTTCGGTCCCGAACGAGGAAATGGGTCCACCATGGATTGCGTATGAAGGTGTCTATGCCACCCTTGGTCGAAATTACACGGTTACACCTCTTTCTTCCTCTTTTTTGGCTGCCGACGAGAATGGGGGTTAAAAGATTAACTTTATAGGTAATAATATGGGATTCTATTTAGTTTCTCGGAACCGAAAAAGTTCGAGTATGGAGACGTTCAGGCCGAATTTTGGCAGCCATAGGGGTTGCAGCCGTGCCACAATTTGTGGCGTAAAAATCTAGCAGCTAAAAGGTTCCAAGGTTAGGTAGCTAGCTAATTATTGAGAGCACAGCACCCGGATTACACTTTGTTGGCGTTTTCATCATGAGCAAGTAAAACTCAAAGAGTGAGGTTTTACTTTGCTTTTTACTACTGAGTTTTTCCTTTTTGGTCTCCTTCTTCAACATCACTTATACAGCACCTAACATCAAAAGCAGTCATTCAGATTTCACTTCAGACTTGTCTAATACCCATTGTTGCTACCTAGATAGTCTTCGAGTATCTCCGCCCTCAGAACTTATTTCGAGAAGCTAATGATCTTTTCCAGAAAGCTCAGAATTGATCCGGGTGCTCCAATATGAGCTGCTTGTTCGATTGATACTGATTGATCTGGAATGAGATTCGGGCAAAGATATACACAAGGAAGCACAAAGAGGAAATCTGCTGCATGCAAGTATCTCTATTCATCTACATGGAATGGAACATGCATGCGTAAGAAAACCTCTGGCTACTCTTATAGTCTTACTTTACAGACTATTTCACGATGATATACGGGCTGGGAATCTTCTCAAAAGATGGCTTAGAAAGTTGGCCTCATAGCAAACAAGTGCATGCTATCGACGCTTCTTCAGCTTCAGGATCGATTCGATGGCCGCTCGGATCATGTCAGATTTATGTTGACTCACATATTAATTGAGGTTTCTTTCGGCGTCATCGATTGTTGATTTGATGCAAAACCTGCTGTATCTTCCAAACTTTATTCAAAGAGACCTACCTTCTAGGTACCCGAGATCTTAGGTGTTTCCCAATTATACTCATTGTGGTCGAGGAGATTTTGTTCTCCTATTCAATTAGTGAATGCCATCCTCTCAATCATCACTTTCTTGTGGTCTCGACTTTGAGATCAAGTTTGAACTCATGCGCGGTACAGTGGGCTACATCACTAGCACTATGATTGTTTCAACAAATGTTCACGCCTCTCATATTTCTTGCCGTAACTGGCAAGGACTATAGAAGATCAATGGTAGTCTATTCTTCGACGTCATCTTCCTAGATTTCTATATCAATTATAGAAATCTGACGTCACCTTCACTGGAATCGTCTTCAAAGTAATTAATAGCCTAAAAGTATAGGTATCTGCCAAATCTCACATTTACCCCTTCACCGACCAGTTTCAAAGCGACCGCAAATGCTAGGAATTTCATCGTCACAAATATTCACCACAAAGCCAATTTTGAAGTTCCTTATTGTTTAAAAATGTGTTTTTTTTCACGGTATGAGGGAATCTGGCGTATTCTGCGGCGACGGCAAGTGTCAACACTCTTTTTAATGCATCAAGTCCCGCTCCAATGTATTCCTAAGAATTTGACATATAAGTCAATGCGTGCTATCCAAGTAGGATTAAGCGGATCTAAAAAGCTCTCTAGTACGCATATGCATATAATGCGTATGCATCTAGTCCTCTGTTAGAATACGTTCAATCGTTTTCTTCGATAGAGAGCAGCGTCGAGTTCAACTACATTATTGAGAATCTCCATGACATGATACAAAAAGAAAGAAGAAAGAAGAAAGAAGAAAAGATAAAAGATAAAAGATAAAGAAAGATAAAAGCCAACCATCCGACTAGATAGATAAGCAGCCAAAGAAGTGCCACACAAATATCAAGATGAAACGTGCAGTATAATTAACTTCAGACGAGACCTTCCGCGAAATCCGAATGAAATTTCATGTCCACCTTCAGATACTGGTACAAGGTTCGCAATGACCGATGAAACTTTAAACACAACTCTATTCGGAACCTTAATTAAGAACGAAAAGGGGCTCGGAGTACGTAACCTTAAATGGAACGAGCGTTGAAGAAAACTTTAAATACGGGTGGATATCGGAATGAGATTTGTAGGGTGATGAAAATGAACTTCGGCCGAACTTTGAGAGTGAGTTTGGATAGGCTAGCTATGAAGTGTAGAAACGCGTTGTTCTTGAGCCACCTTAATTGAATGATGTGTGTGTGTATGTGTAAGTTTGGCCGAAAGTTGTGAAGCTTCGAGTGATATGTGCAATGTGCGACGAGAGAAGCGATGCAAAAAAATAGTGAGAATAAAGGGGGGATTCATAGAAAATTAGAGATTGTACACTTGTATGATAAGATAACAAAGCATCATGCGGCAGACAAATTTCACACAATTAAGACGAATTTATCTTAACAAAATTATAGCATTAACATAACATCTTTTAAGTTATATGCTGTCTCTTTACATGAACTGAGTGCCACCAACATCCATCCATCTAATTAAACCCCAATAAATCTGTAGTACAAGTGATGTCCAACGCGGTCTTATTAACATTAAGACAATAAGCCTCATCTACGCCCTTAGGACTCAAGACGTTGATGTCACTTGCGACAATATTGTTACAAACTGACTCGCTCGAACAAGCAAATGTACCAATTTGTGGTTGGTATTTAGTGCTAGTCTTTCCGGTGAAGTTTCTGAAGATGATATCGGTGATGGTGAGAGGAGAGGGGAATTCGAGACAGAGTGTCAAGTTCTTTTGACCGTAGCATTGGTCGACCTCGATGGCGTAATCAACGTTATCGATGTACATTGTGTCGTAAGTGATGTTATTCACTCTGCCAGATCCTCCGCCTCCTGTGAGTGTGTTAGTTGTGTAATTGGTAGGTGAGCGTAGGGGGAAATTCTTACCTTGGAGATCACCACTGAGAGCTGATGCGGTGTTTGGCCAAACCTTGATACGGGCACCGTCGCTGGCGTTGTGCAATGAGGTGTTGTAGACGTATACATTTTCGACGATATCAAATTCTCCAGGATATTGACCGAGAGATCCGACGGAGATACCGTGAGAACCATTGCAGAAAAGGTTTTGAACCAAGATGTTGGTGCTGTTAGGCTTGAAAGATACACAATCTAGAATTTGATTAGAATGGTTTCAAAGTCTGGAAGGAAGGATATTTACCATCTCCATTGTTGATGACAGAGTTCTGGATAACAATGTTATCACTTCTGTATGTGTCCCATCCATCAGTGTTTTTTGCGGGATTTTTGCTTGAGCTTCCTCCGGCAATGTTGATATTATTGTAAACAACATTGCTTGAATTTGCAATGAAGTTGTAGTACTCTGGTGAATAACGTAGAACCAAATCGCTCAAGATAGAGTCCTTGAGTCCATCAATTCCGATA